GATGACTTAACTTGTCATATTTATTTATTTTAACTTGTCATTACTGACAAGATTATCATAAAGTATTTCCTTATTTCAACATTTAAGTCATTTTATTTCAATAATTTCATTGAGATGATATAACTGCCAATCGATGTTGTTATCCTCAAGTTATCCCGAAATTGCACCGAATATTAATCCAAATGTACAAATATTACAGCTTTAACTGATATACAAAGTACAGCTATATACTGTACTTATAATTCACAAAGTGCAGCTCCAGAGCATGTTTTTAATAACCTCCAGATTTAGATCTTCCTTATAGGTATATAATATTTCAGATCGGTGCAATCAAATTCTTGCCGACTTTTGATCCATTTGGTAGTACTGTTTACAAAATCAACGAATCTAGATACACATCCTGTATATGATGCTTGTAATTCCACGTGCTTTTGATCGTAACATGTAGGCACTGCATAAACTTAGATCACTCTGTAAATTCCTTTCATGTTATGCGAATCCTGAGTGGAAAATTGCAATCAGCAACCATTTATTTTGACAATCGATGTGTATCAATTGTTCGATCTAACACTGGAATGAGTTTTTCATGTGTGGCTCAATGTTTTTAACACATTTACTGAAATAGCTTCAACTATGGTGATATAATGTAGAGTGTAATGGATGAATGTTACTTATTGGGTGAAGATAATATCAAAATGTGTGAAGCTGTGTCACACAATTTAGATCATGTCACGCAATCCTGTACTGTTAATAGCTGCGAATAACAATAACAAAGAATATTCGAGTGTGACATATACGTCTGCTGCAACTCTATTGTATAATCTCAAAACCAAATTCAATAGTCTCAACACCAAAATCAATACTCTCTAGTTCTAATATTGCCTAATTATATTTAAAACTGCTTTATATAAAAATAATTCCGAGATTTCCAATAGTTAACCAATAAGAAAATCCTTTGATGTTTCAGGAAATTGCGATGAATTGTTCCGCGTTAGTCTAATTCATTAAGAAAATAACCTCTCGATAGCTCTTCACTGGAGTCATTAATGATATCTGTCATAAGCCTCACTTCCAATTTCCGACGTGATGATTTCTATTTCACAGATTATTCCACCAATATTGAGATAATTCCACTTCAAATCTGCTGTATTATCGGCTAATAACCAATCAATATTCTTTCAGTATTCACTCCTGAATATTATGTGCAGTAATCCTTGTTTGTGAAATGTCAGCCACGAGATAATTTTTATAAACTAATTACTCCTCAATAAATAATGTCAATAAATATAATAAATAAATAAAATAAATATATAAATAGAGATTATATCCTTCGATTGTTACATGTTTTTGGATGTTTTGTATGATCCAATTTCTGGATGAATTTTCCAGCCGTTCTGTTGCTTGGTAATTTTCATCTGAATCCTCACACTAGAAACTCAACATTTCTACTTTAACATCAGAGTTACCTTCTTCTAATCAATTAACATTAACCTCACATAAGACAAACTAAAGTTAAAGCTCAATGTATTTAGTACTTGAATAACAAAACAGCTGCTTATTCATGTTAAATGTTAATTCTAAACATTTGGCATCAAGCCAGCCGCAATCCTCCAGCCATGTGCCACTATTTATTTTCACCTTCATAAATAAACGAAAATTGAGAAATAATTGATAATATACATATTCCAACATCTGTTCTTACTAACCTGGCCCTGACTATGTATATGACCAGATTTTCAATTTTGATCAAAAGATTTACAGACAGCTGGATAAAGCTACACTGAAATAGTAGAACAATATGTCATGTTTGAAGAAGATCGCCAAAGTAATTAATCGGCCAATCAAATGCAAGGCGATCTTCAAATTTAGCAGATGTGAAGTTCAAACAAAATTCACGATGACCTTTCAACAATTTTGGCTTCCAATTGGATTCAGAATGCACACCTGTCTAAAAGATGATTTTTTATATGGCCGTTGAGACCCAAAAGTTTTGACCCAAGGGGGATGAACGTTGCAGCTGCCCCACTCCCAGGTCCTGTGGTATATAAATTTTACAAAGAGGAAGGTAATGTATAGTAAATCATATATCTGAACACCTCTCTAATTCAGTACCTCTCAATGTGAACACTTTTTCAGTGACAGTTCTCCTAACTGCCTGCATGCCTTCCCCTTATATACCCCCTACCAGGAGCAATCTGAAAATCACAAGGGCACCTAGAAATTTCAATTCTGTGCTTGCTTAAAAAAATTGGGCCAAATTTCTCAAATAGGCCAAATATTAAAATAATGCCCAGTTACGGCAGTATGTAACCTAAATTGCCTAATTTATGTGGGAGAAGCAGGTTTTGGGCTCAAAGTCTTTTTTGACCCACCAATTGTGGAGGGGTCGGGCCCCTAACCCCCTACCCCCAAATCCGCCACTGCCTTCCTTATAAAGGTTAGAGATCATACATATTCATCAATTCTTTCAAAGAAACCACTTGATTTACACATAAATGAGCTGGAAAATGTTATATAAGATAATGTTGCCGTAAACCCCTCTGTCTGTCTCCCCCTTAAACATCATAACTCCATAACAAGTTGAAGTAAAGGGGGGAGGGGCCATCACGATGGCCACGCCCCCTTTGTCTTTATCCTTCCAAAGTACGACAGATAAGAGGGGCTCTGGCATACCAGAATGGGGAGGGGCTGAAGGGAGTGAGTCCAGAGACCTGATTCAAGAATAAGTATAGATGACCAATTATATATGGTATGCATAATTAGTTTCATTTTCAGCCCTGTGGTGCTAGAACAAAGAGCCGTTAAAAGTGAACTGATTAGAGAGAACTACTGAATAATTACAAATGAATCACTATTAGCTATGAATAATTAACATAGTAATATAGCTTTGAAGTTTCACTGCACTCAGATTATGTATTTAACTGCATTATGTACTTCAAAGCATCTTGGGGACCATTTTTGATACAAATCCTTACTTATGATTCTAAAAAAACATTGTTTTAACAATGACTTGTGATAAAATAAAAAGTTATGACGGGTCCAAAAACAGACCCCTGAGTAACTAAGTCTAATTTCCATAGGCAAAAATTCTTGAAAAATCATGCAATTTTCATTATTTTGAGTGCCTTTCAGGTGATTTTGAGTCAGAATTGTCAAAGTCAAACCAACTAGAATTTTTTAAAACCTGGCTATGGGGCTGGCCTAGTGCTAAACATGTATATGAGGTTATCTTTTGAAGAAATAAAACCATTGGAGAGAAAAGTTACTGTAGACTTCTTAGAGGTACAGATGAATTTCTACATCTTCTGAATGCAGGGTTCCAGATATCATCCACTAAGTTTCTTTCTTCTGGAAGAAGGAGGTACGTCAGTTCTGGAGGCCTGTGTTCTGAGGATGGAATTTCCATTGCATTGGGCTTTGAACATCTTCAATCACATCACTGACTGGTTGAAATCATCCTTGGTCCAAGGGTATTTCACTTCTTTCACTTCTTTCAATAAATTGAGGAATAAATTAGGTCCTTCGAATGAAGAATGGGTTGAAAGACGTTCAGAATTTTGTATGTAAACATACGTCAAACAACAAAATGTTAGTTTCTGGCACAATTAAGCAATGTTATGAAATCTTGATTAAGAAACAAATCCATGTGGAATAAATATCTATGGGGGAATATTTGCACAAAATGAAAGACTTAACTATGAGAAAGTTTCACACAACGGGTTATAGCTAAAACATGTCCAAAGCTGCATCTCATCTCAATTGAACTGTTATGCATAAATCTGATTATTGCTTTACAGATTTTAGATTTAAGCTAAATAAAAAAAAGTTGGAAACATCTCATTAGACTATTGACTTTTTCTCCTCTTCATCGACCAAATCATTTTTCTAAAAACATTTCCTCATATTCTGATTTTCTTCAAACTAAATTCAAATAGCAATCCCATTCCTCAATTTTTTGCATTAATTTTAACCCCAAACTTCCAAAGTTTGTAAACAAAGCTGAAAAACTAGGCCAATAAGCAAAAAATATGCATACAAGCAAAGTGCTTGGGATTAGTCAGCAATATTTAACAGAGGCACTGTGATTGGGTTTTGAAAAAAATTGTCAGAATTTGAAAATAAATGTTGCTCTCATAATCCCATGTTATGACTATTTTCTAAAACATCAACAATCCTGACACTATTTCAGGATTATACTTTGATTGTTTGGTTATCTGGGGAAAAATTGTGGACTCCACTTTTCAATTCTAATTCATTTGGATATTTCTACAATCAAAATACGTCTATATTTGATCAGATACCTCAATACATTGTTTTGAGAAAATAAAATTCAGTTTTTTATTTCAAGAAAACTCCTCATATAGCCTCAAATCTTTTAAACTCTGGTCTTTATAGATCCTCCAAATTACATGTATTGTTAATAAAATAATATTTCTGCACTTTTATTATGAGCAAATTAAGTATAAAATAAAATGAATATTACTACTTTTTAATGAGTAGAAAACCATTACATGAGCTGTATACTTCAATTCAGGATATCGGCTAAATTCAAAACAAGACCAGTACCGTGCTGCCATCTTTATACAAACTTATCTTCACTAGCACTTTTCATTTTAAAAAAATAAGCACCTTCTATTCATAATTCAAAGATTGATATTTGACATGGGAGACTGGCAAATAGAACCTGTAATGTGTGCTGCCACCTTTCTATAAACTAATCTTCACTTCTATTATATTCTTGCATTTTAAATTACAGAGCCGATCACTGAGTAGTCCTTTGCAATGAGAGAGTTCCAAACAATACTTGTAATGTACTGCCATCTTTACATAAACTAATCTTCAGTTTTGATACTTCAAGATGGCAGGTCCTTGTAATCCATAACCCAACTTAGAATTCACCAAAGTGCAACCACAGAGAAGAATGGAACACAAACCTTTTCCATGGGAGAATGCAAATAGTGCATTTGGGAACATGGATATGTATATTGATTTGCACTTACCCTTCGTGGATGAACCAAAGTTCCATCTTCATTTTCTTGTTCTTCCTCAATAGGTGGAGCCACTGTGCTAGAGCCGGCTGATCCATTAGTTGAGCGCACCCCTGGTACATGAGCTGGAGATGCTTCCTCATGTATTATCATGCTTTCTAATGTCTCTAGGGTGTCATTGTTGTAGTGTGCTGGTCTGGAAATATAGAATTATAGGGAGTAAGACAGATTTAATAGACAGTCATGTAAAATGTCATTGCTTTGGGCTCACCTACAAATAAAACTTAAAACTCCGATTGACTATTTGATGACAAAACATTGGTAGAACAGTTTTCCTTCAAGACCATGAAATCATTCGAGTGTTAAATACTGTATCAGTTAGTCTGTTTATCTAAGTTTTGTCCAAGTTTTTCCTAAACCAAAGTCACCAAACTTGGTACATTTAGGCCTGAAAAAATATGCTCTGTGTTTTAAAAGAGGATGATTTTTAACAGGCAATTCTAATTTACATGTATTTTAATTTACATGCACAGTACAGATGGCGCAATTATCAACTGAATATCAATTGAATTTCGACATTGCAAAATTTACACAATATTTTACAATGAACTTAATATAACTACAATTTTTACATGTATATTCAATGACATACAAGAACAAGAATTAAAAAATATTCAATTTATTACAAATAATATGATAGAATACACAATACAGAAATATTTTGGTTCACACGGTTTGCCATTTTGTAATTTGACTAGTTTTTAACCCCAGAACTTAAACTTTAATCAAAAAACAAAATCATAAATCTCTTTTCAGATTAGAAGATCCAACTCAAATAAAATAGTGAATGATAAATTACAATATGTGGGTTATAATCAACAAGATATTGATATAAACTAGCCTAACACACATTTAGAATGTTTAAAATTGATGTGATTTCTTTGGCACATTTGTGAAACTGTACTAATGCAGTAAAACCGTAACATTATAATTTCATATAAATATAAATCAACACTCAATTAAGAGAAAATATGTTAAAATACAATACAGTTACATATTAAAGTTACAATATTATTTTTGTTAATACTTCAGTATTAGTATGTCTGTGTATGGATGCACCTAAAAGAACGCAGGGCTCCTTCGATGAGGGATTCTTGGGTCTGTCTTCTATGATTACATTCGTAAGTTAAAATTGTACTCGTATCACACCTAACTGCTCTCGTACACTTTAGATGTATGGTGTCACTATTAACCGATTTGAAGCAAAGACAATGATGAAGATTTGATGCAGGTTTTAAAAACATTATCTGAGCAATACATTTAGGATTTCAAGTTTGATTTTGTGTGCATTCGTTTGGGAAGACATTTAACTTTCTAGTAACGTTAAAAGATTTTCAAACGGTGCTCGATTTTTATCGTGGTTAATCTACCCATATAATTGGTCGAGGAGGAACTGATCAAAGGAAATGTGTTAAAAAACAACATTTTCCAACTGACCAATTATATAAAAAATCGAGCACAGTTCGGAAATCTTTTAATGTTATTAGAAAGTTAAATGTCTTCCCAAACGAATGCACACAAAATCAAACTTGAAAACCTTAATGTATTGCTCAGATAATTTTCCAGAAATCAAACATGGGGGAAAACGGAAACTCTACTTCAAATAAGTAAATTTCGAAGTTACCCCATCTCTTATGTTGACATTACCCAACACGTCATCGTTACACCACTTTGCCCTAGAGGTTATACCTTATCATAAGATAAAATACTTGAGTATAATTAATAGCATAATTTATAACAGTTCAATAAAGCTATAAATTTTCTACTAAAACTGTCAATTCAAGTGTTTGTGCAAACTTAGTAGAGGGTTGACATTTAATTAACATATGCCTTTCATTTTTCATTTGAAAATGAAAGTTAACAAAATGAACTTTTTTGGTATGCAGCGGGAGATGGCCAAAGCTACTTCAACCCCCACTCTCACCCTATCCCTTAACTAGAACTCCTAATCCAAACCCCTAAAGAAGGATCAGAATTTCGCTCTGCCATCTCTAGTTGCGTAGCATCAGTGCTCTCCCATTTCAATTAAAACTCTTAACAATATGATCCTCATTATCAAACAAAAATGAATAAGGTTATCACCTAGCTAGGGAGATAGGGGGAGAACTAGATAACAGCAACTCCGCGGAGTAGCAAATCCCAACGAACAAAATATCAATTAGCGAATTCCAATCAATTATCCTCATTACTTTGGTTAAAATTGAAAAAAATTAGATTTTAGAATTGCGAATTCCTGCAAAGCAGCCATTTTGAATTTTCTGAGATACAAAGCTGAAAAATAATACCATAATTGTGATCTACTCCAAAATTCCTTCAATTTGAGTATAATATAGCCATACTTTGAAGGGATCGAAAAATTATTGCGAAATTGTACATTAGACGGCCATTTTGAATTTTATGAGGCTCGAATCAGAAAAAAGATACAATATTTGCAATCTACTCTTAATTGCCTTTCATTTGAGTATAATAAAGCTATACTTTAGAAAGATCTAAAAATTAGCAAAAGTTTCTGTTTTCCTGTCCCCCCCATACACGGCCCCTGGGGGTCAGGATGAAAAACACAGAATATATGTGAAATAGATAAATGTTCTGAATATACTACCAAAATTTCAAACAATAATATTAATTACTTTGGTTCAGAGTGAAAATTTTATGATTTTTGCGAAAAAGTCCCGTCATTTTTTTTTGCGTAAAACTATTCACCAATATACATCTTTCCACTAAATATGAAGAAAATCCGTCTACTAGTATTTGAGTTATCTTCCGGACAGACGGACGGACTGACTGACTGACTGACTGACGGACTGACGGACGGACAGACGGATGGACGGAGGGCTTCACTATATCCCTACCGAACTTCGTTCGTTGGGATAATAACTTAATTGCAGGGGGTGGCATGGAGCTGGAAAGCTTCTCCTTTGGGAGATAATGGGATATAGTTGATGTTGTTACTTAACAACACATCAACCCATCCCACTTGCAATGGTTTGTCTAACACTAACTGTTAAATCAAGCATATTTAATGAAGCTGAGGGCCACTGAATTACTTTGAGAAGTTGCTCCTATACTAAATGGAAATATTCAAAATCTGACAAACTGAATTTGCAACTTTGGTCATTTATTGCAGTTGCAATGTCCTTGGTATTTTGGAAGGTCAAGGTCACCTTATAGGTCAAATGTCAATGAATATACATGTACTCACAGTGGCCTAGCAGGTTCAGAGGTGATTAGAGTTCCATCACCACCAGGTGGTCCTTCGTCATCATCCTCACTGTCCGTCTCCAGCAGAGGGCGCTCAGGTACTTCATTTGTTGGTGTCGGAGTTCTTGTGCGATCTTCTGCCGCTAAGTCATTCAGCTGTTGCGCTAACAGATCTAACTCCTGAAACAATAAATATCCCATAATAGTCAATATATCTCATAATAGTCAATATATTCCATAAACTACAATATATTCCTTAATATTCTATATATCCCACAATAGAGAATATTTTCCATAATAGTCAATATATTACAGAAAATATGTCTCATAAACAGAAAATATGTCTCATAAAGTCAACATATACCATCTTACTCAATTTATCCAATGATAGGTATGTATCTCAATATGTCCTTTAATATTACCAGTTTAATCCATTATAGTCAATATAATAGACTCAAAAGAATGAAGAACATGCATAATACATCTAATACAGTGTATCAAATAAGTCCCGTCCCCCCTTTACAGCCAAAACCAACATATTTGTACCAAGTGTGATATATCATTGGAAGGTCTTCCAAAGTTAAGTTGATTGCCATACATCTGACACATGTCAATCAATCTCACAAATTTTTACATTGTATCATGTATTAAGGTGACCATATGCCTAGAAACATGGCAATTTGGTGTATTTGGCAAGATTTTAAGAATCGGGTATAAGAAAGGTCAAGAGACCAAAAAGATGACTAAATATGTTTATGGCGATGAATTTAACCAATTTCTGGATAGGGTTAGATGTGTAGAAAATAGAGGTGCAAGGAAAGTGGTGAAAACCTTTTGTAACAAGTTAAATGCAAAAAAAGATTAACTTTTTGATGTATTTCTGAGGTCATATCCTTGTCATTTTGACGCAAAAAAGCTACTTAAATGAGGGCACCTTAACTATAAAAGCCATCATAAAAATATAGGTAAATTTCATCCAAAATACTAGAGTTGGTGAGTTAACATAACTTTGGATGATCTTTCTAATGGTATATCACACTAGGTACCATCTGTTAAGGTTTTACCTGTAGCAGGGGGGACGGGACTTATTTGACACCCTGTATATATACATATGTATCTCGTAATAATATACTACCTATCCCAAAATAGCCTTAAAAGTTATATGAGTTAAAAAAGAGGGATAGCAAGCCCATAGCAATAGTTACTCTGATGTCTGGTAAGGCCAACAATACAAAAAATATGGTGCCACCCATACATAGCAAAAGAAGTGATCACACCCAAATAAGACAATATTGCCAAGAACAAGAGCTCATGCCCAAATATGGCAAGCAATAAACTTTAAGATTAGCTTGTAATTTTCACCTACATTTTTTTTCAATGCATAATTTAATGTACCTATGGTCATTGCAAGCTATTTACAATGTTCTCATGCGCTAGCATATTATATCATATAACCTGTTTCAAAAATTAGGTAAAATTGAAGGACAACACTTCGTTTCTGGGGCTAGGACCAAGCATCCAATCTGAAAACTAGAAACACAGCAACTCCGCGAGGTAACAAATCACACCGAACAAAACAAGTTTTAATAAATAGCAACCTTCTTGAACAAATTTTGAGCAGAGCCCCTACTTTATGTCCCTAGGCATCAGCATATCCTTGAACTGGTTGTTGAAGATTAAGTTCTTTTACAAAAAATGGCGGCTATTTGAAAAATTCAGCTGCAATCTTGATAATTCCTTTGCAAGCACAAAATTTGGCCTAGCTGCTGACATGCACTGTACAAAAAGAGTGTTCCAAAAGTAACAGAACTGGTGCTACTCCTTTATTAACACAACTGGGAATGTTCTTTAATGTGTGTGTGGACTAAAAATGTAAAGTTTAAAAAAATATTCACAAAGCAATGTTTGAGTAATGGCTGCATAGGTAGACGTTTCATCATTATTTTAGTGAGATGAATTTTTAGGAGACCTATCTCAAATATATAACATATGATCACTTGAAGTTTGTGCCAAGACTGTCAAGTGATAACTTAGTGCCAAAGCCATGCATTTTATAGCATGTCAATATTAATCTTAAGTTCAGATTTATTATAAATATAAAGTGTTTTTAAATGGCGACATATGATATTCTGTCTGATCTGAGACAAAGACTTGAAATTTGTCACAATTAATTTTCAATTTAGTATTTTTGTTATCTCTCTAAAACACTATTTTGAGATTTAACACTAAAGCGGGTTCAAAATGTGCTCCAACGGTTAAAAACAGTTTTATGATCAAAAGAGACCCTGATGATTTATCATGTAGATAAACATATATTTTGGTTCTTACCACTTCAAATTGTTACACTTGAGGCTGAGTTCAGTTATTGTACACACCTAGTTGAACTTAGTCAAATAGATTATCAAATAAAACGGCAGCTTATATTCTTCTAGCACAATACATTAACAATATAATATAGACAAAAACAAGCTAGGTAAACATGGGTAATTTCTTTGCATCTAATCATAACAGGAAACCTGTGTTGCCAGAACGTGTGTTGCCGGAACATGTGTTGCCCGAACTAACTGGACCATATCCTTCAGTCATTAAAACAGAATTAGTTACAGAGGTTAACTCTGATGTCACAGATGAAGTAAAACGCTTAGGAGACTTTGTACATTTAACATCTAAGGCAGCTGATGTAAGGAATAGATATACACCAGCTAAACTCAGTAAACATACATCATTCATTGAAAACAATATGCAAACTCTAGTAGGAAAGGTTGGTGAATATGACTCAATGTTAAGTTCCAAGGAGCTTCTCAGACGTGGTAGCTCATATAGTGGAACTAAAGTTATGAGGCCAGATGAATACGATTACATGCCAATCCTGGCAAACTTTAACACTAACACAGTGGAGGTGGAGGATGTGGCAGATACATGTTATGATTGGTATAGAGACAAGGGATATGGTTACATTAAAGTGAAACCTGGAGCTCTATCAATTCGACACAATATGAAAAACACTAGATATAATCGATTTAAGAAGTATTTATGTAGTGTAAAACTTTTTTCTGAACTGAGAAAACTAATTATAAAGTCCCTACAACACATGGATACATTGACATTTATAGGAGTAAGAGATCACGAGAACACTAATGCTCAATACAAGAGAGGAGAGATAAGTATCCACAGGGGCATGCATGGTACCAGCTTCTGGCTGAGGGTTGGTGGGCCCCTGTGTACTACTGATATAGACCTCTGTTTCTCTATAGAGGGGAACCCAACTGAGCAACTGGGGCCCTGTCTAATGGTAAATGGTGAAACTGATAAAGACAAGTGTGAGTGTGGCTATTCCTACTCACAACACTGGATGAAATCTGTCATAAACCCCCCTGTTAACACAAAATATGTTTTGTCTGAATCTCACATGGAACTATTCCTAACTCTTAAGTACATCACTCATCTTGCTTCAGAAATGTCACATGAGACAGATCCTGAAACACTCTCCAGCTATACTGTAAAGATGGTGTTGTTAACACATCAGCAGACCTGTAAGGCAGTAAATGTGGGAGAATGCTTTATGGATATTGTCAGAAGGATCCGGAATGATAAAGATATTAACAATCTACACATATACTCACCAAAATACACACATGATGTATTCTTTCCTGAGAGAGTGCTATATCTCCACAAATCTCACAGTCGTGCAGCAATTGCATGGTTCATGTTCCAAGTGAGCCACACTGAAGATGATGGATGGATACACAAACTACTTAGATTGACTCAGGAGCCCCACACACCTAAATGGTGGGACAAACAACTTAGTAAGAATGACAGGGATAGTAGACAGTTGAGAGATTTAATGAAGGTAATCAAAACGTGTGACAGTTGGCATTATGAGTCTTCTGGGTATGATCAACTCAGATTAGAATGGTACCACAGAGATGGCAGTGTAAAGGCCTCATTAACCCTGGAGTATAAATAAGCAGTTGTACTTATTGTGATCAGAGAATTGAAACAATATAACAATTCACCTAAACATAGATGTCACTGTGTTCTTCACATTTATCTAACATCTTACTATTAATCCAGCACTGATCGTATGATCACTTCAAAGTGACAGAATACTTTTGTAAATATATAATAGTGAATAAAATTTTTGTACTATACAGCAGAATATTTAAAGTTGGACAGGAACAAATAACCTGATTGCATACTTCTGGTAAAATATATTTTAAGATATTTGTACATGTACATATATTTAATAGTGAATAAAATGTTTGTATTATATTTGTATATCATGTAATTTTAAATGTTGATTGCTTAAAACAAACAAGACACACAGTGATAAATATCGCACTTTGAAGAGCAAACTGGCCACCATGCAATTTATCCAGCATGGCCAAAACCTAATCAGACCTTGGCACTAGTCTGCTCTTGCATCTGTAAACATTTCAAGTTGACAAGGTTAGCGGTTTTCCTGCAATTTTGATGACAAGAATTGATTTGTAGTCTGGAACTTTGGGAAAATTTAGATAACATCGTTTGTGACCTAATTTGATGACCTTCGACCTTGAAAATTTAATTTTTTCAGACCTCAGTAGGTGTTTTGTAATTAAGCTGACCTAAATTTAAATCCAAAATTTCAATTTAGAAAATCAACTTTTTTGACCTTTTCAAGGTCACTGAAGGTGAATGAAAGGTCAAATCTGAAATCTAAGGTCAGATTTGAACTTCTGAGAACTTGTAGATGTTTTTAAAAAAAAATTTGGTAAATTTGGAGCAAGTTGAAAAATTCAAAATGGCCGCCAAATTGAAAAATTCAAAATGGCCACCATGTAATTCAGCCAGCATACCCAAAACCTAATCAGATCTTGGCAATAGTCTGCTCTTGCATCTGTAAAAATTTCAAGTTGAACGGATAAGTGGTTTTCCTGGAAATTTGATGACAAGATTTGTTGAAAAATTCAAAATGGCCACCACGTAGTTTACCCAGCATGCCCTAAACCTAATCAGATCTTGGCACTAGTCTGCTATTGCATGTGTAAAAATTTCAAGTTGAACAGGTTAGCGGTTTTCTTGGAATTTTGATGACAAGAATTGATTTGTAGTCTCAAACTTTGAGAAACTTGGATAACATCATTTGTAACCTAGTTTAATGACCTTGACCTTCGACCTTGAAAATTTAACTTTTTCAGACCTCAGTAGGTGTTTTGTAATTAAGCTGACCTAAATTTAAATCCAAAATATCAATTTAGAAAATCAACTTTTTGACCTTTTCAAGGTCACTGAAGGTGAATGAAAGGTCAAATCTGAAATCTAAGGTCAGATTTGAACTTCTGAGAACTTGTAGATGTTTTTAAAAAAAAAATTTGGTCAATTTGGAGCAAGTTGAAAAATTCAAAATGGCCGCCAAATTGAAAAATTCAAAATGGCCACCATGTAATTCAGCCAGCATACCCAAAACCTAATCAGATCTTGGCAATAGTCTGCTCTTGCATCTGTAAAAATTTCAAGTTGAACGGATAAGTGGTTTTCCTGAAATCTCACACCCGCACGCCCGCCCGCCCAACAGCACAAGACGACGGCAATATAGCACTTTTTCAAAGTGCGATAAAAATACATGTATAGCACTTATATAGAAGTGAAAGACTAAGAAAATTGTTAAATTTTATTTTGTTGATAAGATTCCTCAAGTCACCTTCATCCAAAAAGAGGCAAACATTTTGAATCTTTATAATATACTATGTACCTTTTTGAATGTTGGTTCCATCCCTTAAACCCTAATTAATCTAAATTGGTGTTATTTGTATTACTACCTAAGTTATGCACTCAAATGTCAATTCTCGATAGCTCACAAAACCCAACACCTATAAATACCAGAGACCCATAAACCATATACAATCTTAATAAGTAGACCATGGGTGAGGGAGGGGGTGGGGAGGGCATGGCACAATATTAGGTTAAAAATATTGCCTATCATATTATACATTCTTGCTGAAAACCACAATCACATATAAAACATCAAACAACTAAAGACACAGAACGTGGTGCATAATTATCACAACTATAGCAACCAAAATGCATAAAATGGACATGTATGTGGAAAGGGTACTCAATCAAAAACAGAGTACAAAGATCAATCCAACAGACAAAACACAGACTCAACAGACAAAACACAAATTATGTGAGATACTATAGGATTGTTAACCAAAACCAAAATGAGAACATCATGTAGTCATGTTTTAAAGAACTGTTTTCTCTCTAAAATTTGAATAAAGTGTCTGATTTTCTTGCATTTTTCTACAATTTAGAGTGTTGACTTCATCCCTGTTCATTTAATTTACTTATTCCATTCTATTTCACTTTACTTTGCATTTTAAAACATGACCACCATGACATCTTTTGACAGGAGGTTATGAAATGTTTGTTTATCTACCACTGATCTTTATTCAAATGTCTTCAAATAAATATCATTTCACAGACTTCAGGAATGATGAGCTTATGACTAAAGTGTTTAACATTTATTTCAAATAAGGCATAAGGCATGTATAAACACTATAAATATGTTCATAATGTTTTATTATCACTAACTTAGTATTGGTCTTTAAGAGGATTGCATTTTCTGTTTTCATCAATCAGATAAAGTGAGTCTGGGTTGTTATTCTCTGAGAAGGTGATCTCTAGGACCAATGTGATTTGCAATTCTGGAATCAATTATATATAATAAATGCTCATTCTTAAGCAAAAATATATTCGAAATCCTTGGCTTATTATTAAAAACTTTGGGCCACATACAAAGTTAGAGTATTCTGCATAATCATAAAAATGATAATATTTATCAAAGATGCTTCATTGTAAGTATTTGAATTATTTGTATACATAAGAAAAGGTGGTGTCTTGAATTTCACTAGATATAAAAAATGAGATTACTTTTAAAAATAATTCTATGGCAATGCACTTGACATATAATACAGCAACATGAAGACTGAAACTGATCAATAGAAATATTGGGGTTCCGAGGTAAGTCTTTTATACTACTTATTCAATTATGACACTTTTGTTGTTTCATTCATAGTGCTTTTGGCTTTAGAACAGATTGTATAAATATCTTTCTCTTCATCATCACATTTAGAGACTGGCAGCCTTGACCTCACTTCCAGGTCAGGAAAGTACCAGGATGTGTCACGCCTCAAAGGGGATTCCCCTTAATTTTCAGTTTTCTTTTAATCTCAGTGAAACTATACAAGTATTACAAGGAGAATATACCTCTATAAATGAGAATACTGAAATGTTACACATCACTTCATATAAATAAATAAACATAACTACATGTACAAAAGAGATGAGGTGAACTGCTATCTAATATAAAATGACATCAAGCATGAGCCAAAAATAACAGGACTATATCTGCCAAAAATAACAGGACTATATCTGCCAAGCAGTGAACAGAATTAGTCACAAATAACTCTAGTATCAAGTATGATGCAAGACACTTGTGAGAATTTGTACATTTAACATCCATGACAACTGATGTTAGGAATACATACACAAGTGAACTTGGTGAATATCGACAGGAACTTTTTTTATTAGTCAAATTAACAAAAGCATGGTAAAGTTAAGCCTTGGATAAGTACTTCAAACTAGCACAAAATGTAATATATGATATGCGATATAGACAAATTTGATAAAACATGGGTAATAAGATAAGGAAATGAATAAGATCACACCCGGTGATCGTGAAAATGGGACGGAGGGGGGGAGCAGGCAAAATCTGCAAGAAAATTCAACAAATCTGAGAGATTTATTTTTTCAAGAAAAAGTTTACTATTAAATTGCTGAATTGATAGGCGCACGGTATGGTAAAATATGTTAGGTCTTCTGGGATTTTTTCTGAAACGATAGGCATCTAAGATATGAGATCTATTAAAAAAGACGCGAGGCAACCAACAGACACAAATCAACGTTTTAGCTATAAATCAAGCAACAATTGTCTACACGACCTGTATTAAATACTTGTAAGTGACGATATCATAACTAAATTAATGCCATTGCTGAATTTATAAAATAAGTTTCAATAAGTAAAATAAAAAATAATCGAAAATAATTATGGGACGGAGGGGGGGAGCAATATGTATCATGTCTTAATACATATTGCTCCCCCCCTCCGTCCCAAAATTATTTTCGATTATTTTTTATTTCACCTATGGAAACTTATTTTACAAAGTCAGCAATAACATTAATTTTGTGACGATAATGTCACTTACAAGTATTTATTACAGGTCATGTACACCATTGTTGCTTCATTTATAGCAACAAGATTGACTTTTGCACGTTGGTGCGTTGCGCCTTTTTTAATAGATCTTATACCCTAAAAGAGTATCGGTTGAAAAAAAATCCTAGAATACCTAACATATTTTACAATACCGTGAGCCTATTTATTTGGCAATTCAATAGTAAACTTCTTCTTTAAAAAATAAATCTTCCAGATTTGTTGAAATTTCTAGCAGAAATTGCCTGCTCCCCCCCTCCGTCCCAATTCTACGATCACCGGGCGTGAAGATGGCATATAATAATGAGATGTTAAATCATGTGTTGCCAGAACTATAATCTAGACAAAAACAAACTAGGTAAAACATGGGTGCTTTTGCATCTTATCATCACTCTGATGTCACAGCTGAAATAAAACGCTTAGGAGAATTTGTACATTTAACATCTAAGGCAGCTGATGTAAGGAATAGATACACACCAGCTAAACTCAATGAACATACATCATTTATTGAAGACAATATGCAAACTCTAGTAGGAAAGGTTGGTGAATATGACTCAATGTTAAGTTCCAAAGGGCTTCTCAGACGTGGTAGCTCATATAGTGGAACTAAGATACTTTGGCCAGATGAATATGATTACATGCCAATACTGGCAAACTTTAACACAAACACAGTGGACATGGAGGATGTGCAAAGTATATGTAGTGATTTTCGTTATAGAAATCTCAGAGAAGAGGGATTTGGTTACATCAAAGTGAAACCTGGAGCTCTATCAATGCATAATATGGAAAAATACACTAGAAATAATGAGAAAGGGAAATATCTATGTAGTGAGAAACTTGAAGATGAACTGAGAAAACTAATTATACAATCCCTGCAGCATATGGATACATTGACATATATAGGAGAATTAGACCATGAGTTGAACACTGATGCTCAATACGAGAGAGGAGAGATAAGTATCCATGAGAGGATGCATGGTCCCAGCTTCTGGCTGAGGGTTGGTGGGCCCCTGTGTACTACTGATATAGACCTCTGTTTCTCTATAGAGGGGAACCCAACTAAGCAACTGGGGCCCTGTCTAATGGTAAATGGTAATATTAGTGAACGCAAGTGCAAGTGTGGCTATTCCAACTCACAACACTGGATGAAGTCTGTCATAAATCCTCCTGTTAACACAAAATATATTTTGTCTGAATCTCACAAGGAACTCTTCCTAACTCTTAAGTACATTTGTCATCTCGTTTCAGAAATGTCACTTTGGACACATCCTGACATACTCTCCAGCTATACTGTAAACATGGTGTTGTTAACACATCAGCAGACCTGTAAGGCAGTAAATGTGGGAGAATGCTTTGAGGATATTGTCAGAAGGATCCTGAATAAGACTAATAATGATATTATCAATCTACACATATACAATTACTCACCAAACTACACATATGATGTATTCTTTCCTAAGAGAATGCTAGCTCCCCACAAACATCACAGTCGTGCAGCAATTGCATGGTTCATGCTGCAAGTTATTCACACTGAAGATGATGAATGGATACACAAACTACTCAGACTCACCAAGGAGCCTCACACACCTGAATGGTGGGACACACAACTGAGTAAGAATGACAGTGATAGTAGACAGTTGAGAGATTTAATGAAGGTAATCAAGATGTGTGACAGTTGGAAGGAAGACAGTCCATTCAGATTAGAATGGCACCGCAGAGATGGCAGTGTAAAGGCCTCATTAACCATAAAGTATGATAAGTAGTTGTACTAATTGTGATTAGAGAATTGAAACAATATAACAATTCACCCATACATAGATGTCACTGTGTTCTTCACATTTATCAAACATCTCCCTTTTAATCCAGCACTGATCATATGATCACTTCAAAGTGATAGAATACTATTGTAAATATATAAAAGTGAATAAAATTTTTGTACTATACAGCAGAATATTTAAAATCAGACTGGAACAAATACCCAGATTGAATACTTTTGGGTAAAAAGTATTTTAAGATATTTGCACAGATATAATAGTGAATAAAATGTTTGTATTATATTTGTGTATCATGTAATTTTAAATGTTGATTGCTTAAAACAATAAATACATGTACAGCACTTATATAGAAGTGAAAAACAAAGAATATTGTTAAAATTTATTTTGTTGACAAGATTCCTCAAGTTACGTCCATCCCAAAAGAGGCAGACATTTTGAATGTTAATAATATACTAACTATGTACCTTTTTGAATGATGGTTCCATCCCTTAAACCCTAATTAATCTAAATTGGTGTTATTTGTATTACTACCTAGGTTATGCACTCAAATGTCAATTCTCCATAGCTCACAAACCCCAACACCTAGAGACCCATAAACCATATACAATCTTAATAAGTAAACCATGGGTGAGGGAGGGGTTGGGGAGGGCATGGCACAATATTAGGTTTAGAATATTGCCTACCATATAAATACAATCTTGCTGAAAACCACAATAACATATAAAACATGAAACAGATTAAAGACATAGAACTTGGTGCATAATTATCACAACTATAGCAACCAAAATGCATAACATGGACAAGTATGTGGAAATGGTACTCAATGAAAACAGAGTACAAAGATCAATCCAACAGACAAAACACAGATTCAACAGACAAAACACAGATTCAACAGACAAAACACAGATTATGTGAGATACTCTAATAGGATTGTTAACCAAAACCAAAATGAGAACATCATGTAGTCATGTTTTAAAGAACTATATTCTCTCTAAAATTTGAATAATGTGTCTGATTTTCTTGCATTTTTCTACACTTTAGAGTGTTGACTACATCCCTATTCATTTAATTTCTCACTAATTCCATTCCATTTCACTTTATTTTGCATTTCAAAACATGACCGTCATGACATCTTTTGACGGGAGGTAAATTGTATTACCTGAGTGTTAACGTTAGCAATGGCCTGAAATATTAGAAATTATAAAATTATGCTCAATAGAGGTCACTCTGTAATGATTTCACATGTCATGTCTCGAGGATTGAAATGTCTTCTTGCATTTCAATACAATTTGAGTGTTCATTCCATCATTGTTTTCCTTGCTATTTCATATTTCCACTCCTGATACAGAAATCAGACCAAAAACACTGGCCTTTTTGAGGTTTGCCTTTATTAAGTCAATAAAATATAGTACTATATTTAATATGTATAAATATATGCTTTTTATTTTGCTGGTATTATTTCTGCAATTGAGAGTTGGATATAGCAAGGAATAAGGCACAACGCATGTAATCAATATTGTCATAATCGTCATATCAAACCTCCAGAGAAAAGCCATAGAGTAATCATTATCAAATTGACCAATTCAAACTTTAGAGAGCCATCATTTAAAATAAACACTAGTAGAGACATCTATAAACAAATTAGATAAAAGAATCTATGGTTTCAATCCATTATTTTCAAATTTCCCATAATCCTTTTCACACCGTCTGCTTATGTATCTTCAGTCAATGGAGCCTGCTTGATCTTAATGTGAAAATGGTTTTAAAAGAATTTGAAAGAAAGATGGTAAAGCAAATTGTACAGCAAGATCCAAGAATGCAAACTATAACAAAAATTGAGTAACAACAATTTTGAAGGCAATATATAAATGACCTATTACACACTTCATTATGAATTCTTACAATATTATCTACCAAATAAGACCCCTTTAGACACCAACAAAGACCCCTTGAATAAAATGCAAAATTAAAATATCTATTAAAGTGCCTCATATCATAGAGTGATATAACTACAATTAGTTAGAATAACAACAAACATAAACTGCAAATTAATATTGTGCGAAGTACAGTGCATTTTCATAATAGCCAAAAGTGTCACTATTTTCTCGAATAATTTTAACATCTAAGTGTTATAGTTATTGCATGGGGATACAGGGGGGGGAGAGGGGGGGGGGGGGGGGAGAGGGGGAGGGGGGGGGCTAGTAACAGAATTGGGAGGGGGCAGAGCTTATCAGTCTTAAGTATAAATCTCATCTTCATGGTTCTAGATTTTATAGGGTACATCTTCTTGGTCTTATTATATTCATCTCAATATAGAAGATATTAGAATTTACATGGTTGGTAAGTGTCAAAGACCATAGAATAAAACATGTGATCAAAAGTGGGCGTCGCCCTAATCATAGTATATGGTTCATTCTCTATAAATACAGAGTTTAACTTGACTTTTGAAGTATATTTACTTAAAAACATCTTTGATTTATACTTAATGTCAAGCATTTCTGGTAAGTTATATACATCTTATTGTAATAGTTATTGCCTGGAGGTGGAGGAGGGGGGGGGGAGAGTAACAGAATTGGAAATGGGCAGAGCTAATAAGCCTTAAATATAAATCTAATTTACTTAGTTCTGGATTTCATGGGGTACATCTTCTGGGTCTTCTTCACATTCATCTCAATATATGGGATATTCCAATTTACATGATTGATAAGTGTCAAAGACCATTCAATTACGTAAGTGGGTGTTGCCGTCACAATAGTAGATAATTCATTCTCTATGAATATGGAGTTTAACTTGACTTTAAGATACATTAAAACTTCTTTGATTACACTTAATATTGTAATAGTTATTCCCTGGGGGGGGGGGGGGCAAGGGGGGTAGTAGCAGAAATGGGAGGGGGCAGAGCCAATGGCCAGTCAGTCTTAATATAAGTATTAATATCATAGTCTGATCATTTTCATTCACCTCCTGATGTTAATATATTAACAATATCATATGGAAGAATATACCACTACATTTTCAGATTTGAGAATCATTCAGTTGAATGTGTCTATATGGCGCTCCACCTTTGCCTTTTAAAAAGGTGCTCTTGCTATTGCCCTTTCTGCATGACACTTCATCTGTGAATGTGTAAAGTGCTAGGAAGGCTGCATATATGTCAGGGTCTATATTGAGGAAATACCGCTGACATCAGTCTTCATTTGTTTCCGACTCAAGTATCCAGCAGCACACTTTGCTGTATTTTGCTTCTTGTTTTCATCATCATACAAGAACTCATTCCAATCTTTAGGGACTCTTGTTTTTCAACCTTAAATAGGGCAAGGTGTCCCTCCCCTCTTTCAGGTTCCTTTATAGAATTTTTGATGTAATTATCACATACAAAAACTAATCAATCTGCAATTGTAGAATCTTGAGAATAGTCTCCGCCAGATCCTGAAACAAAACTAGCTTTCAAGTTGAATTATGGTTTGGGATAGTTGGGGTTTGTTTTCCTTATGACTTGTATACATTTTGAAGTTGTCTTTTTCTTGCTGGGTTCTATTACAAATTTTGGCCCTTTCCCTTTGGCACCTGTGGGTACATATTCATGCATAGGAATGGGTTTCTCTGTTCTTGCAAGAAGTCCAGTCAGTGTTCCTAGAGCCCAAGGCACAGGGCTCAATAGGAACTGCAGGAGACATTCTAGGCTAATTTTATGTTCCTAAGCAAGATCGAAGCTGTTCAAAGATGTTTCATTCAGAATCAGAATGAATTTGAACCATCTTATAAGCTTGTTCTGAGTACTTTTTTACTGTCACTGTTGCTGCTGTAGTTTGCTGCTGTAGTTTTCAATTTCATACGTTTTATTATATCGTGAAATCTTTTTCAACTAATCTCAGATGATTCTCTTCATGCAATTTTTCCTTTTGACTAAAATTAGATGACAGCGACATCATTTGGCACAGATTCTCCTTATGATAGACCGTAGAGATGACCTTCATCCTCAATGGTAAATGGATCAAGAAAGTCTTTGATTGCAGTGTCTGTCATCTTTATGTCTTTTTCTGTACTTGATATTTGTGCCTTTCCAAGGTCATTATAGGTGTCACACTCATCTCATCTCTAGATAATATTCCTAAGTTGGTCTTATGAAGGACCGTCTGATTGTTGTAACCATCTCATCCATATAAAGCACTTATTGTCTGTATGGCCCATATTGCAAATTCTCATATTGAACCACCAGATGATGGAAGCTAAATGACTCCATCGTTATAATGGGTATTGACTGATATTCTCAGATAAGAGATTGGTGATATAGCAACACCAGGAGATGAATCAGAAAACCCCAGAAGATGTACCCTATGCAATCCAGAATTAAGAAGATGAGATTTATACTTAAGGCAGATTAGATCTACACATTCTAATTCTGTTACTACTCACCCCGCCCCAATGTAAAAACTATAATACTCACACAGATGTATTTACCAGAAATGCTTGACATAAATTAAAATAACAGCAGTTCAGTATAACTATGAATGTATCTCTAAAGTCAAGTTCAATTTTGTATTTATACAAAGAACCAATCATCTACTATTGTTAGGATGACACCCCCTTTTGATCATTTATTAATATGTAATTGTATGGTGTTTGACAAATCATGTAAATTGCCATATCCCATGTATTGAGATGAATGTGAAGAAGACCCAGACGATGTACCCCATGGAATCCAGAACTATGCAGATGAGATTTATACTTAAGGGTGATTAGCTTTGCCCCCTCCCAATTCTGTTACTACTCTCCCCCACTCTCCCCCAGGCAAGAACTATTACAATTATATGTGCAATACTTACCAGAAATGCTTGAGTATTAAGTATAATCAAAGAAGGTGTAATGTAAATGTATCTCAAAAGTCAAGTTAGACTGTATTTATAGAGAATGAATCATCGACTTTGATAAGGGCAACGCCCACTTTTGATCAATTGAGTAATTCTATGGTCTTTATACTTACCAATCATGCAGAATTCTAATATCCTATATATTGAGATGAATGTGAAGAAGACCCAGACGATGTACCCCATGAAATCCAGAACTATGTAGATGAGATTTATACTTAAGGGTGATAAGCTCTGCCCTCTTTCAATTCTGTTACCCCCCCCCCATCTACCCCCTCCCCCATGCAATAAGTATAACACTTAGATGTACATTATTTAGCAAAAATGCTTGATATGAAGTATAACCAAAGAACATCATAATAAATGTATCTCAAAAGTCAACTAAAATTCTGTATTTATAGAGAATGGCAATCATCTACTACTATAAGGGCGACGCCCACTTTTGATCCCTAATGTAATTATATGGTCTTTGACACTTACCAGTTATGTCAATTGCAATATCCTTTATATTTAAATAAATGTTTGAACTGCCCTGGTAATTTTGAGAATGCTAAAATGTTCTGATATCTGTTGATTTGAAAAATAATCCCCATTCTATATTAGGTGCAGGTACAGGTTTTACCAAAATTATGGATCTTCTCATCAAAAATTATGGTTTCCATGACAACCATGAGTGTCAGACCATTGTAACTTTACATACTACCTCAGAATGATCTCATCAACTCTCAATAAAATTATTATAATGATTGAAGATCAACTGAATTAATTATTCAATGATGATAATGTACCCCCTGTAATTTTCCTTTTTAGGGTCAAAAACCCCATTTTGACCATTTTCGCCCCGGATACGGCGCGTCAGACAAAAATATTCTGAAGTATCACATAAAAATACTTAAGAAACAAGTAATTTCAATTTGTTCAGACACCGGTACATTTTTCGGTGCTAGCTCACATACTATAGGTAACATTTTATTTCAAATATAACTCAAAATATAAAAGTGCAAGAACAGTAAAGTTAGTTACTACATTCACATTTTAAAGAAAATATGTGAAATATGAAAAGATAAATTGAACTTACCTCTGGTTTGCGATCAGGCCCTCGGTAGGTATTATTATTGTTGCCATGATTACTACTGTTGTTGCCATGGTTACTGCGTGGAGATTCTCGAGGTGGAGCAACAGCTTTAGGCTGAGGAACGACTGCAAATATAAATGTTTCACAAACTTATTATAATATAATCACTAAACAGACCTTTTATATGTTTATTGTTTAATATCAACTTCTGTAAATATTTTTGACGAAAAAGTTTTTTTTCTGAGGTTCAGTATACTTTTCTCAACATTTACATGTTTCTTTTAAAAATCATAATGTCTAAAATACCCTTCTAGAATAACACATGATTTTCTCCGAACATTTAATTAATACAAATTAGTGCAATTATCTTGGTTTCGTGCATGTACAACATAGCAGTACAACAGTATGGGATAACAGCTATTAGTATGGGATATCAGCAATTAGTATGGGATATAAGCAGAAAAAATGGAATATTAGTGATAACAAAATAAATGAACAGTTTAATAATTGTGTTCATCACAGTCCTGTATATGATAAGTGCATGGGATAACATAATGGGATAACAGCACAATAATCATAAGTGCATGAGATAATAGAATGGGATAACAGCACAAAAGATATTCTTACATGCACAACATATTTGGATAACTAAAAAACATCAAAATACATGTAACAAGATAACTTCACAACATAATAGGACAACATTAGAAAACAATGGGATAACAGCACAGTATAATGGGATAACAGCACAGTATAATGGGATAACAGCAGACAAAATAATATCCTAACATCACAACATAACAATATAAAAATGTATCCCTATGGGATAACAGCAGAACAATAACAATGGGATAGCAGTGCATTAAAATGGTATAATAACAAAAAACTATAGGATAACAGCACAGCACAATGGGATAACATCACAAAATAATGAGATAACAGCAAAGTTAATATAAACCACTCACCGATGTCATCACCTTATGAGGAAGAAAACAGACATAATATCAGAAGAAATTTTCAATTAAAATGTTAAAACTACTTACTTCCATTTTATTGCAGTGAGTCAAATGAAATGGCAACTAACAAATGGGCACTCAAAATTTAATCAAACAAATCAGTGATTTTTGGAACTAGACTTGAACAAGTGAAATAACTTCATTTCATATTGAAAATTTCAAACAAAATATGAGTGAATTTTGTACCTATGACTCTAGACTGAAGGGGGAACTGTTTCACGGGACCCTGCTGTTCACGACTAGTGGGGGCTTGATCTCTCCTGACTGGGGGTGGAGGCGTGTATCCCTGACCCCCACTAGATGGGTGTATAGCTCGGGGCTGCTGAATCTGATGTTGCCGAGGTGGCCCCACCTGTCTTTGTGCCTCCTTCTGCCGTTGGTTTTCAGCGTGACGTTGATTTTCCGCATGACGTTGGTTTTCTCGATGTCGCTGCTGGTTCTGTTGTTGTTGCCTTTGTCTTTGCTCGTGGTGTTCATTTTGACGTTTTTGTTGTTGTTGTTGTTGTGATTTTTGTTGCTGTTGCTTAGATTGTTTTGGTGGGGGTTGGTTGGGGGGAGCTCCCCCATTGAAGAAGTGCATATTGGGGGGCAGGAAGGGACTGGGGGTGATTCGGCCCTCCCCGGACTGCAATTGTTGGAAGTTACGTTTCAACGTTGATTCTCCCGGGATTTGAATTATTGAACTAAAAAACAGAAAATCAAAAATTAAGACGAAATCTGAAGGGAAATACCTGTCCGTTGTTCACAGCTAGAGGGCAAGGAAAATATTACTTTTAAAAGTAAGAAAGATATTGTACAAACATTTCTTTCTGTTTTGGAGAATACATTTTATCTTTCACAAGTTATATTCCCCAAAATATTTGTTTTATTATTCAATGGTATATTTTTCATTCTGTTATATCATTTACTTGTTTTTCTCAGAACACAGGATATTAAAATTGAAACAAGGCACAGAATAACAGGGAAATATTGCATATCATGTGACCTGTTTTAACCAATCACAAAATGAGAAATCATCACTGTTAGTTAATAATGCTTTAAACCATCTAATTCACTTCAATAAAACCAATCACCAGCCATAATAATTATTCATCAAAATGTCACATGGTCCAACTCTTATATTTTGATTGCTGTGATACTAAGGGGTCCTCTTACCTTGGTTCACCCTCTGCTAAGGGGTCTTCTTCATCATTGTCACTACCCTCATATTCATAATCAGTATCATGGTCAACATCTGAAAACAATTCAATATTTTTGAGATCAAAATTCTTTTACTAGATTTCAGTTTCTATGACCACACCCCCATATGATACCAAGGGCAAACTAACATCAGAGTAAATGAAAATAATTCATCAAAACTCAAATGGAGAATAAATTAGCAGATATAGTAATTGAAATATACAGTGCGTCTCAAAAGAAACGCAACAAACAAAAACATGTAATCATCACTGGTTTTGTGGTTTTACAATGTTTTTGCTTGTCGCGTTTTTTTGGGACGCACTGTATGAGTTTTTAAGTTTAAATACTCCTTTAATGTACAAAGTGAAAATAAATGGGCTGAACTCTCCAAGTATTGGCATTTCAAGACAATAAAGGCACCAGTTTATGGCAATTCTTTGCTACAGTTCTATTTATTACTTTATTAATTAATCTCCCAAGCATGAGAGAATCTGGCTGCTGCATCCAGTTGAAATAACGTGCCATCCAGTCAAAAATCTGTCAATTTGACGAAATATCGAGATATTTTGACCAATATTGGTGAAATTAGGATTTAGCACCCTATTGTTAAACCTGGAGAGACCACTAAAAGTTACATTTTTTTGGAACTTTGAATTTCTACAAATAAATGAAATTTTACTTCAAACTCAATTTCATGTTTTTGTGATAAGATAGAGAGGCTGAATTTCACCACAATTGCTTGCCAAGTCCACCCTTCCTTTTAAATCCATGCTTTCCATGCAAGTATTACCTTTTTTGAGTGATTTCTTGTGTCTATCTATGTGGTCCTTCAGTTGTATCCTGACCTGTCTCTCGGTTGGTTGGTCTCGTATAAATGGATGTTTCAACAATTGGTCTGTCCCTGGTCGCTGGGTGTAATCTTTAAGAAGGCAAGTATCGATGAAGCTTATAAATTTTTTCGACCTGAAAAAATGAACATAGGCATTAAGCATTTAATCTGCTGAATATCAGTGCATTTTCAGATTTTGTCAGTTTTTGCCATTTTATTATCTTAGTAATTATACAATATTTGATGTTCATTTTCTTGGTTCTACAGAAAAAATGCAAATATTTCAGAAGGCATGTTTTGTGTGAATTTTATTAACAGTATTCCGATAGAAAAATGCAGGACAGAAACTTTTTAATGAACTTTTTTCATAGGTATTTATCTGGAAAGTTGAAACATAGGGTCATTTTCTCGAGTATAAGTGATTAACATTTGTTTTAAAAGTTTAAAAAATTTGACTTCTCTTTTTGTGTATTCTTCACAGCGAAACATGATACTTCAACTCCACATACTAAGCTTCATGCCTTTTTACCTTATTCGTTGCTTATTCCACTTAATTTCTCTCTAAAATTTAAATGAACTGCCTGATTTTCTTGCATTTCTATACAATTTAGAGTGTTAACTACATGCCTGTTTACTTTATTCCTTGCTAATTCCTCTCATTTCTCTCTAAAATTTGAATGAACTGCCAGATTTTCTTGCATTTCTATACAATTGAGTGTTTACTACATGTCTGTTTACTTTACTCCACATAAATTCCTCTCTTTTTCGCTGTATTTTACATTTTAATTCATAACCCTCTTGAACATTTTCTCATTGCACACCACATACCATTTCCGCCCTTTCATTTTTGGCGGTGGATTTCGGGGTATCAAGAACAATGCTCTCATTGGATGCATATCACAAAGTGGCGGCTTTCCCTCGGCCATTTCTATTGCAGATATCCCAAGAGACCATAGATCGCTACGGTTATCGTAAGTTGCGTCTGGATTCTCATCACAGGCTATTACCTCAGGGGCCATCCTAAATAAAAAAAATTATTAAAAAAAAGTTCACAGTATGAAATGTGATTAAGTCAACAGATTCGATCATTCCGATCTATACTTTCAAGCATATCACAATTATTAGCACATTTCACAAATATTTCATTTTGTAAATCACTTTGCCTATGCATATGAAGGCGAATGTATAGGCAGAATGGTTAAAATTTAAATAAGTAGGTGAACAGTTTCATGTTTCAAACATTTCAACATGTAAGTTGCTAGCTTTCAACTGTTCATTGGTTTCAATCAAATCGTTTCAATAAATTTCACTTGGATTTTAGGCATTCAGTTTTCATAAGTCAACAGACATTGTAATTGTTGAGTACAATTGAAACACATAATATAGAGAAAAATGTCAAAATCATACCAATATGGCGTCCCAATGAATGTGTTCCGTCTGCCAATGGTTTTGTCCAGTTGAGCACTGACCCCAAAATCGACCAACTTGACTTCAGCATTGTCTGTTAGTAGTACATTCTGTCCCTTGATGTCCCTGTGTATCACCTTGCTAGCATGTAAATGGGAGAGACCCTGGAATAATATGTATAGTTATTATATAGGACATTTTATCATTTAGTTTTATCTCAGGCTTGTGCAAGTACCAAACAAATGTTATCACAAAATATATGAAGTTTCATATCTATATTTTCTTTAGAAGTTACTTTCATGACCTCCGACTATGTAGTTATTTCATCCTTTGCTAATTCAACAATATATTGCCTTTTCCCTCTTTGTCTGTTTTACACAATTTCCACATACCCTTAGTATTTCTCTTGATATATATGCTATCCATTCTTCCTTTAGAGAGTTGCCTTTAGTGGCTGAAAAACAAGAAACAATCAACTTATGTTCTAAAAAATAAATGTGCAGTACCAATAATGAGAGCCTAAATTATATTAAAAATATTAATGTAAATTAGTTTCAATTAATTATGCTCTGTCATTGACAGACTATGATATTATCTGCCTTTTTCATCTGTTTTACCATACAGCTATACATATTACCAAAATATACAGCTCCAGTAATATACTACCAAAATGTATAGCTGCAGTCACATATTACCAAAATGTCGAACTCCCTAATGGGAGGCATCAAAAGTTCGATGTCGGATCAGAAACTAAATAAATCTAGTTAGGGGGGAGGGGGTTCAAAGCCATTTCAGTTTGGTATCCGACAAATTTCAATGTTTCAATTTTGCAATTTTGACTCTAAATGGCTTGGAATGGTTTAAAAATAAAGATTTTACCCGATGCTTTCTTTGTCGAGATCATTCCAGTAGATTCTATTCTATCAATAGTTTTTAAAAGCCGCAAATTACGATAGGAATTAACAAAAAAAAACTAGATCGCTTTTAGAAATAACTTTTCAAATTCTCAAACTGGAAGTCAGTGATCAACTTCCATGGTATTGAGTTGTTTTTTTTTGGGGGGGGGGGGTGTCAAAGTCAAAACTTTTTTTTTTTGGGGGGGGGTGTGTCAAAGTCAAAACAAGATTTATCTAGTTTCCGATCCAACATTGAACTTTTGATGCCTCTCCTTACCTTTGACAAGATCTGTTACTGAGCCAGCCCCGCAGAATTCCATGACAAGCTGCAATAAAACAAATAAAAATCAATGATTCAGGAAAAACACCAAATTGTCTACTAGCCTTATTATCAAGTAATACGGCTATATTTTATGTATGTTAGCTGAATACAATTGTTTCATCAATGCAGTTTTTATCATAAAAGTTGGGGTTTCATATGTGTCACCCTGAACAAATGAACAAACGCAAACAAACAAAATATTTCATGGTATAAAAGTATTGTGTAAAGATTAGACAGCGTTTACATTATATTTACTAAGTATATGTAGCTTTGAATAGATATCAATGCTAGTTTGTTACGCTTCAGCCATAATTTATTATTTTATTATTTCAAAAGAATCCATAAAATATTCTGAAGTCTCACCCAAAGCTGGTCATCTTTCCCTGCTGGACTTTTCTTTATAAAGGCACCATAGTATGTAGCTATGTTTCTGTGATGGGAGTACTGCAAATACACAAAACACAAGAAATTTAAATAAACTCTTACATATGCTCATTTCCATGTATAGCACTGGTCTGATATAGTATCATGAATTTTGAAAATCATGAAATGTTAGGATATTTTGAGCGGTTAAATTGCTAGACTCTTTCATGCTATGTAAGTTTACAGTATTTTCATGCATAATGTGAATACTTAAATTATATTATGGATTTAAGTATCATGAAAAAATTTGATACTTTTAGCTGTTTTAGACAATTGTTCATCCATTAAGAAATATTTTACGATGATTTGGGAAAAAAATTAAAGAGAACATCGTCATTCTCCAAGCAAGGATTTTTGTTTTTTGTCCTCTGGAAAGTCAAACTGGTAAATGAAATGTATTGTATGGTATGAAGTAGGGCTTCAAACATCTTTGTTTTAGTCTCGTTGATTTAACACTACACTTAACCGCATGGCTATTGCCATATCATAATAACCATAATTTACAATTTAGCCATGAAATCCAAGAAGAAAAAATAATGTACCCCATTTCCCATAGTGCATCATGATTTATAATTCACCGTATATGAGGCTACTAAGGTATTATGGGAAACAAAGACCTCCTGTATATTGGCAATGAAGATATTATACAAAGAAGTGACTCATAAAATCGACAATTATAAGAATCGGAAGAATTAAGAGTTATAATATTTATCTATAATATCAAGTGTAAAATTCTTAGTCTAATCCAATATTCAATAATCTTACTATCATGCAAATGTTTTGATTTTTCACTGATTTTATTTTAATTATGAATTATAAAGAACAAAACCTCATATAAACTGAATTACAATATTAGATAATGCCACCTCTCTATTTTCAATAATTATTAATTTTCAACCTTATAAACTGAATTACAATATTAGATAATGCCACCTCTCTATTTTCAATAATTATTAATTTTCAACCTTATAAACTGAATTACAATATTAGATAATGCCACCTCTCTATTTTCAATAATTATTAATTTTCAACCTTATAAACTGAATTACAATATTAGATAATGCCACCTCTCTATTTTCAATAATTATTAATTTTCAACCTTATAAACTGAATTACAATATTAGATAATGTCACATCTCCATATTTTCAATAATTATTTCCAATCTCCACTTTTAATCATTGCACCATATAAATAAGGATAAGTGTTTTGCGTATCTGACCATGGAGGGGATCACAAGGCCTTCATAGTGACTCATACTTTGAGGCCACACAAATTAATATTTGTTCTATGTATGAAAACAATACTTAGAACACCCTCTTTAAATTTGAAAATTACATGACATTATGTTGGAAACCTGTTTGCTTGTAAAGTGTAAAATTTAAGTACTTTATTAAACACATTTTTTCAAAAATGGATAAGTACTCGGGACTCTACATGTATTTAGAGTAATAAAATAGGGATTACTGTTTTATATATGAGTAAACAAGGGTCATTTGACTATTTTTAATTCAAGCAATTTTTAGTATGAGGTTGACATACAGAAGAGGCACAGATATTGTTGCCAAGGAGTCTCATCTGGGTAAACCAAAACTACCTTTGCTATTTTGCAGATCAATGTCTGTGAGTCTTGCCAGGTAATAACTCAAGAGCTTATTTCAAAACCTACCTAGGTTAAACGAAGCATTAACTCACAATGGCCTTAAACCTACAAATTATCACCCTGGGATTTTGATTATTCTTAAAAATCATACAAAAAACCAACAAAATGAAACAAATTGCATTCATAGAATCAAAGTTTATCTATCAAAATATGCGGAAATCAATTCATAAGACGATACATTTAATTCAGTATTTTTGAGATATCAAAATAAATACGCTCCATGCTGAACAATTTGGAGGGTGATACAGTTAACCGCAAACATTTACTGATGTTGTCTTATTGATTCTAGTATTCTACCCATTCATAAAATATTCCAAGTTTTCACACAATTTCTCTCTAAATATAGTGAAATTGTGAGGAATTAGCAGGGAATATTCTAACTAGACATGATGTTACACACTGAATTGTGAGAAATGCAAGAAAATCTTGCATTCCATTCATGTTTTAGAAATAATATGTGGAGAGAGTATATTTTAACAAGGGAATTACTTATCACTGTAAGAAGAAGAAATTCACAGTGGTGTATTTTGAAACTCAACATAGAATGGAAAATAATGTAATCAACAAGGAATAAAGTAAACAGGCATGTAGTTAACACTCTAAATTGGATAGAAATCCAAGAAAATCAGTCTATTCATTCAAAATTTAGAGAGAGGAATGTGAAAAACAGTGAAATAGGCATGAGCAGACGAGACAGAAAATGTGTGTTAAGGATTGCTCTTGGGTTAAAACTAACTACACTGCTCTTATGAGGTCACAAAGTGGTTCTTTTGGTTCAAAGGCCTTCAAAGATACCATGCATTATGCATTGAATCAATGTAGCGATATAGCACATCATGAGCCTTCTGACAAATCCACATATAGCATTGTGACCCCTCCCCCATGAGGAATGGTAAGAGGGAGATAAAAATGCATGCAGTTTGATTGAAACATCATACATGGTGACCCATGTTTGTTGTTTTGCCCACCATGTATACATGGAATGCCCGTTTTCTGCCCCAAAATATTCACACAGTGGTGAATGGTTAGCCCATATGGCCTATGTATGATAGCTTCACAAGACATCATTTTCAGTTTTGAGCTGGATACTCTATGTGTATAATGGTCACATGGTAAAAAGAAAGAAAAAAGTCTCATCAAGTTTAGGCCATCCTCCTGAGCAGGTATCCAGAATCCGTACCTCCTTCTTCCCCCTGCTATAATCAATTTGGAAGCGCCCGAATTAAACTGAATCACGTGATCTACAGGGTGGTCCAAAAAAAATTGGAACATTTGTTAATTGAACACAAAACCTTTATTTTTCCTCTAAAATGCACCAAAATTGCACTGAGCATAGTTCAGTCACTTATCTCTTTGATGTAAAGTTTATAGGTGCACATCATAAAGTTAATGCATTAAACTAGTCAATGTTTGATATGACCCCCTTTTCTTAAATATACACTTGTCAATTTCGCAGCTTCTTTTTCAAGTATTCTTTATTTCAAAGCTTTAATGAACATGTTGATTGCTATACACATTTTATAAAATCATATTTAGTTGACATGAGGTATTTACATCTATGGTTTACTGGAAAACTATTGTTTTATTGTCAACTTAAGAATACCCCAAATCATTATTTTTATTAAAGAGTAGGAAAGAAAGAACATGTCAGAGGTAAGTGATTGCATAACCCATACAGCTACTAAACTGACAAAATCATTGTTTCCACTTTTCAGTAGAGGGGAAACTGACTAGTTATTTACAAGGCTTTATTAAAGACCACCTCTAAGCACATATATACTATAATATATCATTTGTTTGTGTTCTGGGAAACTCCTTTATGATATTGATATACATATATTGATATATTCAATGAATATTTTTCATATTAGAACAAAAAAGGGGAGGGGGTTCATTTACCAGTCAAAACAGACTGCCCTAACCTCTTTCTGGAGAATATTCAATCAGTAATATATCCAACAATAGCCATCAAAATATGCTTGATACCCATCAATTTTGGGTAAAAAAGTTGAATATGTTCATATATTTGATCTTCCAAGGCAAACATATAAGTAATTTGTTCAAGCTGAATTTTTAATCAAGATGGCTTGGACAAAATCAAACGAACAGCAAAGTGAATGAATCATTTCAAAACTGAGTCCCAGGCTTCAACTTGTAATTCAGGAGAGAGGGAGTCATATCAAACATTCTCTAGTTTAATGCATTAACTTTGTTGTTTGCACCTATAAACTTTACATCGGATAAATAAGTGATTGAACAATACTCAGTAAAATTTTGGTGCATTTTAGAGAAAAAATAACGATTTTGAGTTGAATTATCAAATGTTCCAATTTTTTTTGGACCACCCTGTAATTATGCGCAATGACATGATTTCTGTTGCAGTGTTGCACCAGCCAATCAGATTGCGAGTTCTTAATCGGGGAAATGCTAACTGCTTATCGCAGGGGGTAGAAAGAAAGAATATATTCTGGATTTTGAAGCCCTGTGATCGGAGGATGAGTTCAGACTTAAATTTTTGTTTTAACTGGTAAGGTAGATAAGGTTCATATCATTTATTAATATGATGTACCAACATGTCTAGACATATCCAGTAAAATCTAATTTCACATTAATACAATGTAATAGTCCCTGGATACTCTTGCCATAGATAATAGTTATATACAGTGAAATCTGTAAAGTGGAACACTTCTATACACCCCCAAAATGCAATCTGATTTTCAACGCTGTTTCGATGCCAAATTTCGGTGCCGTTTCGGCACCAAATGGACAGACTAGTCTGGTGACAAATTTTGGTGTCGAAAGGTTTTGGTGCCAGAATGGTGTCGAAACGGTGCCGGAACAGCGCCGAATGTTTTCGATGCTGAAATGGCGCCGAATTATATTGGCTGTGTAAGTGGAAGACCTCTATAAATAGAACACCTCAACAAGTGGAACACTGTTTTGAAGTCCTGTTACCTTTTAAGGTAACATAAAATAATCTGCCACAAGTGAACACCTCCAAAGTACTTTACTTTGAGATACCAACTTGTGTTTTTTCAATACAAGTTTTTATGTACTGATATTAAGTGTGCCCTTTAAGTAATATGCAGACATTATTCTGTATAATGATCAAGGATAATAGCATATACTATGCAGAACATATTACATATTCATCAATGTCAAATTAAGTGAAATTACCCTTTGCATTTGTTTTACTTTACTTCTTAAAAGAGAGCTTCGTCTTCACTCTCAGTTTACAATAAATCTCCGATCTCACCGAGAGGCAATCAGAGTTCATCGTCAAAATACGGTTGACTTTCTATATCTGGTCATTTTCTCTGACATCATCGCATAGTTAATGAGCACGTATTTAGCATGTGTTATTGAACGTGCCACCATGAAAGATCATCTTCGGGAAATCTCCCCCCCCCTGATCCCAAGGGAGTAGAGACTGTAGTTCCCACAACAGAAATTATTTATAAAAATTCTAAATTTTTGACAAACTTTAAATCTTGCATTAGTCATTTCATATTTAGTTAATACTGTCCATGAAATCCTAAATTAATCCAAAAAGTAATTGAAAAGTTTTTTTTTGTGGTTTACAATACGTACAAGGAAATAACTATGTTATTCACATGCTTAATTTGAATGCTTATGTGGTGTGTGTTATGAAAGGATTATAGATGTATCACTGTGGTCAACAGGTAGCAGGAACGTAAATTATAAGTAGGATTTACCCACTTTAATTTACCCCTTCATCCTTGTAACGATGGATTTACCAATTCTGATTTAGCAGCCCCCCTTTATCTAGCACTTGTGAGAGGTCTACTCTCTTCCAGAAATAGTAAGCATTGGAGCCCACGATGGGTTGACCCATTCTGATTTAGCAGCCCCCCTTTATCTAGCACTTGTGAGAGATCTGCTCTCTTCCAGAGATAGTACGCATTGGAGCCTACAATAGGTTTACCCATTCTGATTATCAGAATCCCTCTTTACCCACATTTTAGAAAAACAAAGTGCCTAGCTGTCTATTTGAATGATCCTTCAGTGTACTGGGGATGTGATGGGCGTATGGGCAGATAAGAAAACAACTCAATACATTTACAAAAAAAAAAATACAATACCTACCTTGATGCCGGGGGAGGGAGGTTATATATTCTGGTGTACCCCATGAAAGTAGGTCAATATACCCCACACATGACCTTCCCATGATAATGGCTAATGGGTTTACTCCTTCTAATTTTTCAGAGTCTCTCTTTATCTAAGACTTGTGAAAGATCTCCTCTCTCCCAGAGATAGTAAGTTCAAAGCCTTGATATAAGGCTATTAAGAGAACATTGTTTTATTACTTAACATTGACAATTGCACTTAATGACACGTTTCATTCATTTTCTGTTTAAATATGACTAACTGTGATTTACAAGTATGATTGATTGCAATCTATATAATGTTAATAGTTCATATGTCAGATATGGCAGTTGGTGTCAACAACATATCATGTACATAAACTACACATTGGTGCAATTTCTCGAAATTTCTTAATTGTACATCTCGTAATCAAGAAAATACATTATACAACTTTTATAACTGCCATTCAACAATACAAACTTGAAATTTTTTTTACCTTTTTCAGGACATTTATTTCTAGCTTTATTTCTTCTTCCTCATCTTCTGTGACGTTCATCACTTTAATGGCCGCCAGCTGCCCCGTCTTTGTGTGACGTCCCTAAAACAAAAAATAATGAAAACTTTTGAAATTAAGCTTCAGTTTTGAGAGATCATGGCCTTCTTTCAGAAAAATAAAGCATATGAGAAGCAGAATGCTTGCCCAAAGCCAGCTTTTGCTGGAGGGAGAGCTTCTGCCAAGAGGGGGAGCTTTTTAACAGTTTTGACTAAAAAAACACGAAAAGTGCTCAGAATTGTGAAAAACTGCATAATTTTGAAAGAATTTATGACCAACAGAGAGGAGCTTTCTCTCCCCTGGTTTCTCCTCTGGCTATGGGCCTGGAATGTGATTTTTCCCAAAGTCAACTTTGCAGCAAATTGGCACTCAATGCATCTTGGTATCAGCAAAAAAGGTGAAAATGTTAAAGTTAAGCTGATTGATCAGGCCCTCATTGAACATTAAAGAAAATCAAGATATTTGGAAAGAAATAATTTTCTGAAAAGTCCTTTGCGGGAAATTTTGGTGAAACGATACATGTATTTGCTTTTCGTATTCATTGTCATCAATGGTAAAAGAATATATTGCCAATGTCGAGGAGACCATAATTAACTTCCTTTATGAGAATACTGACTGTTATTAACACAATATCTTGAGGAAATGAGTTCTCCTTATTTCAGTCTGCGGTTAATTATTAAAGAAAAACACAATGATGGTCATGTTTTTAAATCCAAAATAGAGTGAAAAAGAGTGGAATTAGCAAGGAATAAAGTAAACAGGCATGTAGTTAACACTCTAAATTGTATAGAAATGCAAGAAAATCAGACAATTCATTCAAATTTTAGGGAGAGATGAGAGGAATAAGCAAGGAATAAAGTAAACAGGCATGTAGATAACACTCTAAATTGTATAGAAATGCAAGAAAATCAGGCAGTTCATTCAAATTTTTGAGAGAAAAAGTGTAAAATACGAAAGACCAATGTGACCTTTTTCTCAAAGTTTGCTATTTCAATTTGAAATACATGTCAAGCCAAAGTACAACACACTTGACATAACATAGTTTTGATAATGATATCATATCAGAAATTGAAATGTCAAAAATGTATTTAAATATGTAAGCCTCAAGGAGTTTGAGGATTGAATAACCTTAGAGTTAGTAAATCAATCTCTGCTGGTCAAGGAATTTACTAACTATTTTTTATCATATTCAGGGGTTTCATTAACCGCAGACAACAGGTGATTTTCACATTGTTGTTTTCACAAAATCACCCGTTGTTTTTATGGACTTTCAACTTTTCCATGTTAAATTTATGATTTCCATTAATTTTGCCTGTCGTTTCCATTTATTTAGACTGTTGTGAGAAATTCTAGTGAAACCCCTGTCTCTGTAGTGAACACCTACCTATAATAATAATGACACATTCTTGTGGCTCCATAGGTGTTCACTGTACACAGGTTTTACTTGACCTCTTTTGCCTCACCTATTTATATTTGCCTCACCTATTTATATTTGCCTCACCTATTTAGATCTGCCTTACCTATTTACATTTGCCTCACCTATTTATATTTGCCTCACCTATTTAGATCTGCCTTACCTATTTACATTTGCCTCACCTATTTATATTTGCCTCACCTATTTATATTTGCCTCACCCATATACATTTGCCTCACCTATATACATTTGCCTCACCTATTCACATTTGCCTCAACTATTTACATTTGCCTCGCCTATTTACATTTGCCTCACCTATTCATATTTACCCCACCTTATTTTTCATTAACTCAGCTCCCAACATTATAGTAAACACCAGCCTTGGGAAAAAGTTTCTGTTCAATATTCTGAACAGCACACATTTCCAATTATAAAATGGACAAAATGTTATAAAAAAGATCTCATATATTTGACCTTAGGAAATTTTAACATTGCCCCCTTAGAATATATATTCCAAAATAAAATCTAACTTGTGTAAATTGAACTAAAAATGATTTTTGTACTGGAGGATTCCTCCAAACAAACCTTTGTAGCTTTCTGGACCTTTTTTGATGTTTTATTTAAGTTGCTTTCCCCACTGTCTGACAATTTTTTTTAACAAAATGCTAAAGACTCATTTACAGTGCGAAATATCCATCATACTGGCCAAAATCATTTTTGGAAGTCTTGATGGCTGTATTTGTCATTTAGTACATTATAGTGATTTTTTAAGTAGTAATTGATCAATAGAAAGCATGGTATTTTTACTGAGATGAGTTTAATTGAATTTTGTAATTTTCATTTCATTTATCAATAAATCTTAAGGATGGTGAGTACCACAAATGTTAAATTCAGAAAACAACCACAAAAATGACTAGTCATTCATATTTTTCTCTATTTCTCTCTATATTTGAACAAAACGCATGATTTTCTTGCATTTCTATACAATTTTGAGTATTGACCATGGGCCTGTATATTTCATTTCTTGCTAATTTCACTCTTTTCCACTCTATTTTACATTTCAAAAGTATGACCACCATGACATTTTTCTCATATGAGTATATCCTCTTTGGGTGCAGTCAGAGTGACATGCAGCATAACAATTAAATAAAAAATCGATATTAATGAAACCAATGAAACAGTGATCTATAATGCATAGCAATTGTATTTCTTTTGATTAAGCGATTCAAGTAACCTGACATTGAACCAAATATAAAAGTATTTATCAAACATCTGTTACTCCCTCCTGAGTCCCTACCTCCCCCAATTTAAAATTCCGTGATATAGAGAAAGTATGGTAGGTTAAATATAATTGGTCTTATTGTATTACTCTTGTATTCATACTGACATTGAAATCGAACCAAAATTATATCAGACATATGTTTCCTTGTTTCTTCAACCCCCCTCCTTTATTATATCAAAGTCAATAATCATCAATTAAGCATAATTGATTCATTCATTCCTGATTCAATAATTCAATTATGCTGACATTGAATTGAGTCATGAAAAAAAATTGCAATAAACATCTGCATCCCCTCTCCTTACGCCTCCCCCCCGCCACCCTCTCCCTACTCATTATAAATTTGCGATAAGATTACAGTGTGGGCTACTAAACTACTAAAATCCCAGTTTACCCCAGATGCAAACTCAAGTGTTTTTAAAAGGTAGGACTTATATGTCCTTCTTACAACATCAGAAAGTCAATTAATTCATGTACAGTAAAACCTGTCTAATCTGAAGCCTTCTGACTCTGAGACTGGACAAAAATGTTCAGATTAACAGATGTTCACATTTCAAGATTTTATAAACATGTAAGTCAATGGGAGATTACAAATTTGAGAATGAAAAGTGTTCACATTGAGAGGTGTTCGGATTAGAGAGGTGTTCAGATATCCAGGTTTTACTGTACATGGATAGGAAAACATGGAAACAGCTGAAAAATCCCAAAACAACTGCTATTTCTGAACTGTAACAGAGAACTAGTCTTGCTTCAAGCCCTTGTGCCCCCTTCTCCACTCACACCCCCCTCCACCTGGGGGATAGGACTGAATAAATCAAAATTGTATTCAGATTTGAACAAAATACTCAATCGGCCTGGCCAGCCGATGAATCGGGGCAAATGTGACCCAGGCATTAGGGCTCTTTAGAAAAAAAAATGGCAAGGTCATTTGAAAGCGCCTTACCAGCTATGGCGACATTATTGGGGGGAGGGGGGTAGACTGCAAGTCTAGCCAATTTTTAAAAATAAGGTTGGAATGATTTATTTAGTACACGTAAGACTATCAATCTACAACACATTCTCAAAGATAAGAACAATTTCATTATAATAGAAGTAAAGCTAAGAGAGAACCTGACAAAGCAAGAATGCTTCAAAACGTAACTCAACTCTCAACAAAGACTCACTAAACCCAACAAAAAAACTCACCATAACAAATCCAAACAACAACATTTCTAAATGAAACATCTATCAACATTCATCATCCCCCACAATACTAACAAGAGCATCTATATAAACTAATAAAAACATTAAACTTAATTCAGTATATATTTTTCTCTAGTGTTACTAAAAATACAAGTGATACGGTCACATTTTTGAAAGGGATGGCAAAGCTTAGAACAACTTGACCTACTCATTAAAAATAGATTCTAATGACACAGCAATAGAGTCAAAATCCAACACCAGTAAAACCTGTATATCTGAACACCTCGATAATTCGAACATCCCTTAACCTCTTGACTACCTGGAGTGACGAGATTTCTCGTCACTTCAGAAATGACCTTGAAATCCAGAGTGACGAGAAAATCCGTCACAATTTTTTTCACTAAAATTGCTCTTATTTGAAATTTTTTTGACCAATTTACACAAAAATTGTTTTAAAATGTGTAGAAATGATCTCTGCCGACTAATTTTACTAAATTGAGCATCTTAAATTCTATACGTATTTAGTAAAATGTCAAAAGGTGGCAAAAATGAAAAATTCTCTGGTTTCAACCGATTTTAGAGTCTGGGATTCAAGAGGTTAATGAACACTTTTCTTGAACATGTGTGAACACTCTTTTTAGTCCCAGTTTTGTAATTACCCATTGATACATTTTACAAAACCTTGAAATGTGAACATCTGCGATTATGAACACTTCTGACTGGAATGTGGTGTTCAGACTAGACAGGTTTTAATGAGCATACAAGTTAGCACATTAAATATACTGAGCCACCGACAGTTCAGCAAAAAAAAAAAAATTCTCAGAGGAAATATTAAGCAATGACCTGTGCCAAGCAGTTAAGATTAGCACCATCAACATTTATACAAGGCGTTAACATGCAAAATGTCACCACTTGCCATTTGTTACCAATCCCAAACACTAGTTATTTTTTAAAATGAGAAACATGTGTTCCTAATCTGAACACCACTGGGACTGAACTATATGTGATCAAAAAGTGTTCACGTCGAGGTTTTCAGATTAGAGAGGTATTATAAAGATACATAAACACCTTTTACTCAGGAGACAAAGGGTTAAATATATGGGAAGAGCATCCAAGAGACAGTCAATCGATATTATCAAATCATGGTAATTGATGCACGGGTTAACGACATCCTACTCGAATGGTCATGTTTTGAAATATAAAATAAAGCAGAAAGGAGAGGAATCACAGAGGAATAAAGTAAACAGGCATGTAGTTAACACTCTAAATTGTATAGAAATGGAAGAAAATCAGACACTTCATTCAAATTTTAGAGAGAAATGAGAGGAGTTAGCAAAGAATAAAATAAAGAGACATGTAGATAACACTCTAAATTGTATAGAGATGCAAGAAAATCAGGCAGTTCATTCAAATTTTACAGAGAAATAGCATGAAATAGACATGACAACCATGACCAATTTAAAGGGACAATACCGGAAATCGGGAATAATTCCTTAGAAAAACTTCAAAATAAATCGTTGGTGCCTCAAACCTGCCCCTAAGAATGGCTACGACGTGAACTTACTTTTGTCAAAATACCAGAGCCTGAAAAAAATCACTCACCTAGATATCAACGAAAGAAGTGTCAGTTTCGTTCGACTGTGAGAGCAAAATTGAAGCTGAGCTAAACGGTTTTCGTTTGTCGTAAAATTGACCTCATTTAACTGCGCCATCTGGCGAATGAATCATTGTTTCGTGTCATATGATTCGTTGTTTTGTGTCACGTGACCTACCTTTAGACCTTTTGCCACCTATCGTAAGTTAATCGAATTAAAATGAAATTTTTCGATCCAAGAAGAAAATTTGCACAAAAATTATAAACTCCGCTTGACATAATCTTTGTCACTCTATCGTCTTCTTGATGAGGCACATCGGAACTTGGGATTAATAGCCATTCAACCAAGCCACAAAAAGTATGTATATTAGTTGTTCAACATGTTCAATTGTGTTAATATTTCCCGGAACTCGGCCTTTAACTCGCTGTAATAAGTATTGATTGATCATTCTGCCATTTATTAGGTTTAATATGTAGATTAATGTTCAGATAATTTACTGATAATTCACTGAGGTTGAACTCATCTAATTCTGTAGCTTAGCTTTTTCGATGGTAAGTCTAATAAGATAGATGATGATTATTTGATTCAAGTCTTTGTGACCCTCCTAAAAACATCAACCATAGGGGGATCTAGAGGTTTGCTGCAAAGGTTTTTCTAATATACACATGCACATCTTCATCCAAACTTATCTTTCCTCCAATCCTTTTGCCAAACTTTTGCGCCCCCCCCCCCCCATTTTTCAATTCATATATCCAAGTAAATATGTCAAAAATATGTCTCCCCAGTTTCCTGAGTAAAAGAGATAGAAGGGGGGGGGGGTACAGGTTAGGAAGAGAGGAACAATTGCCTGCATTCTTTCAAAATCATGCAGTTTTTCACTAATCTGAGCACTTTTCAGATGAATTTTAAGCCAAAACTCAAAAAGCTGTGCCCTTAGTGACACCGCTCATCACCCCCTTGGTAAAAGCTGGCAAGGGGCCTTTTAGAGTAAACAAATTTAACAAATAAAACCTCCCTATTCCAAATGCTGATGAGACTGGCCATAAGTGTTCAATTAACAGGTGTTCACAAATAAAGGTTTTCTTAATATGTGAGTTATTGGGAGAACAAAATTGTGACCAATCCAAGAAAAACTGTTCACATTGAGAGGTGTTCAGATTAGACAGGTGTTCAAAAATAAAGGTTTTCTTAAAAAGTGAGTCTTAGGAGAACAAAATTGTGACCAAGGAAAAATATTCACATTGAGAGGTGTTCAAATTAGACAGGTGTTCGGCATTCTGATGAACAGGTTTCACTGTGCTATTTTGAAAAGTGGATCAGCGAGCGTCACAACAATGCTGGTGACACAAATGTGGTCAATCTCTTGTATCTCGGTAAGTGGTACTTCAATTCACAGTCAAAAGAAAAAGTGTATTTTAATATAACCAATGACATCATAATTTAAACTTTTTCTAAATTCTGATTGGTTAATTCAATCTAAAATTGTTTCAGGGATGGTTGGGTAGATACCTCCTTTGCTATTTGTCCTTAGAAATAGAGATAACCTAGTGGTCAATCTGCAGATATTAACTTTGTTTAAAATCCTAATTTCTAATTTTTCTCTAAAATTAGAACAAAACACTGAGGATTTCTGGAATTAATTTCTAAGCACTAAGTACATGCCTGTTTACTTTATTTCAAGTTGATATTCCTCAAATGATTTCATATTTAAGCATTTTGAGATTCAACCATTAAGATATTCCTCTTGTGGAAATGGACAATCTGCAAGCCCACATATTTACATACCCCCACTTACTTCCTATGTACAGTAAATAAGCACAATAAAAGTGTATATAAGTAAAACAACATTTAGAGGGGGTCATGTTTTGAAATGTAAAATGTCTGAGGAAAGAATGGAATAATCAAGGAATAAAGTAAACAGGCATGTAGTTAAGACTCTAAATTGTATAGAAATGCAAGAAAATCAGACACTTCATTCAAATTTTAGAGAGAAAAGCATGGAATTGGTAAGTTACAACCATGACCATTTCTCCAAACCATATATGTACCATAATGCTTCATGCTTTCACAGAGAGAAGGCATTTGATTAACATGCAAAATGTCACCACCAGCCATTTGTTACAAATGCCGTATGTCTAACACCAGATACCATCATCAAGGAAAAGTTGGAGACTATAACAATATGTCATCTCTGATAAATGTGGTTGATAAAAATCCTGCAACCTAATCAGAACAGAGTACACTGAATTGCTTTCATAAATACCTGCATTATTTTCAGAATGAAACTCTCATTTCAAATCATGCCGTTACTTTTGGGGTCATCTAAACCTCACTGGCATTCAATTACTTTGCTATTTCGCACACTCAGAGGCTAATATACAATGCTCTGATACTCAGGGTAACTGTTTGTAATTGTAAGTCTTGTAGCTATTCATGGAGGTCATGATTATATCTTACTAGATTCTGCAATATGTTGGACATGTGTAACCAATAGCAGCAGCAGTATATTGGGAGAGTATATTGTATTTATAGTCTTGCTACAATACTGTGGATCCCCCTCTTTATCTACACTTCACCAACACAATACAGTCTTGTAATCAGTGTAGGATCTGAAACCTGCTGGTCAAAATGGCATAACGGACCAGTTGCAATGCTATTTTCCTATATCTCATGAAATATCAACTGGTCTGTATAACAAGTAACCTGATAATGACCAGCTGACAGGTACTGGTCAAAATGGCATTACGGACCAGTTGCAATGCTATTTTCCTATATCTCATGAAATATCAACTGGTCTGTATAACAAGTAACCTGATAATGACCAGCTGACAGGTACTGGTCAAAATGTCATTAAGGACCAGTTGCAATGCTATTTTCCTATATCTCATGAAATATCAACTGGTCTGTATAACAAGTAACCTGATAATGACCAGCTGACAGGTACTGGTCAAAATGTCATTAAGGACCAGTTGCAATGCTATTTTCCTATATCTCATGAAATATCAACTGGTCTGTATAACAAGTAACCTGATAATGACCAGCTGACAGGTACTGGTCAAAATGTCATTAAGGACCAGTTCTAATGATAGTTTCCTAAACCAAGTGAAAATATCAACTGGTCCATATCAAAAGTAACCTGGTAATGACCAGCAGACTGAAGCTTAGGGCCAAACCTACTTCTTATCACTGCCTTGTGGGGAGGCATGTAGGTGGGAGGGGGGGGGGGCTTATAAGGGCTTGTTGCTAGACTGTTGTATTTATAGTATGTTATCTGGGCAATCCAATCAGCTGATAAAAGAAGGCAATGCACCTAACCAGGCAATGCAGTTGAAAAGGCAGCAAAAACAAGTAATACACACATTTAATGAAACTTCAAACTGGACAATGTGCTTATCTAATAAAACAAGGCAATGGACCCAGTTCTTAAGACCAAGAAGTCCATCCATTTGATAAAACCAGGGAATATACCCAGTTTATAATGAAAATTGCACCAAGTTAGGAATTCAAAATTTTGATGCAGATTCAGAGTTTGGATCACAAATTCTTACCTTGTAAACTTGGCCATAGGTTCCATTTCCAACCACCTCTATGAGGTCAAATATGCCAGCTGGATCCTACAAGACAAACAAAAAACAATTAGTTTTCACAGATACCATGGAGATTCAAAATGGCATAAATAATACATGTTAATCACTTGGCATTAGTTGATGAGACAATGTACACATATTTTTTTTTTGAATTTTATTCATGTCAAAAATTTGCATAATATAGCATGGTCACATATTTTATCTCAATGAGGGTGAAGATTAACACAGGTAGGGGAAAATACATTTTATGGCAAGCTGTTTTTAGAATGAGGATTAAAAGTAGACAAATGCCACCCCTCCCCTCTATATTGCCATTACAGATCTAATAGCCCCCTCCTCCTAACTCAGTAGAATCAGCTTACATAGAAAACTTGTATTCATGACTGATTCAATTGAATATCTTCAATGTTTGCATTCATAGTACATCATGACTAATACATCTAACTGCCAATGGGATATTGATTATACATAGTTACATAACAAAAATTGTTAGATTTTTGTCAATCACATATTAAATGACCTCACTGTTTGTCATGAAGCCAATTCATGGTGTAGTTATTTTTCATTACCAGGTTATATGATCATAATACTTTCAAGGTATACAGGCTTCAGTATCATTTCAGCCTAAGGGGAAAACTTAAGAATCAGGGGTCCATTTTTGAAAAAAGTCGTAATTAGGGTGGCTCAAAATAATTTTTTTTTGGAAATGTTATGCTCCCTACGTGAATCGAGTTGCATTTTGAGGTAAATATCACCTGTGATTTTTTTCAAATTTTTTAGTCAACTTTTAGGGGTCCCCCATAGCCTTTGAAGTTTGCTCATAGGCGTAACATTAGTGGGCGTCGCCCAAAATCGTACTTTGTAGAAGTTTTCTTCTAGAGTGATTTATTTATGTTGTTTAAAGAAAAACAACATTGTATATGATATGATTAGATGTTTAAATCATCATATTACTCTGTTTCATCATGTGAACTTATATATAAGGTTATACTTACAATATCCTATTTACAAAATATCAGGTACATTCGACCAGTATAATTATTTGAACAAGTACAGTTTTAGAGAATCATGTCTCATATATGATTTGGTATTGTCATTATAATGGTTTAAACTGTAAAAGGTATTTTCATTTTTGACATTTAATGTTTTAAACATGGTTCAGATCAGATTTTCTTATATGTGACACTCTTCCTCTATGATCTGAGCGTACAACACATACATTGTCACGATGCGCCGCGTCATAGGTCATTTGAGAGCATTCCTGTACCAGCTTCCCTGCTTGTTCAGCTGGATCATTCTCAGAATGCAGGTCTTGACAGAAATTCTGGGTTTGAATATAAGTTGCTCTGAGCGCACAACACATACATTGTCACGATAAGAGCCAAGATCTCTCAGTTACAAACATTGCTAGTGATGGTTTAACATTGCCTAATCAAGCAGCAACTGGGTTGAATTCAGGCTGTCCTGGTTTGCCAGTTGCAAATTGTACAGGCCATGGGATGTTGAGCAGTGCTGTAGCAAGCTCCTGCTTCTCCTCTCTTGCTCTGTCTTACACTGCCAAGAGCTGCGACCAACCTGGAGCCTACCACCATGTCAGGTTCATGGGGAAGAGTCTCAACCTCTTGAAGATATTCATGCTCAGCCACTTATTTGTCCAACTTACTCCACAGCAACTGCAGAGGATAACACAACTTGTGGGATTTGTGGTCTGTCTCTACGGATGGTATTTCTTAAGTGCCCCGTTGACAACCACAGCACCTCTTCACGGTCTCAAGTTCTGGTATCATCTGCAGGAATATCTCAAATGACCTGTGACGCGGCGCATCATGACAATGTATGTGCTGAACGCTCAGATCATAGAGGAAGAAAATCTGATCTGAACCATGTTTAAAACATTGAATGTCAAGAATGAATATACCTTTTACAGTTTAAACCATTATAATGACAATACCAAATCATATATGAGACATGATTCTCTAAAACTGTACTTGTTTAAATAATTATACTGGTCGAATGTACCTAATATTTTGTTAATAGGATATTGTAAGTATAACCTTTTATATAAGTTCACATGATGAAACAGAGTAATATGATGATTTAAACATCTAATAATATCATATACAATGTTGTTTTTCTTCACACAACATATATAAATCACTCTAGAAGAAAACTTCAACAAAGTACGATTTTGGGCGACGCCCACTAATGTTAAGCCTATGGGCAAACTTCAAAGGCTGTGGGGGACCCCTAAAAGTTGACTAAAAAATTTGAAAAAAATCACAGGTGATATTAACCCCAAAATGCAACTCGATTCACGTAGGGAGCATAACATTTCCAAAAAAAAATTATTTTGAGCCACCCTAGTCGTAATTTAGGATTTGGTCGTTGCTTTTCTACCAAAAAAATCCAGAGGCTGAAACAGACGTTACTGACGTTAGTTGTGAGAAGCTTCTCAATGGTACCATCTAGCTTGTGTCCAGGTCTTATCAAATTAATTGGCTACTTTCATACACAAGGGCAAATTGATAACCCCAGCCATGTTCCTTCATCAGGGGTCGATCTTGAAACTGACAGGGAGGGGGGCAAAAAGTAACCACAGGTCAACTTTCAGGATTGGTCTGGCATTGAGACTCTCTATGAATGTCAGAATTCAGAATAGTTAATGGGGAACCTGTCAAATTTCAACGTTTGGGCCTGGGGTAATTTACTCAAGGGGCTACTGTACTTCGACCGATCAACCATGGGGTTATGATTGACAATGAGCAATAATTTAAATTTCTGGGTTCAGCCATTTTGAATAAAGATCTCGCCCATTGGAGATTTCGATTCATTATAAAGTTTTCAATAAACAAACATGGTGCACTGCGTAGATTGATTGTCAACAATGTCGAAAAAGTCCATGATGAAGTAGATCTAGATTATCCTGTTCCCGGACTATAGTCCTGTACGGAGCCAATACATTTGCCTGTACGATTACAACTTGGGAGAATTATCTACGCCCCTTCCACTTAAGAAACCTACCTCAATGCATTCTACAACTCAAAATGTAACTTCTAATATATTGGAACCGCCGATTGTCTGGGTTAGTTGGCAGAACGAGGTCTTTTTGTTTCTTATGGCTCTTTTGGTCGAAGTTCGATTAAGATGGCGGTTATAACGGAATTTCCCGAACTCTTCCGTAATAGCACGAACTTGGTTTTTCGTTACGTCACTTCCGTGTAAAATGGATTTGTTTCGGGTAAGAGGGAATTTCGAAAATTTCGGACAATATTTTCAATATTTACTGCCATGTCGACATCCTATGCTCTTAACTGTATACCGAATGGTTAAACAATGTTTCTTACCGGAAACAAATCCATTTTACATGGAAGTGAAGTAACGAAAAACCAAGTTCGTGCTATTACGGAAGAGTTCGGGAAATTCCGTTATAACCGCCATCTTAATCGAACTTCGACCAAAAGAGCCATAAGAAACAAAAAGACCTCGTTCTGCCAACTAACCCAGACAATTGGCGGTTCCAATATATTAGAAGTTACATTTTGAGTTCTAGAATGCATTGAGGTAGGTTTCTTAAGTGGAAGGGGCGTAGATAATTCTCCCAAGTTGTAATCGTACAGGCAAATGTATGGGCTCCGTACAGGACTATAGTCCTGGAACGGGATAAGATCTAGAGTCTAACCCCATTGAAGTTTGACGCAGGGCCCCTACAAAATTCATCTAAAATGTCAAACTTCGGAAAAAGTTATGTACAACAATGGTCTAAAATAGACAATGGTATAAGCCGATTTTCATAGAACCTTCCTCAGTCCCCCTTTGTTGTCAAAAGAACACATGATTTACATATGTTCAATGTTTGGATCAAAAATTATTCAAAATATTTAGAAAATGTAAAGTTTGAAGTTGGCATTACTCACTCAATTGGTTACGAATTATCAAATTTAATACCTCAAATTACAGATCAAACATATATGTTCATAATCATTAACAGTATAAAGGTTTAAATGACCCCTATACTTACCCTGAGTTGGTTTAAATCGATGTCATCTAAAGAAACATTCACACTTTGGGAAGCCATTTTGGAAAAATATTTCAAGCAGACACTGTTTTATATTGCAGATAACTCCTGAATTATTTCATTAAATCCTTGTTTTTATGTGTAATCCGTATGCTGAGATGTATCCCTTTACATCAAGTAGCTTCATTTCATCGATGAGCACTCAAGATCGGGTTAATCTTTAATCTTAGAGGACCATTTCCTCTCGGGTTAGTCATCTAAATGTAGGTCAACTTCCCGTTGAATTGTGGGAAACCTCATGACGCTCCTGCCATCTTTCAATAGAAATAACAGCTAATTTGAAGAAACAGAGGAATAAAATCATATTTGTACATTCACATGAGGAGATGTCCCATTCTACATTATCATGGAGCAAATAAACTCTAATTGTACATAGTGTATGTTCTATTGTCTCACAGTGGATGTTCTACTGTATCACAATTGATGTTCTACTTCTTCAAGTGAACATTATACTGTCTAATAGTGGATGTTCTACTGTCTAATAGTGGATGTTCTATTGCCTGTGGATGTTCTACTGTCTAGTCGTGGATGTTCTACTGTCTAATATTGGATGTTCTACCTTATCCCGTGCCAGGACTATATAGTCCTGGTACGGGATAAGTTCTACCATCTAAAGTGGATGACATTATACTGTCTAATAGTGGATGTTCTAAAGTCTCACTATTGCTGCGAAAGATGTTCTACTGTCTCATAGCGGATGTTCTACTGTCTAATATTGGATTTTCCACTGTCTAAAAGTGGATGTTCTACTGTCTCACTATGGGAGTTCTACTGTCTAATAGTGGATGTTCTACATTTAATATTGATTGTTCCATTGTCTCATATTGGATTGGATGTTCTACTGCCTTATAGCGGATGTTCTACTGTCTAATATTGGATTTTCTACTGTCTAAAAGTGGATGTTCTACTGTCTCACTATGGGAGTTCTACTGTCTAATAGTGGATGTTCTACATTTAATATTGATTGTTCGATTGTCTCATATTGGATTGGATGTTCTACTGCCTTATAGCAGATGTTCTACTGTCTAATATTGGATTTTCTACTGTCTAAAAGTGGATGTTCTACTGTCTCACTATGGGAGTTCTACTGTCTAATAGTGGATGTTCTACATTTAATATTGATTGTTCCATTGTCTCATATTGGATTGGATGTTCTACTGCCTCATCATAGCAAATGTTCTACATTTAATATTGATTGTTCCATTGTTTCATATTGGATTGGATGTTCTACTGTCTCATAGCGGATGTTCTTCTGTCTAATATTGGTTTTTCTACTGTCTAAAAGTGGATGTTCTACTGTCTCACTATGGGAGTTATACTGTCTAATAGTGGATGTTCTACATTTAATATTGATTGTTCCATTGTCTCATATTGGATTGGATGTTCTACTGTCTCATTGTAGATATGTGGATGTTCAACTGTCTTATACCTGTAGTTGTTGCTTTATGTCAGTCTAATACTGGATGTTCTACTGTCTCATAGTGGATGTTCTACTGTCTAAAAGTGGATGTTCTACTATCTAAGATTGCAACCCCCACCCTGGCCAAAAATTCTTTCAAATTCATGCAGTTTTTCACCATTTTGAGCACTTCTCAAGTGATTTTAGCCATATTTGGGCCAAAATTGACAAATGTGAACTTCCCTGGACATTTTTGAAAGCTGACCCCCCCCCCCTTGGCTCATCCTAGCTATGGGCCTGACTGGTAATAGTGAATGTTGTACTATCTGAAAGTGGGTGTTCTACTATCTAAAAGTGGAGATTCTACTCTCGTTTGAATGTTCAACTGGTAATAGTGGATATTCTATTGTCTAATAGTGGATGCTCTACTGTTCAATATTGAATGTTCTCCTGTCTAATATCAGATGTTCTACTGTCAAACATTGGATGTTCTACACTCTAATATTGGATGTTCTATTTTCTAAAATTGAATGTTCAACTGCTAATCCTACTACTGTGGTCCACTATTAGCAGTTGAACATTCAATTCAAATACTGCCTCATAGTGGATGTTCTACTGTCTAAAAGTGGATGTTCTACTGTCTAAAAGTGGATGTTCTACTGTCTAAAAGTGGATGTTCTACTGTCTAATAGTGGATATTTTACTGACATTTTATTTTACTGCCGTCTGTGGATGTTCTTTTGTATAATATTTATAGGATATCCTATGATTTTGAGGAATATCATTTTTATCTACGAGGTGATATTGATATCTGCACGAGAGAGCGAAGTGAACGAGTGCATATATCAGTATGACCGAGTAGATTAAAATGATATTCTGAAAAAAATCATAGGATGTTCTTATTATCCTACACTTACAAGGAGTGTACTGAATGTATAATATCATTGTAAAATGAATGTCATGCCAAATAGAGTCCATTTGGCGGGAAATCAACAAGTGGAGTATATCGTCACAATATCCTCCGCAAATTGGGTTTTCAGGAGTATATCGTTACGATATCCTCCACCCGGAGTATATCGTTACGATATCCTCCGGATATTCATTTTGCCAATAACTATCAAATTTATTTTTTATGTTATTATACATTTAGTACACTAAGTGTAGGATAATAGATGCTCTGGTCTGCTGCCTCATCATAGGCCAAGGGAAAAGTAATAGTAAGAGAGTAAGATGTATATATGCCTCATAGTGGATGTCCTTGTGTTCTACTGGCTCAATGAATGTTCTAATTTCTAGAGGGCAGTTCTACTTTCTAACAGTTGATATTTATAGGATATCCTATGATTTTGAGGAATATCATTTTTATCTACGAGGTGATATTGATATCTGCACGAGAGAGCGAAGTGAACGAGTGCATATATCAGTATGACCGAGTAGATTAAAATGATATTCTGAAAAAAATCATAGGATGTTCTTATTATCCTACACTTACAAGGAGTGTACTGAATGTATAATATCATTGTAAAATGAATGTCATGCCAAATAGAGTCCATTTGGCGGGAAATCAACAAGTGGAGTATATCGTCACAATATCCTCCGCAAATTGGGTTTTCAGGAGTATATCGTTACGATATCCTCCACCCGGAGTATATCGTTACGATATCCTCCGGATATTCATTTTGCCAATAACTATCAAATTTATTTTTTATGTTATTATACATTTAGTACACTAAGTGTAGGATAATAGATGCTCTGGTCTGCTGCCTCATCATAGGCCAAGGGAAAAGTAATAGTAAGAGAGTAAGATGTATATATGCCTCATAGTGGATGTCCTTGTGTTCTACTGGCTCAATGAATGTTCTAATTTCTAGAGGGCAGTTCTACTTTCTAACAGTTGATATTTATAGGATATCCTATGATTTTGAGGAATATCATTTTATCTACGAGGTGATATTGATATCTGCACGAGAGAGCGAAGCGAACGAGTGCATATATCAATATCACCGAGTAGATTAAAATGATATTCTGAAAAAAATCATAGGATGTTCTTATTATCCTACACTTACAAGGAATGTACTGAATGTATAATATCATTGTAAAATGAATTTCATGCCAAATAGAGTCAATTTGGCGGGAAATCAACAAGCGGAGTATATCGTCACGATATCCTCCGCCCGGAGTATATCGTAACGATATCCTCCGGATATTCATTTTGCCAATAAATATCAAATTTATTTTTTCATGTTATTATACATTGAGTACACTAAGTGTAGGATAATCCACTGTATCTTTCTCTTGATTACTATCTAAGATTTTGTTTTTCTGTTCATACAATATAATTTTAACACACATATAAAATGTAACTTTTAATCATTCAAGAGAAATAACCCTTTCAAGACTCAATATAGGCCATCGCACAACCAAGATTATGATTGTGTTTAGTTTCCCATTTACGAAATAGATGTCGAACTGTGACGTTTGTTGATCATGTGATCAGCAGCTGACAGATAATTTCCATTGTGCGGTTTGCGATCGATTGATCATTGAAGAAGAAAATTTCTAATATTCTAGGCGTTTAAGCAATTCATTGCAGTACAAGTGATTTAAATAAACATCGTGTTATCTATTTCAACAAGATTTGTCTGCAAATATCCGACTACTCAAGCAGAAAACGGTAAGAAAGTTTTATTTTTTTCTACAAATGCATTTGACCCAGTTTCACTGAATCAGCTGTTCACCAAAACAAATTTTGACATTTCGGGCATTATTTTCTGACTGTTATATCGGCTATATGCTTCATATATAGTTAAGGAAAACACAATAATTTTGTAGATAAAAGATCTTTCAATAATTTTAGAAAGTGAGAATGGCATCTATGGGGTCAATTTTCTACAGTCAACTGCTAAAGTTTGTGGAAAATATGTTGTTGACATTGCTTTGTTTGCACAGAACCAAATACATGAGAATGAGTCATTTTATTTAAAATTCATCAATATCAAGGCATTGGAAAATAACTTCATGATTTTATCAATTCTTTAAGTTTAGATGCATCACATGTCTTTTATTCCCATCAGTCCTGAGTCTAGCCTGGGAATAGTCTACTAAACTTTTTATTCCAAGGTCTAGCGCATAATTTTATCCCATGTTTTCATAAACCAAATTCATTGACTTGGAATACCCATGGACGTATATCAATGATAATGATAATATATGTCCATGGAATACCAAGCATTGGAAAATAACTATGTTTTTATTAAATTGGTTTCTCGTGATTTCTCGGTGGAGTATCCAGGAGTATCATGGAGTACTTCAAAGCTTTATAGTTTAGTGAAGCTCAACCCTAACATTGTGTTGCAATTTTATATCTGATCGTATCAGGATGCAGGATGTTTTTTTGCAGATTTTGACATTGTGAAGTCCCCTGGGTCATTTAGATGTTAAACAGTCTATGTCTAATTTTTTCTCTGCCTTTAAGTCCATACATTAGATATGAATAGATATTAAAAAAATTTTGGCCAGTCCCAGCAGCCTTCGAATGAGGCAGATTTCACTGTTTGTACCAGGGGATGATTTTGCAGGACAACTTGCCCTGGAGATTTTCTAATCAGACAATTTGACAACCTGTGTCTGTCTGTCAATTTTGATAAAATGACTTTGCAGTGTGGGTCATATCCACTCGACAGTAGCACCAGGCGGATGTATTTATTTAGAGTCGAGTGTAAAATTGAAGTGCCTTGCCACATTGTTTAACATGGAAAACATGAAATTCATTATTGTTGAATATTACAGAACAAAGTCAATTTAAAGTACTTTAATAAAGGTATTACTTTCTTTTTTCAGATTTTTATTCACCAAGTATACATATAATTTATCATCAGTAGCAACACTATGGCGAGTGTAATTTTTCATTGGCGAGTGTGAAAACACAAGTCGAGTGACAGAAAAATCTTAAGACCCACACTGCTCTGGTGTATATATACAGTAAAACCTGTAATATACAGTGAACACCTTTGGAAAAACAATAATGTGTTTACTGTAGATAGGAATTCACCACAAAGATGCTATTTTGTTCAAGGTTATTTGAGTATGTGCTGGGAGAGGGTGTAGGCATGGGTGTCAGGCATGTAGCCAGAATTTTTCAAGAGGAAGGGGTTCAATTTTTCCAAAAATTCTTGGGGGGGGGTTTACTTTGGTAAATTTGGCCAAAAATCACTAAAAAAAATAGATGTTAAAAAAATTTTGGCCAGTCCCAGTAGCCTTCGAATTAGGCAGATTTCACTGTTTGTACCATGATTTTGAAAGAAATTTTGGCCAGGTGGGGTTTGGCCAGGTGGGGCCTGGGTGTTCACTAGAGAAAGATGCTCACTATATATAACAAAATTGCTTATCAATTATATATACACCTGTTTATATCTAAAATGCATTTTTATTGATTAACACATTTTACATATTGTTACAGACTGAGAATTGAACTAATTGGTATGCAAGACAAAAACATTGTACTTAACTATAGTCTCTTGAAAGGCTATGTTAATGATGATGGCCAGTAAAACTCTTAGAGCATTAGAAACAGTGTTACATGAAAAGCAGAACACCTCAAGAAGAAGACCACCTCTGTTAGTAGAATACTTTTCAGAGTCACAAGACAATTTGACTTTATGTTAAATGAACCTCTATAAGTGGAACACCTCCAAAATGGAACACCTTTTAGAGGTTCCAAAGGTATTCCACTTAGACAGGTTTTACTGTATTCATTTACTTTTTCACCCAATCAACTATATACATTATTCAGGATGGAAAAGGAGCAGTGAATACCTCAGGTCCTGATAGATGATATCTTTATTTGTATCCATGACGTTCCTACACAGCAATTTATATTAATTACAAGCTTATTATCATTCAGAAACACTTGTATCATTCAAACGCCACTGGGACAGACCAAAAGTGATCAGAATAGCAAAAGATTAAGTGGTAGATTACAAAATTAGAACCTTGAGAAAGAGTTCATATTGAGAGGTGCTTTTAACACAGGGATAAATAAATATTTTGTTTTGTTGCACACTCATGCTCAAATCTCAGGACTCAGCCCCCCCCCCCCCCCCCTTATCTAGTAGTGTAGTTGGGGTGGTGAAATCACAACTCACAAGAGCTTATAGCTTGGCTATGTTTCACATGTACTTTACTCATACGATCACAATATTTTGGGATATAATGAAGTTCACCTATTGGAAATAAGGGAAAATTAACAGTAGAGTGAATAAGGCACTAACACCTAGAAATGCATAAGATACGTTGTTTGTCTAATTATATTGTTTAGTATATTTTTGAAAGTGCCTTAGTAACATCTAACATTCAACCGATAAACTATTAATAAGGAACAGACAAATAAAAACAAATACATTGTCATTACGAATAAGCCAAAAGGGCTGGTTGTTCATGAACACCCAATGCAAGGTATAGTAGAGTGTAAGGGTGATTTGCAAAAATGCAGCATGCTTGTAGTTATGTGTAATTATAAATAAGGATTAAAAGGTCATATCCAAAAGTTGACCTCTTCTGACTGGGGCGTACATGTAAAATACTTCATTACTTTATTTTAGCAGTAATTATCAAGCTATTAATTTACCAATGAGGATATTACACGAGAACTGATCCATCTGATAATATAAGGCATTTTCATTGATTGAATCTGCCTAAAAATAACGAGCTAATGGATTTCGTTTATGTCTAATGCATCATAAGTAGGTTGTTAGTGCAGCAAATGATATATCAAGACATTCTAAATTGAATAGATATCATAGGGTGTATAGAGTTCCAAATTAAACAGAAATAAGTAAGATTGTTTCCTTGTTAGCCTTGCATAAGTATTTGTAATCCTCCCCCCCAACTATTATATAGGCCTTTTCGCTTCCAAATTAAACAGAAATAAGTAAGATTGTTTCCTAGTTAGCCTTGCATAAGTTTTTGTAATCCTCCCCCCCCCCTAACTATTATGTAGGCCTTTTCGCTTTTCAACATTTTTATATCACCACCAGAATAAGTAACATATTGTATAGTCTCCAACATTTTGTGGATAGCATTCTGTGGCTTTGTATTTGGTTGGTGTTCGGCATTTAGTGTTTGGTGGTCGGCAACTGTAACAGATGGCAGTGGTAACATCTTGCATGTTTATGCCTTTCTTATCTTGCTAAGAGCTTTAATTATGATTAGCTCTTTGTATTGAGGAGCTGATGCCTCAACACAAGGGTCGGGAAATAAATAGTGGTGCAAGTCATTGGGGATGGTGTCCAATTCTCGACATCTGGTGAATAAAGAAGTTAGTTTCATTAGATGGAGGGTAGGGGGTAAATGATGGTTCCATTATTGAGTAGTTTGATTTTTTTAAAATATTGAATTCAAGTAAAATACAAATCAACATTTCTATCTTTTCTCTGCTAATGAGAATTTTGCACCAACTTTAAAAGTACATTGCAATTTGGATGAACCCAGCGAAAAATTATGAATTAAATGGAACCCCTTCTGGTGAGAATTGGTCAATAATGGTGATTATGTCATCCTCCTTCAAAGGACTTCATTTATGCTAAATTATATAAAATACTCCCTTCGCTGCAAGGATGGTAATGCATTTATGGCGTTTCATCTTCTAAGAGGGGTTCCTAAGTCATGGTTATATTTGGAAATTATTTAATCCTTTTTTCTGAATTTTTAGGATTTTATTCTCGTATGATTTTTTTTCTTTTCTCACTTTCACTTAAAGGGTTCCGATTAGCATCCCGTATAAAAACAATATGGCGGCTCCAGGCGAATCAATTGGATCAGTCCATTTTTAAGAAATAAGGGGAGTTCTGTAAAATCCAGTTTATTGAAATTGTCTTTGAGATAAAGTAATCCGTTTATAACGATTTTGAAAACATTATCCAAAGAGTGATTGCGTTCAAAGAAAACATGTACAACAGCCAATATAAATCCTTGTATTAGAAACCGGTTTGTCTTGCTTTGTTTCATTTGTAGGATATTTCATATGCCAAGCTGTGTGCTATTACGTTATGGGGAAATTTAGATGCCAATGTTTCCGTATTATACACAAATAGAAGATCCTGAAACTTCACTCATAAATGTGGAATTGATTTGTCAAAATAAAAATCACCCTTTTATAAATGTGTGACGATCTATAATATACTTATGCTATATAACAGTTAGAGGTGTTGACACAACGACCTCGAAGCTGTGAACCCTTGAGTATTATTCCGGGATCGGGCCTTTTATACTAAACGGTGAGCAACACCAGAAACGAGCGTTCGATTTGCTAAACGATATGCGTCACCCTTTAATTATAACAAAGTCATGCTGTCCTAAGATGTAATGGTCCGTACCTAAATGGCTTACGTCAAGTGTTTTAACATGGTGTCATACGGCTGAATGGTCATATTACAGGTATTACCAGCATTAGTGTTGTAAGGTATTGCAGGTAATTGAATTCCTGATCAAATCATCATTCATCATTTACAGCTTAATAGTCTCCCATGGAGAAATAGTAAAATTAATCACCCATCTGTTCAAGCTTATTTTATGCCATATCCGAGTGAATTTTTGGCTTTTTTGACAATGTCTTCACATGGTGCCTATTTAATTTATTCGTTGCTCATTCCACTCAATTTCTCTCTAGAATTTGAATGAACTGCATCATTTTCTTGCATTCTTCATCTCTGCTTTTTTCACTCAGATTTCTACTCTCTAAGACGTAATCACTAAGTACCTTTTCGTACTAAATGTAGTGGTAGTGTTATATTGCATATGACGTTGACTCTTATTTTCCGGGAATATTTCACTCCGATATAAGTGTAATACTAGCATTGATATTGATGATGCAATTTACTGTTCAATGGTTACAATTTTGTATTGCAGAACCATGTGGTGACATTTAGCCAAGTTAAGAAAAATGCTGCATGGCCATTGTAACATATGTGACTGCGTGCTATTTGTATGTGACATTGACATTCTTTAGCAGTTCTATTATTGCAGGAGAAATTTTCGAGCACCCGGCAGCCGCTGTAAATACGGGGAGGCATTTTTATAAAAATACTTAAGTGCAAGGTGTTGAAGATCTCAAAGGTCCCTAGAAAAAATAATATTTATGCTGGTTTATGAAATGCTGACATATATGCTGTTATTGTCTCCAACATTTTTGTGGACGGTGTTTGGTGATCAGTGTCTGTTACAAATGGCAGGTAGTGACATTTTGCATGCCTTGTTTTGATTCAGCAAAGTCCCTTTATATCTATTGATCCTAGAAATTCAGAGACAGTGGAAGGCACAATACAGAGTTTCAGTTTATCTATTTGACGAAGAATAATTCTTGTGTAGATCTAGAGTCGTACTGCCTTTACAAACTAGCATTGAATGATCCAGGCACTAATGTATGCGCATAATTAGTCTGGTTCTCGTATTCTACCATTTCAGTTATTGAATTCAGTTAACCTCAATCTCCACTTTCACATAGAGGTCTTTGACTTTTTATTGCATTTTTTGCATTTTATATCTTTTTATAGTTTTAGTCAGTTAATGTGACAGTTATCTTTATGCATTTATATGTACAGGGTGGGCAATAAAAATGGGACACTTTATATCATTCTTAAAAGTATTTAGGACCAAAAAGATTATAAACCATGTGTTATATACCAAGAGAATTTGATTATAATTTAATTAGCTTTAATAAAATGTAATATGCTGTGATTTATCGTCAATGTTGTAGAAATTGTCACAGTTTTTGATTGAGATGTCACAATTCAGAAAAAACAGATTTTACAATCTCAAAATAAAGAAATTCATGAAAAAAGGGTGTCCAAATTATCTCCCTTATATCATGTATATGAAGCGAGCATGATACATATATTTATTATCTTTGTATCGTTTGGCTATTGACCCCCATTGTCTACAATTGCTATACAAACTGGAGATAGCCATGTCCTATCACCTCCCTCAGTGGCATACCTCGAGAAAATGGCCAATGAAGTCATGCTTATTTCATGCCTTTTCTCTTTAAAACTTGAATGAAAGGTCTGATTTTCTTGCATTTCTATACTATTAAGAGTATTTACTACATGCCTGTTTATTTTATTCCTTGCTAATTCCACTCTTCTCCACTCAATTTTACATTTCAAAACATGTCCACTTTCAAATTTTTCTTAGAGGTGGAGCTTGCTATTTAAACATGTTTAATCACTACAATATTGAGTATAAGGATACTTATCTTTTGAATACTGTTAAGTATACTGATTTTTGCATTTTCTAACTGGAATTGAATTTTACCATCATAATTCTTTGCAAAATTGATATATTCAAGAGAATATCTATCTTGAGCCTGTGTATGTTTTATTCCTTGTTTCTTTAACTAATTTTCACGATTTTGCTTTTAAATCACATCCATGCACTCATTCATTTTCATTAATACTTTGCATATGAGGGCTTCCGTTATCAAGAATTGCTTACTTTATCATATATACATGTCAAAGGGTGATTTATAAGGTAAACAAAATGTGCTTTCATTTTAATTTGAAGAAGTATAATTCTGATTAGTGAGGTCATATATAAATGTGTTATTTTATATATCAAGTAAAATATATTGAAAAACGATTTAATTATTTTTACCAATACAAACTTCATTTCAGTTTCGATATTGGCATTTGAACAGGCCCTTAAAAAGTTCATATTTAGAGTCCATTTCACTTATCCCGTTCCCGGACTATAGTCCTGCACTGAGCGCATTCATTTGCCTGTACGATTACAACTTGGGAGAATTATCTACGCCCCTTACACTTAAGATACCTACCTCAATGCATTATAGAACTCAAGATGTAACTTCTAATATATTGGAACCGCCGATTGTCTGGGTATATCGGCAGAACGGGAACATTTTCTCTTTTTCATCGAGAGAGATTCCATCACTTTTCAAAATGGCGGTTGGATTTAAAAGGGGAATCCCCCGTTTGGCTGTCCCGGATGTAGCCCGGAAGTACCAATATGGAGGAATTTGACGGTTGAAATAAGTTAAATGTTACACGCAAATATTGCGATCAAAAACGAAAATGTCTTCGTTCTGCCGATAAACCCAGACAATTGTGGATTCAACTACACGAAAAGAATGCTAAATTACCAAGGAATCTATTGAAGTAGGTATCTGAAGTGTAAGATCAGTAAAAAATTCTCCCAAGTTGTAATCGTACAGGCAAATGTATGGGCTCAGTACAGGACCATAGTCCGGGAACGGGATAACATTTCACTGCTTCATTTCGTCAGTAGAACGGCAAAAATAAGAAATTGGGAGACCATTGTGCAATAATATATGGAAAAGTATATTCATAATGTACATGAATGACATTTGTGTATCTTGGATTGCTTCTAGTTTGGCTGATAAAGTGTGTGGCCTCTTATATTTGGATGTTTCTCTGCCATGTTATTTTCAATAAGATTAACATGGCTGAAATTCTTCAAATTACAAGACGGCACAGGCTTATTGCACAAAAAACTAAAAAATCTGAAATAAACAAATGTCATTCATGTACATTATGAATATACTTTTCCATATATTATTGCACAATGGTCTCCCAATTTCTCATTTTTGCCGTTCTACTGACGAAATGAAGCAGTGAAATGGACTCTAGTATTGAATAGAAACTGAGAGCAAGAATAGTTTTTGCTGACCAAGCACTTATTGCAACTTAAGCTTTAAAGGCAGAGTCAGAGCTACAGGGGGTGGCACAATAATGGACCTGCCAATATATTCTTTATACTTCCTAAAAGATTCACAACATCTAATCAATTCGTGAATTTGTTTAAGTTTTAAAGTGCAAAATGGTGATGAAATTTTTTAATTCATCTACCATGGTAGCCATTTTTGAGAAAAAGAATATATTTTGCCTTAGAACCCCCCCCCCCCCCATCTACTTCTCTCCAGTGAGGGATGTTTGAGTGGGGGGGGGGACAAGGACTCCATTAGACTTCCACAGTTGCAGTGTAGTTATCTTATTGATTTTAATTGTTTTTCAGTTATGCTATATCTTGGGATGTTTGAGTGGGGGGGGGGGGCACAAGGACTCCATGAGTCTATTTCCACAGGTGCAGTGTTATCTTAAAGTATCTCTCTTAGGATTCTAGGCCGAATTTCGACATTTTAAGCGATATGATTTCAAGAAAATAGTCTTACCTTTCCATTAAGATAGGTACTTGGTACAAGGACCCCCGTTCCGCGAAGAAATATCATTTTGAATGTCAATTGTCAAAAATTTTCTTTCGGAGCCATGTCCATTTTGTAATGACGTAGGGTGACGAATATGTAGGTCAATAGGGAATTCCCTACTCTGCGCATGCGCAGTTAGAGAAAACAAACAAAAATGAAGTTGAAGTAAATATTACGATTGTTCTTAAAAGATACCTTGTTATATCTAACAACATGCCTAGAAAATCTAAAAGAGAGGTTCCTGCCTCACTTAAGAAAGCCAGGGATATATTGAGAGCCAACAAGCAGAGAGTGAGAGACGCTACGCGGGTGAAATTAGGCTCTGCTTTTGGAAAATGGATGGAACTGAAAGAGAAAACAAAGAAGAAGACACATGAGGATGTTGCATTGTTTTTATTGAACCAGTAAGTTTATTGGATGAAAACGGGGGCCTAGTCAGGGGTGTGGGTTGGTGCGATGGCAGCGATCGTTCCGACGCCCCCCCCGCCCAAAAAAATCACACACCCCTTGACAATTGCTATTGGTGGCTACACCCAGAGTCCTACATAGATATGTGTATTTTATAACTGATTTTCATATTCCTGTTGTATTCTATAGAACATTAGTCATCCATATAAACAAACTTTTTAGCATCCAGGTCCAAAGCCAACGTTGTTGAGTTGGTTCCCTTTTGACTTTTCCTCTAATTTTGACCCCCAAGGAATCAGACATCCATAACTGGGGCTGCCAAATCAAATATATAGCCCTACACCCATGACGTAGAAGAGTTCATAAAATACTGATTTGTTTTCAAATTAATTCTTTCTAGCTACAACACTGACCAAGAAGAGCAGAATAAAACACTGCCTTATGATATGCCTCACCTCCCTGGTACACCATTTGCTGGCACAAGTACAGCTGGTAAATATGTCCATTCTACACCAGCTGGTCCAGTCAACTCAAGTGATGGGATCGAATCATCAGTTTCTTCGATAGGCGAAGTGTCATCAAGGTAAATAGTATTTTCATTTATGATTTTTGTTATACTGTCACTCAAACATAAATTATTCATTGTAGGTTTAAACTGATAGATACTAGATATTGTATGAATGTTCGTATTATCTGTCTGTTGATTTGTTCAGTAGATGATGCTAAAACCATACACATCTAACAGATTGCGCCAAATCATTCTATTTCAACGATGGTTCTTCTAGTTCCGTGTCTGGCGTGGATACTTTGGAATCAGATAATCCCAAGACCCGGGCAGCAAGGAAGCGTAAAGATACTTCTGATTTTGCTGTGTTTGACACAAAGAAAAGAAGGTTAGTGACCTAAAAGCCAACTATATTATTACCTGTATTATTTTAAACAACACATTTCATGAATTGTTTATCAAGTACAAATGTTTTTAAAGCATCCTCTCATATATTTTATTTCATGAATGTCATAAAATTTCATTAATTTTGAATTTGTTGGAAAATCTGACTTTTGTTTTTCTACAATTTGAAGTTTACCTTCTCCTCAAATGCAATGATCATTGGAAATGCTATCCTTGTTGTAAAAACATTTCTTGAGAATAATACATAGAAGCATTGTGATATTCGTCACATTTTTCTGTCTCAATTAAAACAATGCTGAGAAGAAGTGAGAAGTCAAGGTTTATCAGGATGACATGGAAGTACTACATTATATTATTTTCTATCAAGCTACTTAGATAATTTTCAATCATTTGGTGTTTGTTAAAAGTTAGGTAATTGTTGTTTAGGATAAACACTTCATTTGACTTTGGGAGTAGTGACAGTTCAGTTGAAGAGGATGACTGTGATCCTGACTTCGACCCAGATCTTGAGATGAGGCTGTTGCTGCAGTAAGTACATGTATTTTTATAGATTCATATTTCAGCTATGATAAGTCTTCTTTGTAATGAGTCACAGTATCTTTTAAAGTTAGGGGGATTAGAAGTAAGGTCACACCAGAAAACAAGAAGCAATGTCATATTAGGTTACCCTGGTAACCATGAAATGAACCAATCCAACAGTATTCTTGAGGTGTTCAGTCAATAATGTTTGTTGAACTTCTTTACCAAGTTTCAAGAAAATTGTTTCAGTTGTTGTTACAGAGACAATGACACTTTGTTACTTTACGTGGTGATTCAGAATACGGTTAACCTCGAAGCAATGTCAAATAAGGTTACCATGAAATGAACCAATCCAATAGTAGAAGCGTTGTTTTCGCAGTATTAAATAAATAGTGTTAGTGGAACATCTATACCAAATTTCAAGAAGATTGATCTGGTAGTACACCAAAAAATCATCATTTTTATGTTACTTCAGGATCACCCTGTACATGTATATCCCAGTTCATATTTTTTTTCATATGTAATTGTAGAGAAGAACATGTTGATCTGGAAGATATTCCAGAGGTGACTGAGGAAGATGTCTTCCTTAATATAGAGGCCAAGGAGGAATTCCATATCCCAAAGGAGCGTAAAGGGGTTGTTCTACATGAAATTCAGCTTCCCAAGGGAGAGTTTGCACCCAACATCCCTACCTGTGCAATAATCCACCAAAACAGTCTGGAATTACTGGTGAAGTTTCTAACAGAGACCCCACCAACAGGAAGATGTATCAGGAAGGGTTGTAAGGAAAATGTCTCCCCTATCATAACTCAAAGAGGCACAGCATTTGTGATTACTTGGGTAAGAATTATTCCACTATTTTCAGATATGAAAATATGTTCATCCCTTTAATAATGGCAAGGGGTGTCGGAAAAGGAAATTCAATTATTTTTTAGATATTTCTGATGTATGTTTTTATCATTTTAAATGGAAGGTAATTTAGTGTATTTCAAATATTTTGGTCTCTCAGGATTAAAAATGGCATCTTGGTGTGTAGTTTCACAATAGTTTCCTGATCTTCTCAAGCTAGGCTATATTATATTAATTATTCAAATTGAAGGAAATTTAAAGTCCATCACAGATATGGTATAATTTTAAAAATTGGCTGCCTAAAGCTAGTTATTATTGAGGGATCTTAACAGTCCATGGTTTAATATCATACAATAACACAAGCTCACAATTATAGTATTATCTTTACAATTCATTCCCTTTAGATTCCTTTCATCTTGGCAAACAATGGTAATATGTAGCATACCTTTGTAAGCAAAGCTTATTGTAAATACTATTATTCTGTTTCAGTCTTGCCCTAACAAACATGAAAACCATCGTTGGACCTCACAGCCAAAGCTGCCAAATGGAGTGCTAATGGGTGATATAATGCTGGCCTCATCATGCTTACTGTCAGGCAACAACTTTACCAAGATTAAACTGTTTGCCAATCATATGAAACTAAACTGCATATCACAGGCGACGTATGCGCTATATCAGTCAAATGTCTTGTTGCCAACAATAGATGACTTTTATGTTGATTTGGAGAAAAAGCAGATTGAGAAACTGAAAGGAAAAGCAGTAATTATAGGAGGTATGTCTTTGTTTTATATGAAAGATCTGTTATAAAGGAGCAGGTAAACTATGGAAAGTGATTTAGACAGTCATATCCTTTATACCATGAGTACTTTCTCAATCTAAATATTACATTTCTCATAAACTGAATATGTTATCGTTCAAGTAAATTCTCAAGGATAATAATAAAAGTATCAATATAACAATTATAAAATTCATGAATAGGGGTCCCAATGCATAATTTTTCAGAAAGTTTGATTTTTTTTATTATTACGGGGACTTCACATTAAGAAAAAATATTGTTTCAATGAAAAACATTGCATTTACGGCCCTGGTGAACAATACGACTGTCTAAAATCAATATCCCAGATGCGAGTAGAAATAATCTTGATTTACATCATTAAAAATTTACAATTCAGTCAAACTGATGTAATATTTTGAATCTACATGTAAAATTACATTTAGAAATGTGGTTTTGAAAAGAGTTTATCAACTTTGAAAATTTAATTTTCTTTGAAAATGTGACTTCAAGGTCGGGGAGATTCCCCATAGACCCCATGGTGTAAAACCACAAAAAGTGAAATATCTTTTCTTGTGTTGGGCAGATAATATTTTCTTTTACTCTACATATTTTAATTTGTATAACTATCAGATACGTAAGGGTAATATGAAAAGTGACCCACTAAAACTGATGCATATTCAATTTTAAGGGAATTTTGTAATACCCTGCCATGTTAATTCCCCCGAATCAGCCACCTGGTGGCGAAACTGGTAACTGCCTACTCGCATCTGAGTAATTGCCATAATATACCGACATTCACTCCTAATCAACATAACAAAATCTTTTCAATAAATTGTGAAACATTCTATAGTTCTCAGATCATAACATCATTGCATGCTACACATAATGTAATAGTCAAGAAAATCAAGTTCATTCTTTCTTCTTGTAAATTTCATAGGTGATGGCAGGATGGATAGTCCTGGTTTCAGTGCAAAGTTCTGTACATATACCACTTTTGACCTCGAGACTGGTGATCTTGCAAATATGAGGATTATAGACAAGCGCATGACAGCATTGAAATCCCCCAACATGGAGAAAATGGGTTTTGAAAAGTGCATGGACCACATAATTCAAAATGGAGTTGACCTAAAGGAAGCTGTCACAGATGGCCATACAGGCATTGCTGTACTAATGAGTAGGTTTATAACAACATATTTGAAATATTTTTGTTTCTTTATGATATAGGTGTATAACTGTTACAGGTTGTCACATGCATTATTTATCTTCTCATGTTGTAAAAAAATTGATTTGAAAAGATTACAGTAAAACCTGTTTAAGTGGAATACTCTCTTTACCTCTAAAAATGTTCCACTTTTGGATTGTTCCAATTATACAGGTGCATTAACATTAGTGAGGTTGTATTTTGAAAATTGTTCCACTTACAGAGGTGTTCCACTTCCAGATTCCAATTGACAGTTTTCACTGTATACTTTTTTTTACATAATAATTTTAGGAACAAAGTACCCTGATGTCTTCCATAGTCTGGATATGTGGCACGGTGCAAAGGCTATTGGATCAAAAATTGTGAAAAACTCCACACTAGTCAGATATAAACCTCTTCTACCATGGGTGAAGAGTGTTGTAAACCAATTTTGGAGAGCTGGGGATAAATGCGAAAACGACATCAACAAGTTTATAGTAAGTTTTTATATTTCCAGAACAAATTCTCTTATCACCACATTGCCAGGCCTGTTCTCGGAATATTACTATAAGAAGCCTCTCAAAATTTTTTCAAGTTTTAATTTAGTAGATTACATAGACACATTTATACACATTCATAAATATTGTGTTTGTTTTGTCACCACCAAAAAGTGGTGACATATTTTTATGGTCTCCTCACAACTTCCAATAACTTAGCAAATATTGTTTAGACTGACTTTCTAAATTTTCTACAAGTTGTCAGAAGTTCAAATATGTCTTTTGATTTAGGATTTGACCTTCAATTACCTTCTCAAGGTCAAAAATCTATTTTTTAATCTTGCTTCAAATTGAAATTTTTTTATCACAATCATCTATATGTTCTTAGAAGTCAAATTTCACTAAGATTACCTTTTATTTTCAAGGTAAAAAAAGTTATTTCTTCAAATTGACAATTTTCTTTAAAAATCATCTACAACTTCTCAGAAATTCAAATCTGACTAATACTTAACTCGTTATATCGTGAGCAACTAGGTGGTGACATTTTGTCATGTTTAAATGCATTTTTTGGATATGCTATCCTGTGATTTTAGAGTTTCAACATGAATAATTCTGGTAAGAAAAAAGTTGCATGTTGTTCTTTCAGGTAATTTGGAAGTCTGTGCTGCACCATGCTGCTAATTGTCATGATTGGATTTACCATAAATGCCCACATCCCCCAATGGATAAGCCATCAAATGAAAAGGCTGACTGGCTAATTGAAGGAGGGCCAGCACATACAAAACTTGGGGAGATAGTTATGGACAAGTTCCTTCTTGGGAAATTGAAGCATTATACGAGATGCAGGTGAGTTCTATGAAGTTGTTTGATAGCATGATTTTTATTGATGTATAATTGAATTTCTATGGGTGGCTCAAAAGTGTTAGCCACACAAATGGCATCAATGGTATGAGTTGTATAACGCAATCAGCAATTCTTAGCATATAAATCAAGAAAATATATTTCATTATCTTTATGTCACCACCAAGAAATGATGACATATTGTTATGGTCTCATTTTTTGTGATGGTGGTTGGTATTTGGTGATTGGCAGTTGGCATCTCTAACAAATTCTTAAAACTTCCAATAACTTTAACAAATACTGTTTAGACCCACTTTAATGTTTTTCAAAATCAAGTTTTCAGAATTTGAAATCCTTTTCAAGGTTAAAAAAAATGTCAAAAAGGCCTTTTTTCAACTTGCTTAAAATTGTCCAAATTTTTATTTCTAAATCATCTACAAGTTATCAGATATTAAAATCTGACTTTAGATATAAGAATTGACCTTCAATGACCTTCTCAAGGTCAAAGAAAGGGCAAAAGGTATTTTTCAACTTGCATCAAATGTACCATTTTCTTTTAAAAATTATCTACAACTTATCGAAAGTTCAAATTTGACTATTGATTTGACTTTCTATGATTTTCTCAAGTTAAAAAAAGATTTTACTTTCAATGACCTTCTCTGGTCTAAAATGTCTTTTGAAAAATTGCTTCAAATCGACCCAATTTCTTTTTCTAAATCATCTACAAGTTCGCAAAAGTTCAAAAGTGACTTTAGATTTGAGATTTCACCTTCAATGACCTTCGCAGGGTCAAAAAAGGTCCTTTTACAACTTGCTTCAAATTGACCTTTCAAAGTAACCTACATAATTCTCAGAAATTCAAATCTGACTTAGATTGAACTAATGATATTGTTAGCAACTAGGTGGTGAAATTTTGTCTTGTTAATGCCTTGTTTGAAAATTTGAATTTTGCTTGGGAAAGATGTTGTGTAGATTACACTGGATAATTAACAGCAGGGTAATATGGGTTATTCTTTCTGAGTCACATGTAGGATATGGACCAATCAGAGATTTTCATATATGACATTTGATGAGAAAATATTTCATTACAGGTCCAATGCAATATGCGAGACTTTCAACAGCCTCATTTTGATGTATGCAGCCAAGCGATATGGTTATGAGTAAGTACACAATTTTCATACTATAACCATCTATAGGTTTTTATATTATCAAGTAATAGAACTATTAGTGATTATTAAAATGGTTTCCAAATTCAAAACACCATACATGGTTTTCAGGTGGATTCTGCAATCAGTAATCAGTTGTATTGTTTTTCTTCTATTTTATAGTATTCTCTATTATCATTGTATTGATTTTATTCTCTTTATTTCATTTTCTATACGATTGTATAAGTTGGACATCCCCAATTGAGATTGTATATCGAATTTATCCCTTATGACAAACCCAATATACAGTTTTACCCTAGGTATATTACAAAATTAAGTGGTTATACCTATAATGCTTGTCATTTGATTAATATATTTTAGATATCCAGCTTACAAAGGAAGATGTCAGCTTGCTGCCATAGATTTTATACTGCACAAAGACCGTCCTGTACTTAAAACAAAAGATGGGAAGATCAGGTATGTTGTCTTGTATTGTTATTTATTATACAAACAATCATTAGAAAAGACAACCAATTGGGAAAGGATCCGATCCGATTGTCATTTTACAATAAAAACAAGTATAAAGTCAAAAGTTGTAATGTGACTCATAATGAGGCACCCTCATTATTTGCTTCATCATTCATTGGGTACATCAGACATCAGAATTATTAGTACAACTAACAACAATATGAAATAAAACATGAACTATTAAAAGAATAATTGAGGATGTAGTTTAAGCAAAATATGTTGAATTAAAATTGAATTGAAACCTTTTAAAAAAGTGTCAATTGCATTTCAGAAACACATATTTGTAGGATTATCTATTGTTTTTGACCACCATGTTTGAACATCTAATTGATTATTGGTTATTTCTTTGGTATTCAGAAAGCACAGATACTACTCCAAGGGAACAAGTGAATGGGTTGTAAGTGATGTCAAAGAACCAAAGTCTTACAAGTACATTCCAGAAATACAATCTGCGATAGTCACAAAATATTGTTCTGGACAGGTCAAAATTGCGAGCAGAGTAACATTGGCACCAGATGATCCAAGAAAAATTTCCCACAGGATTGCCCCAAAGACCCCTCCCACAACAGAGGAATTGGTTGCCCGTAAGGTTTCAAGGGCTGCACGTCTCAGTGAAGGACAAAAGTTGTACGCTTGAGAGATATGAAAAAATTGATAGAGATGGGATGTTCTATATGATATATAAATAATTCATAATGAAAAGAATTTACTTCCAATGTAATGATGAAAACCGTACACCAGAGCCAGAGCTTGTATTTATTGATGTGAAAAAGATGTATTCAAAAGAATGCTTGCTACACTTGCAAGGTTTACATTCAAGTAAGACTATTAAAAGTGTCCCACCAATAGAGTTGTTCCCCTAAAATGTCCGTATTATGAAGATGGTACAAGCGGAAAATGTTATAGACATAATGCAACTTGAAGGAAGTGTTCAAAGGTTCAATGACATTGATCACGTAATCATTCATAATGATGTAACCATAGTATAGTGTTTATTTTGTTCTGTGCAGTTGTCTGGTATGTATTGTGAGTGTAACTTATTAGTCTCACTGGTATGTATTGTCAGTGTAAGTTAGTAGTCTCACCAGAGACAAATAACTTACACTGACACTACATACCAGTGAGACTACTAACTTACACTGAGAAAACATACCAGTGAATCTGCTTACACTGGCTGTACTTACCAGTGATACTATTACTAACACTGACACTACATACCAGTGAGACTACTAACTTACACTGAGAAAACATACCAGTGAATCTGCTTACACTGGCTGTACTTACCAGTGATACTATTACTAACACTGACACTACATACCAGTGAGACTACTAACTTACACTGAGAAAACATACCAGTGAATCTGCTTACACTGGCTGTACTTACCAGTGATACTATTACTAACACTGACACTACATACCAGTGAGACTACTAACTTACACTGAGAAAACATACCAGTGAATCTGCTTACACTGGCTGTACTTACCAGTGATACTATTACTAACACTGACACTACATACCAGTGAGACTACTAACTTACACTGACAAAACATACCAGTGAATCTGCTTACACTGGCTGTACTTACCAGTGATACTATTACTAACACTGACACTACATACCAGTGAGACTACTAACTTACACTGACAAAACATACCAGTGAATCAGCTTACACTGGCTGTACTTACCAGTGATACTATTACTAACACTGACACTACATTCCAGTGATACTTCTAATTTACACTGAGACTTAATACCAGTGACACTACTAACTTACTTGGAGAATACATACTAGTTTAATAATATTATATAAACTGTTAATGAATGTGAAATCAGTGTATGTAGTGTCAGTTGTATGTAGCTAACCATAACATGTATATATTTATGTACGTAATTTTAATATGTACTTTTGATTGGTTTGGCCCAGCAATGGCATCTCATTGTATTAGCATGGGATATTCAGTACTCAAGAAAGATACGAATTAAACTTTGAATGTGATAACATTTGGAAATAGAACTGTAATCCAACTAGAACTATTGATCTATATTTAGGGTAAAACAACATGGATAAATCCATTTTAAAATTTATATTTTCATTACCATACACAGAATAGAGACAAAATTTGTTTCATGGATATCTTTATTTCTTTATAAAATTGATTATTACTACAAAATACTTTCATTGCACAAAAAATTGGACCATCTATGTGATATGGCTCAGCAAATATGCTGTTAGATGTATAACCCAAGAGCAATAATGAGTTGATTAGAGAACATAACGAACATACAGTCGCACATAGGCAAGTTCATAAAATATGATAAATAAGCACATTCAGGTCATTTTCATGTTATTTCTTGTTTGCAACCTTATATGCAACAATAAATGTATACAAACATGATCTTGATAGAAGTTAACAAGAAAGTTACACACAGATTTTGTAAGTACTTTTGACTGTATAATAATGAACAAAATATACATGCTAGTTTATAGTTCATTTTCCTGGGAGCAATCCTATATGTAAAAAGTTGTATAAACAAGATAATGATACAAATAAACAAGAAAGTTACCAGACAGATTTTGTTATTTCTACTATACTATATCTTCATTGTTATTTCAAAAACTCTATGATATGTCAGTTCTTCCAAAAATATATGAATAAAAACTAACAGTCTTTACTTGACTAAGGGTATTATTATCTAGTTAAGGCCATAGAAAGTAGATTCTTTTTTTTGCATCCTGACTAAATCAAAATCCTGCAAGGGAACAAGGAAAACATAAACTAGAGAAAAACACAAATCTGTTTGCTGAGAAATGTATACATTAATGGCCATACAAAGAGACATACCAATTTGCAGTGATTCCAAACACATATCTATACATTTTATACAAAATATTAAACATATTCACACATTCAAGAGTAAAAAATAAGAAAATACACAATGTATGCCAATGTAATCAATAATACAGTCCATTTTGACACATAAATTATGCGCCATTTTTTCTGATTCTGATAGAAAGAAATGCGATGGTACTTTCAGACCATTGCCGTTAATATTCGGATATGTTTTGTTTTTTTCTGATTTACTTAAAAGCGTGCAAGCAAGGGGACGCAAAACAAAGAATCTACTTCTTATGGCCTTATATGAACAAAATAAAATCATTTCCATATCCTACAGTTTAGAAAAAAACAATGCGTATAATTCTAAACAGTTCTCATTCACATACTAAAACATAGTTCCTGCTTTAAACCCTGTATAGTGTCCTGTCACATCAGGGAATTTGCTCCTGATCCTAAGGCAGCAACAACTTGGAACGACTCTTCTGTCTTTTTGGGTAAGCATCCCATGCCGCCACAGAACAAAAAGTCTATATGCTGCATGACGTTTACTTTTCATTAAATCTACTTGTGTTGTAGCATTTAGTCCAAAGGCATCACTTCGATATAACATATTCATATGAACTGCCATATCGTCCAGGCAATAGGCTTCAAACTCCTGAAACAAACATAGATAATAAATGAAATATGTTTAAAAAGTACAATGGGTATTGAGGTCACATGGTCAAGGTATATTTTACAGTAGAGCTACAGAGGTTAGAATGATTATTCTTTGGATATATGATAATAATTCTGTACAAGTACTTGACTAGCTAAAATTGAAAGCATGAATATTACCTTGAATCAAGAGAAAACATTTCCCACAATGAAGTTTCAGATGAATTTTACAAGCATACAAATAGGAAGCACAATGCATGATTGTCAAGCAATTTAAGTTGTGCCCATTTGGAAAAAATATAAGTGCTTAATAACCCAAAATATCAATATTTTTTGGTAATTTACATTACATTATTCATTAAAGGCCCACTTTGCATACTTTCAACATTTCATGGCAAAATTAAGTCTGACGTTTTAATTTCATAGTATTACTAATGGATCGATAAGTTCTTTATCTTTCATTTGATACCAAAAACAGCTCAAACGGGCTACATCGAAGCTTGCAATATGTTATCGAAAAACATTTTTGATCTGGCAAGCTTTGTAAATCAAGTTTTCATCAATGTCAAAGAAAAATGGCGTAGTTGTTTCTATTACATGATACATTCATTTTTATAGAAGTAGCACCATCTTTTAAATCAAGATGAATTTAAAACATGCACTTTGTCAAAAATGTGCATGCACTACTAATGATCTCTGAACTTCAAATGCCGTTTTCTACATGAGTTATTTTTTCCTTGGTTTAATATTACTACAAATCAAACTTTGTATCATATCTAATTGAGTGTGTGAGTAACATGTTTCAATGATTAATTTTCCGTTTTTTCCCCATATTGGGGCTTTAAAGAGTGTACAGCGTACCCTTGCCTCATGTAATTACTGAGTTCAATAATGCATGGAAGTAATAGATAATCATTGATTACACGGCACACTTGATTTTTCCATTATTAGAAAACCTGGGAAAAAATTTCCTTCACATAAATCAAAAAATTAAGTAAAATTTCATTCCACAATTTTAATAAATATTTTCATTTTCATAGGTATTTCAAGATGGCTCAAAGTTTATTTTCAAATGGGGGGATTATTAGAAAGAAAGAGTACTCACAGGCATAATGCTGAGACAGTCATCAGGTGGCATATGACAGCACACATCATTCGGATCAAGTTCATTTTCTTCAGCAGGGGTGGGATGGGGTGGTGGAGTCATCCAGCGGCACCTGGTACAGATGCACCACCAAGGAATGTCTGTATCTGAAATAAAATGTATAACATTTAGTTAATTAAAATTATTCAAGTGAATAGAGCAGGCTAAAAAAAGTGTAAGTCAAAAGAGCAGGCCACATAATTATTCAATCAATAAAGCGAGACATAAAAATTCATTTAAAAATAGAAGGGAAACAGATAATGAATTCATTACAAAATAGGGTAAGCAGAGCAAGCCACATAGAGTCCAAGTAAATAAAGAAAAATCCACAACGTTTCAAGTCAAGAGAGCAAGACATAACAAATTCATTTCAAAATAGCAGGGTAAACAGAGAAAACAACATTTAGTGCAAGTAAATAAAGAATAATCCACAATGTTTCAAGTCAATAGAGCAAGACATTACTAATTCATTTTACAATATAAGGGTAAACAGAGCAAGCCACATAGAGTGCAAGTAAATAAAGAATAATCCACAACGTTTCAAGTCAATAGAGCAAGACATTACTAATTCATTTCATAATATAAGGGTAAACAGAGCAAGCCACATAGAGTGCAAGTAAATAAAGAAAAATCAACAATGTTTCAAGTCAATAGAGCAAGACATTACTAATTCATTTCATAATATAAGGGTAAACAGAGCAAGCCACATAGAGTGCAAGTAAATAAAGAAAAATCCACAACGTTTCAAGTCAATAGAGCAAGACATTACTAATTCATTTCATAATATAAGGGTAAACAGAGCAAGCCACATAGAGTGCAAGTAAATAAAGAAAAATCAACAATGTTTCAAGTCAATAGAGCAAGACATTACTAATTCATTTCATAATATAAGGGTAAACAGAGCAAGCCACATAGAGTGCAAGTAAATAAAGAAAAATCCACAATGTTTCAAGTCAATAGAGCAAGACATTACTAATTCATTTTACAATATAAGGGTAAACAGAGCAAGCCACATAGAGTGCAAGTAAATAAAGAATAATCCACAACGTTTCAAGTCAATAGAGCAAGACATTACTAATTCATTTCATAATATAAGGGTAAACAGAGCAAGCCACATAGAGTGCAAGTAAATAAAGAAAAATCAACAATGTTTCAAGTCAATAGAGCAAGACATTACTAATTCATTTCATAATATAAGGGTAAACAGAGCAAGCCACATAGAGTGCAAGTAAATAAAGAAAAATCCACAATGTTTCAAGTCAATAGAGCAAGACATAACTAATTCATTTCACAATAGACTGGTAAACAGAGAAAACCACATTTAGTGCAAGTAAATAAAACAAACCACATAAGTGTCCAAGTCAATAGAGCAAGACATTACTAATTCATTTTACAATATAAGGGTAAACAGAGCAAGTCATATATAGTGCAAGCAAAGAAAGTAAAATCCACAACTTTTCAAGTCAATAAAGCAAGACATTACTAATTCATTTCATAATACAAGACTAAACAGAGCAAGTCATATATAGTGCAAGCAAAGAAAGTAAAATCCACAACTTTTCAAGTCAATAAAGCAAGACATAACAAATTCAATCAAAATAGCAGAACATGGCACATAGACTGCAAGTCATAAGAACAAGCGACACAAGTGTTCTAGTCATTACATCAATTCACATATAACACACACCAAAAGAGGTTCATAGAAGTTCATTGTGCAAGCCAGAGTGAAAGTCAATAGAGCTAGCCATACAAAACCAGTAGCTAAGTCAAGAGTAATTTCAAGTCAATAGAATAAAATACACATAGTCGAGAAGAGAACAATGAGAGCAATTAAATAGGACAAGCTACAAATATAAGGTACAATGACAGAGTTCATATATATCATAATGTGTTTCCATAATCATAGGAATGATAGAATACATTGATAGATATAAAGTATGTGCAGTTTTTATGAGGATGTAATTTAGGCGCTTATCACATAGGGTGAAATAAGATTTGGTATCTGGATGAATCTTTAACCTGAACAACCTCCCCTACTACAAATCAAATATAAAATAAAGGATATTAGACAAGATGCGAGTAGAAATAATCATGATTAATGTCATTAAAAATTAAAAATTCAGTCAAACTGATAGACCCCATGTAAAATCAGAAAAAGTGAAATATCTTTTCTTGTGTTGGACAAATAACATTTTCTTTTACTGGACATTTTTTATTTGTAACTATCAGATGCATAGGGGTAATATGAAAAGTGAACCCCTAAAACTGATGAATATTCAAGGGAACTTTGAAATACCCTGCCATGATATTTCCCCCTGACTTAGCCACATGGTGGCGAAACTGGTAACTAGCTTCTGGCACTGAGGAATTATATTGATCAAAAGTAGGCAGAATGAAACTTTAGTTGACAGCTTACCTTCTGGTCTGGGGCTAGGAGGTTGTGGATCCTTACTGGCACTTGCTGCTGCTACCACACTATGGAAAACACCAGGGTGCTGAATGGCAGTTTGTCTCAGCAACTCTCTCACCTCATCCTCTGGCAAGCTATCAATTGCCTCCTACAACAAAGAAATTATGAATGCTATACCATTATATACTTTATACTGTTTTATATCTACAGTACTACATGTATAACAATTATAAAAATTACATATGATATATTCACTAAATGTATGGTATGTGGCGTTATGATAAATGTATTTACAGAATAGTTACAACATTGTAACAATATTCAACATTGAAATATCATATTATTTATGTACCTGTACACGCTCTATTCTTCTTTCTTTCATCTTCGACCACAAATCTACAGACTCAGCAGTCATGCTCATCGCACCTCTACCTCTTCTTCCTCTTCCTCTTCCCCTGCCCCTAATGCCTGCACTGCCTCTTTGTGCAACACCTCTTGCGCCACCTCTATCAGTACTGGCTCCACGTCCTCTACCTCTTGGAATACTTCTACGTCCCCTTGCATGATCACCGCTTCCTCTACTCTTTGCTTTCCGCTTCTTTGGGCGTTGTAAGGCACCAATATCATGATCACTTGATTCTGGCTGAAACAACAACAAACAACGTTTTTTTAAGAAAAAGAGCTGGAGTAAAATACACATATAGGCTATTATGAAACCATAGAGATTACATTTACACTGTATCACAGGTAGGGATCAAATTCGCCCCTTCCCGTTCATACCGCCGTTTTCCGTAGAGGTTACCGCGCCTTCGAGTAGAAATACCGCACCTTCGAGTAGAAATCACGGACAGGTAGGTCATAGAACTGCATCTAAATCGTAATTCACAATAATTATCCGATCTGTTTATGGTCTAATAAGTTGAATCACATATTTATCTACCATTTTCACCCATGTCCCACGCCAGCTTACCTCAAGTTTCTTCATAAACGGGCGCACAGTCGGGAATTATCATTCGAAAATCTCTCGTGGCCAGTTGTTTTGGTAAAACTCGTGTTTGTATTAGTTCCCCCAGCTACCACATATAATTGGAATTGTGCCATGAATGTTAAAGATAATATCCTTTTGTTCGTTCATATAATATTCCATCCCATTTGACGACCAACACAATTTGACACGAAGCTCCACACCTTATTAGTAGGTGTACTGTACCTGTACGTACATTGAATATTGATTCCAGTTCATCTGCTGGCATATGTTAAACGAAGTGTGCAAACTGCAATCAGGCTCCGAGTATAAATTTGTTTATTAAAAATTATTTCAAATAAATGCCCAGTTGGCAAAACATTCGAGAAAAGGGATGAAATTGCGAATAGTACATATGTAAGGTAATACGTGATTAATGTCGTTCAAGTACAAATGATTAATAAAAATGAGGTCACATATTGGTCAACGTTTTTGCCCACGTTCGTGATCATACTAGTTCTTGAGTATGAAGGCCATGGGTCAACTATACAATCGATAATATCCCCCTAGCTATTCCTCTAAATAAACGCCTATCCTCCTTGGAAAATTGTTTTCTCCCTCTTAATATAGGCCCATGGGCGTTTATTAAAAATTCTTTCAAATAAACACCCTGTGCAAAATAAACGCCCGTAGGCCTATTCGCGAGAGAGAGTAAAGAATAACTTGTAGATTTGTGATCATAACCACTGGCGAATCCAGAAGTTAACAAGGGGGGTGTACATTTCAAATCCAAAAACTTTGAATGCCCATTTTTGATAATTTGACCTAAAAAGGCCCACTGCAAAAATTTTGGGCACACAATTGTTTGTGGGCCCCGGTAATTTGGCTCACTAACATAAATGTGACGACGTTTTTGCACTTTAACCAACCAGGACAGCAGAGGTTTTGATTTTCGTGGCCTCTTTGTTTAAATGTTTACGACATAAAGGTGAGAAGTTCTGCTGTATTTTATTGCAATTCTTTAAAAATCGATGGGCTGCGATTTGAGAAATTCTAATCTATTTACATAGACTATGATTTGTATCGTTTGTATCGTTTTTGAAAGAACTCTAAAAACGACACAAATCACGTGTAAATAGTTCTCTGTGATCTGAACTTTGCCAATTTAACATTAATCTGAATAAAAGGAGAGTTCTACCTAACTGAAACCAAAATACGATTAAGGTGCGTAATCCAAAAACGAAAACGGCGGAATTTGACAGAAACTGTAAAGTCGAAACAATGCTGGTATAACAGGTATATATTCTTATACATTTAGCCATTTAAACAGTAAAATCAATCAAATTTTACGTTGGACGAGATGTGAAGGAACAAAAATGACCCCAAATCCAAGAAAAACGTACTTAACTGAAATGGTGGATGTCAGGGGGTAATTTGTGTGCTGTCCTACGAGCAACCTAGACATATGTAAGTACCCTTAAAAACGTAGATGATATGAAATACATTCCTCTAACAGAATATACTATGAAGAAAGGGCTAGGTTGACTGAATTAAAAGATAGAGCCTTTGTATTCGTAAATTCTGTCGATTATCTACTCGAAGGAGCGGCAACCTGTACGGAAAACAGCGGTATGGACGCGAATGTGCGATCTGATCCCTACCTGTGTGTATTGTAGACTGATAAAACTAAAATAGATAGAGGTGAGCTCGCATGTATCAAATGGACCACTGGTCATTGTAGTCTATGGAAGAATAAGTGTTCAATACAGGAGAGTTATTCCAACATTTATATACGGCACTAAGTTATACAAAATACATGTAAATCATAAATCGAATTCTGGTGAGAAAGAATTTTATAATTTCTTTGTTTAAAATTTCACGACTCGGAGTCAGACGCGATTTTCACCGTATCTATTCAAATCTAGCAAGCAATACCGTTTTAAAATATACAAATAATTACTAATGCACACATTTGATCTCCTTATAATCGTTTAAAATCTCCATATCACGCGTAGTTCAAACAAAACTTACCGTACTAGTGCTCAGCTCTCCAAATTTTTCATCCATATTTGTTTGCATACGGGTCACTTGAGTCACGTGACCAGTTTAATGGAGAAACCCCTACGTTGTCTGCTGTTACTTGCTTACGACAATTTTCCTCATATTTGCGGTGAGTTCGAATCTAATATCTTAATATATGCAGAGCCGATCTATTTTTATTAGATCTTTAGTGTTCAATAGGTTAAAAATGCCTGGTAATCCTAAGAGAGATACTTTAATTGAACTTAATTGCTTTTCAGTTATGCTAGAGATATCTTGTTTAGGCCTAGTTCAAAAGTGTTGAAATTGACACTCAGGTAAATTGTGTAATAGGTTCAGTACTAAAGACAATCATAAAAGCGTTCAAAGGATAAAAATGTAGCAATACGATTGTGAAATAGTGAAATAGATTTTAGTCATGAAGAAATACTGTTTTCTGTAAATCATGGATGGTGTAATTTATTATTTCATCTATATTTCCCTCCAGATTGGCCATAGCACAAGGTTTTATATTGATTTGTGTAACATGCCAAGATTAATTGTTCGCTTTAAGGGTAAAGGCTTCAGGCCCATGGCCAGCTTTTGTCAGGAAGTTCAGTTTTTTAAAAATTCAATGGGGTTGAACCGGGTGTTGCTCAAAATCACTTGAAAAGTGCTCTCAAATTTGTGAAAAACTGCATTATTTTGAATTTTTGAATTATTTTGGGGGATGAAGGAGGAGGGGGAGAAGGTTTCAGTCCTGTGTGGCTACTGGCCTGATTCTCTGCCCGAAGTCTCCTTACCATATATGGGTAGTTGTAAGGTCAATATGACATATGACATGATTAAAGAATTGCACAAGGTTCTATTAAAGTCTGTAGCAATGTATCATCATTTTTCATGTCATGAATTTTTTATTTCTGACAAGTTCCAATTTACAATTGAAATAAGGTGTCACTTTGTAATGGGAAGGGGTGATGAGGAAAATATTGTCCTAGTTTTGGTAGTTAATTTTGAAGTAGTACATTTGTCAACATTTGTCATATAATGTCTGCATGCATCATTATAAGAGTGTGCCAAAAATAATTAATTAATAAAAAAAAATATGTCTCAATCTCCTGAAAAATTAACCCTGCCATCCAAAAATCTCCCAGAAAGCATCGTAAAACAGGAGTTGTTTTTGAATCCCCAGTTTTATGATTTCAACCTTGGGCCTCCACATTTTTTCATAATAATGAATCAGATTTTGCAATTGGTTGTTTGTCATATTCAATTACATTCAAATTACATTCAAATCAAAGTTCATTTGACTAAATGCAGGTAATCCTTTATGCATGTTATGTTCATATGTCATCATGAATTGATTATTAGCCTGACATTTTGTAGTCTCCAACTTTTTTTTGGACAGTGTTCACTATTTGGTGGTCGATGTTCGACATTCAGCAGTTGGTGTCTTGCAGTCAGTGTCTGGTGGTCAATGTTCAGCTTTTGGTGGTCAGCATCTGTAACAAATGGCATGTGGTGATATTTTGCATGGTAATGCCTTGTTAATTGTTGTTGTTGGTCCTATTTTACCCTTTGATACGAAGCCTAGTACTATGCTCTGAAAAATACAAATAAATATATAATTTTGATGCTGATGGTATCTTTTTAACCCCCCAGAAGTAGCTGTATTGTGTAAGTGAAAGTTTGACCATGATAACGTAATATAAATGGCAGGTACTTATGCAGGCATAAAATCATTCTGCGACTGCAATTCTGATTGCCCTAGCTGTATTCTGATAAGGTATTTGGGAAGGGTAATTCTAGTTCTGTTGTAAAATAATTAAACAAACTCACTGATCATTTTAACGGTATCTTATCATATACTTTGCCAATGTTCAACTGTGTACTGTAATAAGGGGGCATAGGATATTTTCGATGATTTTTAGAATTTAAAAAAAGATTGAATGTGTTTGTTTGTCATGGCATTTTGAGAAAAAATGCTTAGTCACTTGTCATTGACCTTCTTGATTTCATATTGACCTTGACCTTATAGTTTTAACCTTCAGTTCTTGGCTGTAAGATGCCCCTGATCACTTGGTTGAATCACTCACCCTTTGGTTGAGCATTGGTGGCAATCACTTGTTGAGTATATGGCCAAAACCAATTTGCTCAGCATTGGCCATAATCGCTTTCTTGAGCATTGGCCATAATCACTTTGCTCAGTATTGGCCAAAATCACTTTGCTCAGCATTGACCTTAATCACTTTCTTGAGTATTGACCATTATAAATGACATTGCCCATGTTGACCACTATCTTTTTGCATGTCAACCTTGACCATTGAAATTCACTTTCTGAAAATCTGAATATTTTATTAGCATGTGCTTGAATTTAGTCAAGTGCTCTTGACTTCTTATCTAAACTTTGAATATGGTCCCTAACATATAACTTGAAGATTCTAGAGTTCTGGGTACTTAACTGGTAAGTCCGTATTCGTCATACTTCGATCTGTATCAACCCACGTGGAGTTAAATCAAGCTACAGCTACTGTATATTGTGTATCGATGAAAGAGTAGATGAAGATATCTTTTAAGGAACTACTGGATATTTTATAGGGAATTGGGTGAGTCTATTTAGATCATTGTTATCATGTTTTAGAAATGAAAAAGTATTGATATTATTATGTAATATTTATGATGATGTAATATTCTTCCGCTGATTAAAAAAATCTTGAGTGGCATATTTCTTGACGTTTTTAAGACCTCCCATTTCAGAAGTTAGCCTTTATTGAAAAAGTTAATGCATAAATGTGTCCATATTTTCAATTAGGTATGTTTTCTCAACCTGAATCTATTTGTGATGAAGCGAATGGGGGAGGGAGATCGAGGGAAGGGTAACATATTGATCCACAATTTTACAATTGATTTGATATTCCTTGGGATGGAGTCAATTGATGTGATGAGGAGGAGTCATACAAGGGGGTATACATCTAAATTGATATAAGACATGCTTTTATTTTACAATATTCAATTCATATTGGCTGGGATGGAGTCATCGATGTGATGGGGGGGAGAGATGTCCACAGTCAATTTTAGCCCATCCTGCATCATGATAAACCAGAGCATCTCATCTCTTCTCAGTCCTGATGAACCAAAAAGAGTCTTAATATGAGTATCAGAATACCCATCCTGTATTATATACAATAGTTACTTGATCGTAAGTAATCCTATACAGCTGATACAAGTTGTTTACAGAATGATAAGTACTATTTAAGACAATGGCCTATTATATTACACTTAACTAACAGCTCATCTTTGAACTACTCTTGTCCTTATAACAAACAGAACTTGTAGAAATAAAAAAGGTTAATCAAGAGTTCACTTCTCGAAGGTACTGAGAAATTGTAATCTGATATATTCTTGAGGAGAAGACCCCCCCTGTTCTTTTGCTTTTTCTTTTGACTTTTTCACGTCATTTTGCTAAACATAAAGGCATTTTGGGTTTTTATTCTGTACTTCTTCCATTTAGTGCCTATTTCATATTGCCCTTTTCTTAATGGGAACTTTCCCCTTGGCCAAAAATTCTTTCAAAATCACGTGCAGTTTTTCACCATTCTGACCACTTTTTCAGTGATTTTGGCCATTTTTGGATAAGGGGGTGGAATTGTTCAAAAAGTGACCCCCCTTGGAAAATCCTGGCTACAGGCTTGTCGTCCATCTTTTGGTTTTTCAACATGCAGTCATTTGTTTTGAATAATATCTGCAGAGGAATGAAAAGATTGCAATTTTAACAAAATCCCCAGAGAAAAAACTGATTCATTGAAACATGACTGAAGGAATCTGAAAATGATTATGTTATATAATCAAATGACTTTTATTCTTTCTATCTCATCTCTCAACTATATTTTGTAAAATTAAAAAAATTGCCTAACTCTCTGAATCAGTGCTTGTTAAGGTCTTTAATCAAGGTCTGTTATTTTAGTCAATGTCAAAATTGCAGTTTGAAATGTCAAAAAAAATCCGCAGAGAAGGTTCAACAGGTTGTTACAACAACCGGGGTTACAACAAAGGCCAACAAAATGCCAACTGCTAAGATCACAAGATTTATATTCCAAGTATTTAGAGGGTGTGTACTGTTCTGACCAATCAAATGTTTGGTGTTTCAGCATTTGTATCATTTCCTCATGCGTAGCAACTCGAAGGTTTGCCCTTGATCTTTTGTTTTGGATTTAGATTCACCAAAAAAAGACGCCAGAACAGATTTTTTCTAGGCACCCAAATTCTAAATATTCTTTCTAGCATAGTCCTGCACCAAGCCCCTGTGACTTCCCCGTGAATACTTAATATCCAAGGGAATTGAAGCAACTGAGGGCATTCAGCGTTCATTCAGTGTGTGTAACAAATGGCATGTAGTGACATTTTGCATGTTAAAGCCTTGTAATCAAGTTGTGTCAAAGTGAATAAAGTTATACAAAGATAGGTTGGGAAGGGAAGTGTCTTATCCATATGAATACAACAAAATTTAGAAATATGTCCTTCGAATCTTTAGATGACAAGCTCTGATTAGCTCGATGATTTCAGATGTTTCTCTTAAACTGAACAAGTAAAGACGAAGCTATATTTTAAGATTGAGCTAAGTCAAACGAATGCGAATGGTATTCGCAGCAAGTAGCTTTGACATTTGGCTTTAATGAGGGGTTACTGCATTTCAGTAGGTTTACTACCTTTAATCAATGTAAACAGGATTAGGCAATATTTACAATGTCACGTTTCATAAACATTGAATCACTTTCAAAGAAACTATTTACCTGTTACCAAATTGTCAAAATATTTTGTAAATTCTGGTTATGCAAGGCTTATATTTTTTCACAAAGTTGGGTTGAAAAATAGTAAGTTAATCTAAAAGAGAATAGGGTGGGGGTGTATAGAGGCTTGATATGATACATCTTGATATGTTCTTATAAAAAAAGGAATTTTCAAAATTAGGAGTGCAAATTAATGAATAAAACAACTTTACAAAATTTCTCTCTTAAATTTGAATGAAGTGTCTGATTTTATTGCATTTCTATACAATTTAGAGTGTCGACTACATGCCTGTTCACTTTATTCCTTGCTAATTTGACTCATTTCTCTCTAAAAGTTGAATGAAGTGTTTTGATTTTCTTTCATTTCTATACAATTTAGAGTGTTGACTACATGGCTTTTTACTTTATTCCTTGCTAATTCCACTCCCTTTCACTTTATTTTATATTTGAAAACATGACATGATTTATTGCGTGGACTTGGGTAGATAATATAGTTAGTACTAACAATAGTGGCTATCTCCTCCTGTATTTGTATAAGAGAGAAGATAATAGACACATCTGCAGATATAAGCTGATTAGGCTGGGATGAATAAATATATGTTTAGATTATCCTCTGTGTTATTTTTAAATCATATAATAAATCAAGTTCATTTAGCAATTTTATGGATTGAAAATTAACCACCTAAACTATTAAATCAATTATCTTGATCAAATACTTTCAGATGTATGCTTACAAGTATTTTCAGCTTCACCATAGGAGCTTCTAGTAAAGATGGGAAGGGCACAGAAGATAAACTCCCGTTAAGGCAATATAAAAAAATATAACACTGTCTAGTCCATTATTTATAGTTTACTAGAAAAAAATTATTAGAAAATAAAAGCATATTTTTTGCTTCATGGACTTTTTGAAAAACATAACAGGGGAAATATGTTTGAACCTGGACAAATTTCAAGGTTTTATAAACATGTAAGTCATTGTGAGATAACAAAGTGACTGAGAAAGAGTGTTCACATTGAGAGGTGTTCAGATATACAGGTTTCACTGTATTATGCATTTTACCTGGAGCATTTAGCAGTTTGCAAAAAGATTCATGAATATTGGCAATAGTTAGAAGTTCTGACTTATAAGAGAAAAGTATTTTGAAATGAAAACAATGTTTTACGATCCATTTATCGTTAGAATAACCATTAACAGGTTAAGCTTGCGTCATGTCAGGAAAACTAATTTCAGTTCTGTCAACATTGTTATTAAAAGAGCCAAACCTTCGATGCAATTGCGTCACTGGGCCAGAATCTGAAATTAAAATATGTCAATCATCTGTTATGCATCCTCCGATCACAGGGCTTCAAAATCCAGAATATCTTCTTTCTTTCTACCCCCTGCGATAAGCAGTTAGCATTTCCCCAATTAAGAACTGGCAATCTGATTGGCTGTCGCAACACTGCGACAGAAATCATGTATAAGTCATTGCGCATAATAAGATCATGTGATTCAGTTTAATCGGGCGCTTCCAAATTGATTATAGCAGTGGGAAGAAGGAGGTCGTATTCTGGATACCTGCTTAGGAGGATGCTGTTATGTGATCTTATTAAAATGTGGACTTTTAGGTTACATAAACCATATGAGCATATAATCCACAGTTCAGTAGTAACATCATTTATATCCCATTGTCTCCTAAAGGAGTAGCCTATTAGTCTCTTGAAGGAGCAGCCTTTCAGTTCAATTTAACCCCCCCCCCCACCATTGCCCCTATCCCCTTACTTAGGTATGGCCCTCGCACCTTTCCTTTCATTATTCTTTCATCATTGGACAGTTTATTGAGCTGGATAATCTTTTTTCTTTGAAGTAGAGGCACTTGTTTTTCTACAAATATCATATTTGTTCCTCCAAGTAACAAATATATCTGCTATATTTATATCATCTGTAACTCGAAGAATAACTATAGCTGCAAGAGCATCTTGTATAATGCAGATAATTATCATCATCCAGAAAAGGTGTCATATATAATTCTAAGAAAACAAGAGATTTGATTTTATAATTGGGACATGTGACTGGTAGCTTGCACCCTGAGTTAGTCTGGATAGCCAATTTGACATCATCACTCATGCAAGAAATAGTCCATATGTTCATGCCTATTTCACACTATTTCTCTTTAAGATTTGAATGAACTGAGTGATTGTTTGGCATTTCTATACAATTTAGAGTGTTGGCTCTATGCTTATGTACTTTATTCCTTGCTGATTCCACTCTTTTCCACTATATTGTCGTTTTAAAATCATGACCATCATCACTTTTCTCGAGGTTATCTGTAGGTGCGCTTGAGTAATCAAGTCTGTTAAAGATTGCACGTAATTGGACTTCCTGTTATGGCTTAATGTTCGAACATCTATAATTTGTTACATTTCCTGATCAACTTTCGCTGATTGATTAGTTTTTGCGTCACCACTATCGCATCTCGTAACTTCCTCTCATCCTGCTTTCTTTTTCCATAAGGAGATATGTTCAAGGAGGAGTGGGGGAACTGAATTATAAGTAGATTTATAATGTTAAACTCACAATATTGTATCGTGATCTGTTAGACATGGCCCCTTCATCTAGGATGCGGCTTGACCCCAAATTTTATGTAGATTAAAAAAGAGTAGGACCTTTCTCAAACACATTTTCCAAAAACTGGGCATCATGTTTCAAAATATGTGACATCAGTTTTTTATAAACTTATGTGTTTGTTATAACTTTACCTCATCATTTTGAAAATATGACAAACTTTCAAAAGGCTCTCTATTCCTAGGCTAATTTTTCTTTGTTTTCATTCTGCTTCATTTGTGAATCAATTTTGATATATGGGACCATGTAGGAGCTAATTCTTGGGTGAAGAGTTAATCAATTTAGTTCCATGCTAGCTTACATTAAGAAATACATGACAGACAGCAGTAACATTTAGATCAATCAGAATTAATTTTTTATAGAATTAGTTAATATGATTTTCAGGACAATTTTAGATAACATGGTTATTCCTATTGCTTAAAAACTGTGTAAAATAGAGAAACGTGGTCAACTACCCATGGATAGTTATGTTTAAGTTTACCCTTTGCATTCGTTCGACTGCTTTTTAAAAGAGAGCTTCGTAGTTTCTCACTAGACTCTGCACATAGGGTAGTTTAACTTTGTGTCTAATTGGTCATAGGACTCTGAAAACTGTTTCTCTCACATAGGTGTTCTACAAGTTTTACTGTATTCTCAAATTGTATTGAAATATGCCATAAAGGTAGATGAATCTTTCTTTTAAAGCAGCAGATCAAACTAATGAAAAGGACTTAAGCAATACTCAAAAACAAATCATTCTTTTAAGAGAGAATTGTTTTTTTCAGTAAAGCAATTGTAGGTGATATTTGTGAGACTATTTTTTCTTCTCTAATTTTCAATGAGACTCACAATCTAATCCTTTCTGAGGTCAAATATCTGCTTCAATATTCTGGGTTCTGAGATCCACATTTATGTTCAAGACCCTAAAAGTTAATTATTCGTTTATTTAGCAGGATGTTTTGGGAAAATGACTCAATATTCAGGCTTTTTTCTCAAAAATAGCAAAAAGACATGTCAAAATAAGAGAACACCTCTTTCTAGTGAGAATAATAAGCACAAAGGGCAACAGTTGGAGAGCATAATATAACAAATCCTCCTCATTGTATACATATGAACTATATTGAACCAGGATTGGAATTGAAGCAAAATTAAATGGGTAAATAACTAAAATTAATATCCTAAACTTTGACACCAGTATTCCTTCAGTTGTATGAAATACCTAGATGGATCAAGGTGTAAATGCCCATCTATTGCACTTATCATCAACTTATCCTGTTCCCGGACTATAGTCCTGTACGGAGTCAATACATTTGCCTGTACGATTACAACTTGGGAGAATTATCTACGCCCCTTCCACTTAAGAAACCTACCTCAATGCATTCTACAACTCAAAATGTAACTTCTAATATATTGGAACCGCCGATTGTCTGGGTTAGTTGGCAGAACGAGGTCTTTTTGTTTCTTATGGCTCTTTTGGTCGAAGTTCGATTAAGATGGCGGTTATAACGGAATTTCCCGAACTCTTCCGTAATAGCACGAACTTGGTTTTTCGTTACTTCACTTCCATGTAAAATGGATTTGTTTCCGGTAAGAAACATTGTTTAACCATTCGGTATACAGTTAAGAGCATAGGATGTCGACATGGCAGTAAATATTGAAAATATTGTCCGAAATTTTCGAAATTCCGTCTTACCCGAAACAAATCCATTTTACACGGAAGTGACGTAACGAAAAACCAAGTTCGTGCTATTACGGAAGAGTTCGGGAAATTCCGTTATAACCGCCATCTTAATCGAACTTCGACCAAAAGAGCCATAAGAAACAAAAAGACCTCGTTCTGCCAACTAACCCAGACAATCGGCGGTTCCAATATATTAGAAGTTACATTTTGAGTTGTAGAATGCATTGAGGTAGGTTTCTTAAGTGGAAGGGGCGTAGATAATTCTCCCAAGTTGTAATCGTACAGGCAAATGTATGGGCTCCGTACAGGACTATAGTCCTGGAACGGGATAAATCATCAACATCTACATGTGTGCGTTGTATATCATCGTAACCTGGCAGCTAACACTTGTAAAATGCCAAGGTGGTCCTCTTTTAAAATGTAAAATAGAGTGGAAAATAGTGGAATCAGCAAGGAATAAAAAACAGGCATGTAGTGTACACTCTAAATTATATAGAAATGCAAGAAAATCAGACACTTCATTCAAATTTTAGAAAGAAATATAGAATGGAAATAGATTGCAGAACAAAACAGTTTGAACTTGTGCTGTCTTATACCTAGTTCAAGTTCAAGCAGTTAAAATATATTTGGTGCACCCTATCTAGTAATTTCCTGAATTTTATATAGTTTTATGCTGTTTCCATAAAAATCCAATAAACTTAGTCATAAACTAGATTCATAGTATCAACACTGCCCTTGTTTATGATGTTACTTAATGTTTTTGCCCTGAATTCTCAGTGTTTGGCATAACATAGATTCATTTGTGATATATTTTTGCAAGGGTAGATCATGAGTGGATCTTTCCCCGGATGAGCAATTGCACGGAAAATTCCAGGTATAAACAAATTGGAAATCAGTGTTCGATCTCCTGGGTAGCATCTCAAGCTTCAAAAATAACGAAAACCTTATTTTTACAAATAAAAGGGAACTTTTGGTAGTCAATCTTTTGGAGGGGAGTGTATGTTTGTATTTAAGAAAACTTTAAAAACAGTTGTTTTAACCACATTTTAACCTTGACTCCTCTTCATAGATTCTTATTATAAAAAGATGTTTCATATATTTTATCAGTACACCAGCACGCTGGGATATTAGAAATTTTACTTGAATCTTGCACATTTCATGTTATTTTTCTCCAAAATTTGAATAAACTACCTGATTTTCTTGCATTTCTATACAATTTAGAGTGTTAACTACATGCCTGTTTATTTTATTCCTCACTAATTCCACTCTTTCCTCACATATTTTGCATTTCAAAACATGACCAACATTGTATTTTTCTAGTGGAATGTTCACTCACAAAACACGTGGAAGAGTTCACTGTATATAAAAACATCACAGATCACTTGTGTTAAACGGCATTGTGTTTGTAGCATTTGTAAAGTGCACTATTAAATTACTTTGCGCTGGATTTTTATTGCACAAAAATAGAAAAATCCAGGCATAGTACCAGGAGTCAGAAACAAGGCATTTTCTGAGTTATTTAAAAGGGAAAATAGAGGAGTAATGTATTTCAGAAAATTCAGCGTAGGCTAACGTATATTAGGATATATTTTTTCTGTAAAAATCATTGAATATAAATAGTGCAATAAAAGATACATAAACATATCAGAAGGATTTTAATGATTTTTATGATTGTATTCTCCATATCAGGTTAGATTTTTGATTATTCAAATAAAACATTGATTTTATTCTAGGTTTCTAATAAGTATATTAATGTAGTCATAGGCGTAGCGCTATTTTTCTAAGTAGTACGCCACCACAACGGGAACAAGAGTTGAGTAATTCAAAAATCGAGCATTCAGGGGGGTCTGGGGGTTCTCCCTCAGGAAAATTTTGAAATTTGGTTGTATTTGGAGCGAATTTGCAACCATCTGGTAAGCCTGTGCGTACCCAGCGTACCGGGCGCTTCGCCCATGGTAGTGATACAGCAAATATAAGCCTTTTGATAACTCCAAAATTGGAAAATTTATTTAGCTGGTTGATGCGGTATTCCCACGGGAGACAATGGGATATATCAGTATGTCAGAGGGGAGTATACTAATTGGCAGATTGGCTCAGGGTAAACTCTTCATATTTCATATATTTTCTTTCTATACTTTCAGATAGCAGAAGATGAGGGTTGGAGGAACAAATAGGAGATAGAGCACCTTAGAAACAATTATAAACATGTAAGTACAGTACATTATGTGTATTGTAGTACAGGTACTATGTAGGTGCGGTATAGGTTCAGTATAGGTTTAGTATAGGTATAGTATAAGTGTAGTGTAGTGCAGGTACTATGTAGGTGCGGTATTAAGTCACACTTTTAAAGGCCAGGTCACCTTGTCACATACCCCTTAGCGAGCCCCATTAATATACTAAATGATATGGTTAGGGTCTAATATCTTTTTTATGTCACCACCACAAGTGGTGACATATTGTTACAGTGTCCAACTTTTTTATGGACATTGCCCGGCATTTGAAATTCAACGGTTAGTAGACTTATTGGCTATATTATATTTCATGACATATTGCAGTCTATAGCATCTTTGCTGTAAGAGCGCATAAAAATAGAATTGATTAAAAAATCGAGACACGGATAAAGCTACTCACGTATTCATGTAGCAGATTCCTTTAGACATTTCACTTGTACAAAAATAACCTATTTTTATTATTTAGTTCAAAAGTTATATTGAATTTGTATACCCTTTTCATACTGTCTACTTATATAAGTGATCCAGTTCTCTTATAGTCACATTTGTAAACAAGTTCTAACGCTTTGTGGTGATGTTACTCCACCCTAGATATTTTCTTCGTTTGATTTTAAATTTTCAAAAAGAAGAAGGAAATAAACTAGTCTACATACAAGAATTTGATGTCAGATTCAAATGAAAAGTGACTGATGTCACATTCCAAATGAAGTGATTTATGTCACATTCCAAATGATAACTGACTGTACTGATGTCACATTTCAAATGAAGAGTGGCGATGTCACAATCAAAAAGTGACTGATGTCACATTTGAAAAGTGACTGATGTCATATTCCGAATAAAAAGTGATCAGTTGATATCACATTTTGTATGAAAAGTGGTTGATGTCACATTTAAAATAAAAAATTGATTAATGTCACATTCCGAATGCTAGTCTCTCCCCCTTCTTTTCCCACTATTATTTTACCCACAATCCTATATTTGGGTGGTGGTGAGGCCAACAAAAGGACATGATGCTCAGGCCCGTAGCCAGGGGGGGGGGGTTCGGGGGGTTCATGCAGTTTTTCACCATTCTGACTAATTTTTGAGTGATTTTTGGCCATATTTGCCAAAGTGAACCCACCCTAGAATTTTTTAGAAAAACGAACCCCCCCTTGGAAAATTCTGGCTATGGGCCTGATGCTAGACTAATTTTAGTGATCAGCATTTAAAAAACAAATTGTGAGTGATTTGTTTGTTTCTTGATTGATTGTTTATAGAGGAAAAGTAAATAAGGAACCTGGTATATATATCCTCATCACATCCTGTTATCTGTTTATATTTGAAAACAAATTAGCTTTTTGAGGATCTGCTTGAATTTAGGTGCCTAGATGCAATTCTGATACTCATAGTATCTCTCTGTTTCACCTCAGGGCTGAGAAGAAATAAGATTTCATGGTTTATCATGATGAGATGCAATCTTCTTTTGAATCTTTAATATTTGCAGAAATAAAAGTGAATTTAGCTAAAAAATATTGTCACTGAAAAACAAAACCACATAAAATGATGATTTTTTGAAGCAAACAAAACATCTTTTGTGTAACCCACAAGGGAAGCTGGTAAAGGAGATAGAAGGATGACAAAGTTAGCTGCAAGACTAAGCCAAATTGACCTGCTTTTTATATGTTATAGCCTGTTCATTTTGGGCCTATGAGCTGCTAACTTTCATTATGTCACCACCACAAGTGGTGACATATTGTTATAGTCTCGAACCTTTCTTTTAGATGGTGTTTGGCATCTTAGGTTTGATGGGTGGCATCTGTAACAAATGGCAGGTGGTGACATTTTGAATGTTTATGCCTTGTCTACCTTTGAGTAGCTAATTTTTTTCATTTTGTATTACTATAAAAACTGCATTTTAGACCATGAAGATCGTATGAATATCAATACGTAAAATCATCTTCAAAAGTAAGAGGATGATATAGTTAGCTGATAGAGATCAAGGGTTATCAAGAACCTACTTATACTATATAACTTCTGATATTGTTTTAATTAATGTGAAATTGATGAAGTGAAATACTTAATTATTCCTTTGATGTTCATCTAGTTGATGTTCTAATTACTGGTTCAAAGTTCATTCCACATTTTGTAAAATTTTAAAAAGAGTTTTTAAAAATGTTGAGATAAATCAGACTAAAGAAAAAATATAATTGAAGTTCAAGCCAAGAATTCTAACATGATTTTTTCACAAATAGGTAAAACTTAATTAAACTATTATACGAATGAAATAAACTAAACATGATTAAATGTTATATGCAATGGTATAAAATATGTATGAATAGAATACACAGGTGATAATTATCTATATATTTTATTTGTTCATATTTATTTTTTACGTTTCAGATACTCCCGTCCATGTAGTGACATGATGTAATTGCTCCAGAAAACCAGTTTATACAATTAGATCACTGAGCTGTGGTCTATTAAAACAGGTATGCAAATTATGTTTATGATTTACATGGGGAGAGTGGGGGAGGGGGTTGTTAGGATATTCTTGTATTCAGTATACCTTTTCTTATCTCCAAAGGTAGTTTGCACTTTTATAAAAATTTGGTAAATGTCTTTCCAAAAATGTTTTGAATTTTGTATTACATAAGTTATATATAATTAAATGATATAAAGTTATAAACTCACACATATAAGCAACCATTAACATAATTATTTCTTGGCCCGCATGCCTTGCCTCGACCGACTTCTCTCCCCCTAATAATGGTCTAGACATTAGGAATTGGGATGGTATCCAAGTATCAAATAAGCCATACAAAAATGCATACAATTTAATATACAAACCTAGGCCCGTAGCCAGGTTTGCCAAGGGGGGTTCAGTTTTCAAAAATTTCTAGGGGGGTTCACATTTGACAATTTTGGCCCAAATATGGCTAAAATCACTTGAGAAGTGCTCAAAATGGTGAAAAACTGCATGATTTTGAAAGAATTTTTGGTTGGGGGGGGGGGTCGGGATCCTAAAACCAGTTTGAAAAACTAAATAGATTAGAATAGTCAATTCCTCAAAGAATATAGTAACCATACATGAATTGTTAATACACTTGAGATGATTTAAGGAAAAGACAGAAAATCCTTAAAAGTGTGGGGAATATGGACAGTATAGCCATGAATAGCTTTTCCAAGGGATGTTCAAACTTCATACTGATGCAATACCAGGCCTGTCAACTGTCCCGCAATTTGCGTATTTGTCACGCATTTGCTGAAGAATTTGAAGTCACGCCAGTTTTTTTTGCGTGACAGAAAATGTCACGCAAAATACGCATTTTACCTGGTAATTGTCAAGCAAAAATATTTCTGTAGAAATTTTTTCGAAATATGTTTACGATACGGTAAAAATACGAACGCCGGAAAAAAACGAACGCAATTTGTTCGGATTTGTCACGCGAATCCCGTATGTGTCACGCATGTTCATTGGAAATTTTTCGTACCTACCCCCCCCCCCCCCCCCCCCCGTTGACGAGAACGCGAGCGCGAAAAATTTGAGGTGTTTAAAGTTTGGCAAAGGTGCTCAAACTTTGGCCAAAGGTGTTTAAAAGTTGGCCAAAGGTGTTCAAAATTTGGACAAAAGTGTTCAGATTTGGACTTAGGTGTCCAACATTTTGAAGTCACTCATATTAGGTGGTCCCAAGTTGACAGCCCTGCAATACAGTTAAACCCGCATATTCAGTTAAACCCGCATATTCAAACACCTGTCAAATATGTACACCTCACAAAGTGAACATTTTTTATAAATCCCAATTTTCTAACCTCCCATTGACTCACATATTCAGTAACCTCAGAAATGAACATCTGCTAATTGGAACATATATTGGGCCAGTCCCCATTTGTGTTAAGATTAGACAGGTTTACCAAAGTTCATGCACCAAACAGAAGATGATTATATACGTTATAAAGAAAGGGTATGATGAAATAGTTCGTATACCAGAACAAATAACAACTTTACACAAATTGTGTTCAATGCATTTTAAACGTAATGTGTATGATGAAATAGCTTGAAACTGTACTCAGTTACAGGAAGTTTCATATCAAGTCTTTGATAATAAGCCAAGTTTTTTATTATTCTTGGATGATGTAAACGCTGAAATGAATGATATACACTACATATAGACTACAGACATAAATTCTGTGAATAACTTTGCATGTCTACCTAATGGATTAGAACTAAATAACATTTAGGGAGACAGTTTTTCTAAAAGGTTCCTATCAAGTTTTTCATTACAATTTTTTATTGATATTTTCAGGTTGTTGAACCCATCACATTAAGGACAAGAGTCCTTATAAAACACACTTCATATTAAGCCATACAAGCATTATTCAAACCACAAAAATAATGTCTAACGATGCTGAATTAAAACCTGTGAAAAATAGCAAAGGCGATGTGAAGGAAGCTGTACCACTGCCAACAGATGGCACCAGTGTTTCGTCAAAAGATGGCAGTGTGTCAGACTTGCCGATTCCACCAGATGGCGGATGGGGTTGGATGGTGGTATTTGCATCATTCATGGTACATATAATCGCAGATGGAGTCGTTTATTCATTCGGAATATTCTACATTGAGTTCCTGCATGAATTCAAAGGGGGAAAGGGAGAGACTGCCTGGGTGGGGTCTCTGGTCGTTGGTGTTACTTTAAGCTCAGGTGAGTACTTGATTTATTAAAGTACACTGTGTTCATTTCTTGAGGAGTTTTATCTCATGGGGGTGCAAAATTCTCATAAGGGTACACAGTTATCATAATGGTGAAAAGGTCTCATAAGGGTGCTAGAAATGGAAGTTAAAGTGATGTCTGTTCTAAATGAATAAAAAACTACCAGAAAGATTTACCAATTTTTTTTCATTTACCAGATGAATTTTTGTGGTTTTTGAACTACAGTTTAGAGATACAGTGCTCACCATAAATAATTGACATCTTGATTTTCTATCACCATTCCCAGATCATGGTTATTTTAGACTTCATACTTTCCAATAATGTCTAGATACACATCCCTTAGGTTTTGTATATTTTACATTTTGTATACTCTCAACTACTAATGTATGGTCATTGGTCACTTGAAAATTCTCTTTATTTTAACATGGGAAATCCACACTTCAGCAAATTCAGGTGTCATTTATTTATGGTGAGCACTTTAACTTAGAACTTGACATTGAAAGACAGTAAATAACAAGTTTCAAACAATTGCAGTAACAAAGTAGAATCCAATTTGAATTTACAGTACAGTATACCTATACCTATAATAATTTTGCTTGAATAATAATCTCTTGTGACCCCCTCTTACATACCTCCTTGTGGAGAAAAAATAGATAGGGAGTGAGGCGCAGGGCCTTTTTACCAGACTAACTATCCCTCTAATTTTTAATTAGTATTTTCTTCAAGGAGAATTTAAGGTCAATCTGTATTGTTTCGGAATTTTTATTAGCGCACTCTTTGTGCGAATGTGAAAGATGTAGACTACATATATGAGATGATTTATTAATTCATTCCTGAAAATAACATGTGTAGTGACTTCAATGAGGACTGCATAAAAATCCCAAACATACAGATTGACCTTAATCGACATCCCCAGAATATTTATGAACTTTTAGTCTCAGTATGTAACAGTTAAACAATTTTTAAGGCAATTTTTTCTAATATATTTTCAGGGGAATCTTAATTTTAGTTTTCGTTTAGTTTTTACTTTTTCTTTTGTATGACAAATAAAAATACATTAACTAACAGTAAATACGTACTTAATATATTTGTAAAATCAGCTGATTTGTCAAAAGACACATGTTAAACATGTGGTTCAGATTTAAAACCCTCTTGAAATCTCGTAAATTTTATAAATCATGCCACTCATTGACAAAGATAACCCAAGAGGTCAAATTGTGAGATATTTTCTGAAGGTAAGTGGTTAAACTTCAGTTAGGCTAATTAGGTCATGAAAGATGCATTTAAGATCATTAAGATACCCATGGAAAAATGTACATGTTCATTCTCGATGGGACTCTGTGGGACTTTGCCCCATGAAACCCATGGGACTCAGTAGTGCTTTACTGAGCTTCAGTATCTCTCACAGAGTCCCATGGGCCTTGTCATTAGGTCCCAGGCAATGTACAGTGTATGGAGTCTCACCGTGCCCCATTGGTGTATGTTGGGCTTAATGAATTGGGAGGGGCTTGTCATAAGGTCCCAGGCAATGATCAGTGTATGACTATGGAGTCTCACCATGCCCCATTGGTGTATGTTGGGCTAATGAGTTGGAAGGGGCTTGTCATAAGGTCCCAGGCAATGATCAGTGCATGGAGTCTCACCGTGCCCCATTGGTGTATGTTGGGCTAATGAGTTGGGGAGGGCTTGTCATAAGGTCCCAGGCAATGATCAGTGCATGGAGTCTTACCGTGCCCCATTGGTATATGTTGGGCTTAATGAATTGGGAGGGGTAGATAAATAGAGTTACTTTTTCTGTAGGTGATACAAAACCACAAAATGCAAACTAAAACCACAAAGAACCACAAAGGGCAACTTAGCCATCTTCAGAGAGATTAATATAAACGAAAACATCAAAAGTCAAAAAGTTTATGATCAAAGTCACTTTGTTGTCTTAAGTTATGAGATTTGAGTTTTAGAACATAATTTATATTAATATTAACTCATTAACTGTAGTGGATAACTGTTCAAAATTAAATATTATCTGACTTTTGTATAAGGTCATCTTTTTTGAAGGTCGGCAAATCAGTATTATATCGAGTAGCAATGAGTATTTTTTATAATTATATAGCATTGCTTATTTTTAAACTAATTTAAAAGCAAGGTTATTTACCCAGGGACTTTACATTTCTAATAGTTCTATTAATGCAACTAAAAATTGTTTTTTGATTCAGAACCAAATTAATGAATATTTATTAATTTATTGATGAAATAGCATTTGATTGAGTGACAACCGCAAAAGTAATTCTTGTTCTGATACAAAAATGAGTTGATCAATATTATTGATAAAAAACAGTAGCTGATTGCATGCTAATTTTTTTTGTCCCATTATTTCTATTTTTGTAAATCCAAAGAAGTATTGTCTTGAACTCTGAAGGCCTAGTTTCAATAATGAGTTTTTTGTTTTTTTTTGTTTTTTTTAAATTAACGTACAATTGTATATTAACATCAATCATCATTCAAAAATAAACATACCTGTCTTACAATTTTAATATCTTTTGTTTGTTAAACTCGCTATTAATATTACATGTACCTAAATAGTTTTGACAGTTAAAAATTTGGATAGTTTTCAATAATGAGTTGTTTACATCAATTTTTCTTTAGGGCCCTCTAAGTAAGAATTCACAAATTCAACTGCCGGCTGTCGACTGAGAATTTAACCAACTAATTTATGGCCATGTCATTTAAATATGAATGAAACAAGGACAGGTACTATTCGTATTAAAATGAAATGAGCTGGCCATAAAAGTAGGTTAAATTGTCAGCCGACAGTTGAATTTGTGAATGTTACCCTAGCTACTTTTTTTGTCATTGCATAAAGTTTCTTTTGATCAATCATAAGTAAATTGTGTTCCACACTGATTGGGCTCAATTGTATGATTTACAGATTGTTCTAAATTGTATCTTAAACTGATTCTGCTATAGCTATAGTTGTATTCTATACAGATTGTGCTTCAGTTGTGTTATATGTGAATGTGCGTTTACTGATTGTGCTAAATTGTGTTATTCACTGATTGTGTTCAGTTTTTCAATTACCGATTTACCATGTTAGATTGTGCTTTTTATGAACTGTGCTAAACAAGGCTATACATGTACTCTTCTATATTTACAGGTCCAATAGCAAGTGCCCTTACAAATAAATATGGCTGCCGTGTTGTGACGATACTTGGTTCTATTATAGCTTCAGGTGGCTTTCTGCTGAGTCTACTTGCTCCAAATCTCTACTTTCTCTACTTCTCATTTGGAATCATGTCAGGTAAGTGCCTTTAAGAAATACAAGATAATGCAAATATATTCCTTTAAGAAATTGCAAAATATATCACTAGCAATTATGTCAGATAAGTGCCTTTAAGAAAAACAAGATGATGCAAATATATCCCTTTAAGAAGTTGCAAAATATATCACTACTTATTATGTCAGATAAGTGCATTTAAGAAAAACAAGATAATGGAAATATGTCCCTTTAAGAAGTTGCAAAATATACCACTAGCAATTATGTCAGATAAGTGCCTTTAAGAGAAACAAGACAATGCAAATATGTCCCTTTAAGAAGTTGTAATATATATCATTACCTATTGTATGTTTCAATTTTAGAAATGTGATATTTGCATATACAATATTTTTTAGTCTAAAAGATACTGAAAATGATACAGAAAGAGTTCATATTTTATATACATAAATAAAAGCTTTTTGTCTAAAAACACTACTCAGTATCTGTACTTTAGATTAATATTTGTGTTTTCTACTTCAGAGGATCGAAGCTCTTAAACAATAGATATATCTTACCATACTCTAAAAAACATCCCTCGTTGTAATTATGTAATTTTCTTTCACTTAACGTTTTGCATTCTCTCTAATTATCCCCCAAATGTTTATAAATAACAAAATCTATATTTTTATGTCATAATTATAGTATAATTGAATATAGAGTCAGGCGTTTGGTATATTAGGGTTGACAGAATTATATATAAATTGGTTGACATTTTTCAAAGTCACTTTGCGGCATCATGATAAACCATGACATCTCAATTCTTCTCAGCCCAATATGCAGGTGAAACAGAAAGATGCTATGAGTATCAGAATGACCTTGTGGATATTTCATAGTTTAATATGCTGTGATGTTTTCCGTACAATTTCCTACAAAAGATAATAAATAGACTTTGGTAATGAGATAAATGCGGTGATATTGGTTTTGTGTTTTTAAGTCACCACCACAAGTGGTGACAAATTGTTATGGTATCTGACTTTTTATTGACAGTGTTCAGCATTCGGTGGGTGGTAGTCGGCGGTTGGCATTTGTAACAAATGGCATGTGGTGACATTTTGCATGTTAATGCCTTGTCTAATATTGCCTGTCACATTAACTGATTCACCATATAACATGTCCATCCTACAGCTGGTTCCACAGCTGTATTTGCACAGCTTTGTTAACTTGAATTTTGAAACTAAAATACCTTTGAAGTACAAAGGTGTATTGCAGAGTACTCAACATTTGAACCTTTGCACCTATTACTCCATAAACACTTCGACCGTTATTTATCTGTTATTTATACCCTTCAGATCCTTCTGAAGCCGGTATAATAACGGCACAAGTTCAACCTGACCTTTAAAATACATTTACAGGTGACTCACATCTTGTATCAACAATTTGTCATCCAAAAATAGCTTATTTAGCACAATTGAGTTTGAGTTAAGTGAGGCTGTTGTTATTTTCGGATTAATGTTTGTTTGTTTTTGTCAGGTAAACAACTACAATATGACTCAAAAGTCTTACAAAAGTCATAAGACTTTTGAAAAACATAAAAAACACCCCCACAAATTTGTGGGGGTGCCCAAAGTGTGGCAGTAAATGCAAATTAAATGTAGAAAAAATATGTAGAGGTATAGCGCAACATTAGGCAGATATACTTCACCAAAGTGTTGCCAAATAATGTTTACTCTGAATTAAAAGAAAACTGTAAAAATAAAGTATAATGGCTATGTGATATTCCTTAAAGACCTTTTTGCCTCCCTGATTATTTTAATTTGCCTCAACTCACTTTAATTTGCCTCAACTTGCTATAATTTGCCTCACCTATTATTATAAGATCCTGGCTGCACCTTTGAATGTGTAATCATTGATCGAGGAATGAATTAAACTGACATTTAGAAACAAATTATCGTTATCTTTTCTTGTAATTGCTCTATACAAAAGACGAGTACATAGGCTAGACAAGGAGGGGGGGGGGCAACATACCACGCTTCATTTACAGTGAAGTTAGAATTGCTAGACAAGGAGGGGGGGGCAACTTACCATGCTTCATTTAGAGTTAAGTTAGAATTGCTAGACAAGGAGGGGGGGCAACATACCATGCTTCATTTAGAGTTAAGTTAGAATTGCTAGACAAGGAGGGGGCAACATACCACGCTTCATTTAGAGTTAAGTTAGAATTGCTTAACAAGGAGGGCATACCACACTTCATTTAGAGTTAAGTTAGAATTGCTAGACAAGGAGGGGGGCAACATAGCACGCTTCATTTAGAGTTAAGTTAGAAATGCTAGACAAGGAGGGGGGGGGCAACATAGCACGCTTCATTTAGAGTTAAGTTAGAATTGCTAGACAAGGAGTGGGGAGCAACATACCACGCTTCATTTAGAGTTAAGTTAGAATTGCTAGACAGGGAGGGGGGCAACATACCACGCTTCATTTAGAGTTAAGTTAGAATTGCTAGACAAGGAGGGGGGGGGGGGCAACATACCACTCTTCATTTAGAGTTAAGTTAGAATAGCTAGACAAGGAGGGGGGCACCATACCACGCTTCATTTAGAGTTAAGTTAGAATTGCTAGACAAGGGGGGGGGGCAACATACCACACTTCATTTAGAGTTAAGTTAGAATTGGTCAATCCAAATGACAAGTACAGGCTACAAGGAGAAGGGAGGGGGGCAACATACCACGCTTCATTTATAGTAAAGTATGGGAAATATTATACCGTATACCGTGAAAGTTCATGGCTATTTACTGCCACACTTGTTGAATGAGGCAAGTGTGTATCTTAGAAAAACATCCGTTTAACATAACATAACATAGTAGTATAAACAAAAACAATTAGAGTGAAGAGAGAATAGGTTAGATTATCAGGGTTCTCACTAAGCTTTTAGACTCAGGAGATGTCTTTAGACCCTCTTGCTCCAGAGTCTAATAGCTTTCCAGAGTCTAAAGTGTTTTTTCCGGAGTCTAATTTTACATTTTTGTCACATTATTTGTGGTAAACCTTTTGGGAAAATACATAAAACTGGATACAAACAAGGAATAGGAAGTCAGAAACTTTTTAGAAATGTATATTGTGATTAAAATAAAAAGATAATCTTTGAAAAGTATACTAATGGGATATTTCTGATCTCACTTGGGGGAGGTGTAGTCGCGATACTGTGGAAAATCTGGGATCTAAAAATTCCCTGATGAGAACCCTGATTTTGATATACCAACTTTCAAACCACAGTTACATAACCACGATGCTTTTAAATATTGCAGTATTAGGTTGAGATATGTCTATGTCCAATTTTTCAATTGTTTTATTAAAGCAACATGGGAAAGGGTATTTCCTAAGTCCTTATTGTGGCATATTTACTTGAAAAAACTTCTTTTTTTGACAAATTAGTTTGTGTTCTTTGCTTAGGTGTATACAATTGAACTTATCGCTTGTTCCAGATGTTGCCATTTGTGCCTTTCTAGCTCACGTGGTGAACTTTTGCCTTTTTTGTTTGTATACAAAAGCCCCTTCTATGCCTTTTTCAAATTGTCATCTATAAGAATGTGACTTTTAAATAGATGTACCTTAAATTGCTACATTAGTAATGAATGTATAATAGATTTTTTGGTCCCTGGATTTAGTTAGGGATAATGCCAATCAACAGGGAAGAAGTTAATTGTGTTATAGGGAGGGGATATCATGGGCATAGCGCTATTTTTAGGAGTAGTACGCAACAGCGAGAAATCAAGTTGATTGAAGGGAAATCGCGCCTTAAGGGGGTCTGGGGCTCTCCCCCATGAAAACTTCAAAATTTGGTTGTATTTGGAGTGATCTGATGCAACCATCTGATACGCCTGTGCGTACCAGGCAAACTGGCACTATACATCCATGGATATAATATGATGTTTTTTAACGAAGTGTGTCACACTTTTGAATATTCAAGTGAAGGAAAAATTAACATTTAAAATTTTATATCATGAGAGGAGGGAGCAAACCATAGCAAAATTATTTTATTTTTCCACAACTGATAATTATTTGACAGCATCCCTAAATTTCACCAAAGTCAGGCCATCAGACATTTTTTGATCTAAATATATTTGTCTGATTGTTACCGCATGCTTTTATCATTTGATGACCTTGAGTTAAGTTAGTAGAACCTTGATAAATCTTCTTTCTCCTTCAGTGTTAGCAATAGTCGAGATCTAGAACAAATATATTTTACAAGTCTAATTTGGTAAACCAGCTGCGGGTAGTTGACATCAACTCAGGAATGAATCTAAAAATTGACAAAAATATTATTTCAAAAACCCTGATAAAACAGTTTTATGTCCTTTGTTTGGAAAATTCTACAATAGAGACCCATTTTTAAATGGGAGTAGAATTTGAAGTAAACGATTCACAAAAAGGAACCCATTTGGTGAATCACTGTCCGATTCACAAATGTTGAATGCATTTAAAGTACAAGTACTAGGGCTTGTTCAATAAATAGAGGTGTTATTGTTTATTGGACAGCCCTTGTACATTTAATTTCCAGACTAACCAGAATTATTAAATTTAAGATTGAATTACTGTATTTGCAGGTCTTGGATTTGGACTGATATACCTCCCTGCTATTGTCAGCGTAGGGTACTACTTTGAAAAACGACGTGCTTTTGCGACGGGAATTGCAGTATGCGGCTCAGGTGTTGGAACATTTATATTTGCGCCATTATCAAAATGGCTGTTGGATTTGTACGGCTGGAGGGGTGCAATATTAATACAAGCGGGACTCATTTTGAATTGTATACTCTGTGGAGCCCTTTTCAGACCCCTTGAGTCAAAAAAAAGAAAACGGGATAAGTCAACAGAAACCGGGTCCAAAGATGAAAAATCGCCTTTGACAATAGCTCAGAATGGTGAACTTAAAAATGGCAGTCTGGTATTGCCGGAGGTTGAAATAACCGTCACCTCAGAAAAATCAGAAGATGACTTAGCTCTGAATAAACCAAATGGAATTAATCCCAAGCATTTTCAGTTAATCAGTCGATCCCATTGTGAACTAAACAAAGCACCTCTCACTGAAACAAACGGCACAATCAGGAGCCTCGATGAGCGAATGTGGCATAGCCTTAACCGTCGACAACCTGGAAAATCAATATCCGCGACGCATCATCAACATCATGCATCGAACACCAGCCTCGGGCCTATGTATCGTAAGGATATATTCTACAATGCAAGTCTGTTGAACATTCCGGCTTACAAATCCAACCCGAATCTTTACAGTCGCAGTATAACATCAATCCCTCATGAGGAAGAACAAAAATCGTGCTGTTCTAACGAAATGAAGGATACATTAAGAAATATGATGGATCTATCCCTATTAAAAGACATGACATTTTTAATGTTTGCAATATCAAACTTTTTTACCAGTATAGGCTTCAACGCCCCGTATATATATCTCCCGGATAGAGCCGAGCTTTTGGGCGTTGAATCGAACAATGCAGCTTTTTTGATCTCAGTTATAGGGATATCAAATACGCTCGGGCGATTGATATTTGGTTGGATGAGTGATCGCCCGTGCGTTAACAGATTATGGCTGTACAATTCTGCACTAACTCTATGTGGAATACTGACTGTTCTAAGCTCATTCTGCAGGACTTATGAGCTGCTGATTGTTTACGCTGCTTCATTTGGAGTTTTTATAGGTAAGAACCCTGAAAGTTGTTAGCCTTCTCCGACAGAATTATCAAAATTATTGGAACGAAAAGTTAGTGTTTTTTTATTTTATTTACAATCGACTTTTATGCTTGATTAATGTGAGCACATTTTCGGTTCCATTTCTCACCAACAAAAGTCATGACATATTGTTATAACAGAATTTTTGAGTGTTCGGCGGTTGGCAAGAGGCATTAAGCTAACAAATGGCAGCTGATGACATTTTGCATGTGAATACCTGCAAATCCAAACAGTTACATTTGGAAAAATCATTTTTTGTTGTACCTCTATTGTATGTAACTACATACATGTATCAATTCAATTCAGCTTTATTTTCTTTTTCTAATATATAGTATTATTTACAAGGTTTTACATGACACCCTTGTGGGTGTATACAGTATAAAAAATATGTTGCTTGGATAGTAGGTATATGATAATCAGCTGATCCAATGACGAACACTAACTATAAGACTAACTAGTACACATTCATAAGAGGGCATCACAATAAATTTAAGTGTATATAATTACCAATACAGCTACATGTATACAGCATCCTTTGTTAAGAAGATGGTGAAAATCCTGGATATGACATCAGATCATGACATCATAATAACATGGGCTTTCAACTACATCATAATAATAATTCGGACGAAAACTTTTTTTGTTGAAAATGTGTTGATTTATAGTCTTTGGGATGATAGATATATAATTATACCAATCAACCTCATGAGCAGGTCAATAATTGTATACTTTTATACTTTAGGTGTGTATGTATCTCTGACATCAGTTGTTCTGGTAGATTTGCTGGGATTGGATAAACTGACCAACTCATTTGGTTTGTTGTTGCTCTTCCAAGGTGCTGCTACCATTGTGGGACCTCCTATTGCAGGTAAGATGTTCTCTCATATGCCTGCCCCTTCCTTTGTTTTAACTGACCAACTCATTTGGTTTGTTGTTGCTCTTCCAAGGTGCTGCTACCATTGTGGGACCTCCTATTGCAGGTAAGATGTTCTCTCATATGCCTGCCCCTTCCTTTGTTTTAACTGACCAACTCATTTGGTTTGTTGTTGCTCTTCCAAGGTGCTGCTACCATTGTGGGACCTCCTATTGCAGGTAAGATGTTCTCTCATATGCCTGCCCCTTCCTTTGTTTTAACTGACCAACTCATTTGGTTTGTTGTTGCTCTTCCAAGGTGCTGCTACCATTGTGGGACCTCCTATTGCAGGTAAGATGTTCTCTCATATGCCTGCCCCTTCCTTTGTTTTAACTGACCAACTCATTTGGTTTGTTGTTGCTCTTCCAAGGTGCTGCTACCATTGTGGGACCTCCTATTGCAGGTAAGATGTTCTCTCATATGCCTGCCCCTTCCTTTGTTTTAACTGACCAACTCATTTGGTCTGTTGTTGCTCTTCCAAGGTGCTGCTACCATTGTGGGACCTCCTATTGCAGGTAAGATGCTCACCCATATATGCCCCCCTTCCCTATATTTGATCGTCGGTAGATACGAGCATGATTCATGAAATATGGCAAGGCAGTGGAACATATAGTTTTATGTACGTTAATTTACAGTTTTGACTCAAGATCGTGGCAATTTCCAAAAAATAGACCATATTAAAAATGTCAAATTTTGATTTTGGAATATTTTAAGTTTCTTTCATAATAATTATACTATTTTTCAACAATAACTGATATTTTGTGGCCATGATCTTGGTTATACTGGATGAAAACAGAGGAAAATCGATGGGCACAATAAATGCACTCACTGTGAAATAAATTATTCATAATGGATTGCTTTAAGGTCGCTTTGGTAAACATGAAACATTGTTTCAACAAAATTCGAACAAAATATTTGATTTTGAACAATGTATATCAGGTATAAATATTCACATAAAATTTTCAAAATTTCATCTATTGCATTGCTTATTGGTATTCTAATCGTAAAAAATCTTTATCACGTAAAGCTACATTTAACCACAAAATAACAACATAATAACATAAGCATTGAGTGACATCTTATTTTATGAAGTTGAGATATTTCTAATTTCTATATCAGTTAAACTTATTTTCAATGTAATATACTATCATATTAGTAACCATATTGTATTTTAATCAAAGTGCTTTATACATCTGATATTATAATGATTTATATATAGTTTTGATTTATTATGAAAATCTTTTAAGCAACTGACAAAGATTTCTTTAATTATGACATCATAGACTACAATAGAATAAGTAGAGTATTATGTAATACACATATTTTACAGGTAAAACATTGACTGATTTTATATTGTTGTAGATTTCATTTTGTACAATTTAGTTTTGAGAAGAAAACACCATAATTACATTATGACTTAGAACTTAAATGGACTTCTTGTATATATTTCTAGGATGGGTTTATGATGGAACAGGAAGTTATGACGCCTCATTTTGGATCTGCGGGGCAATGATTGCCATTAGCGGTTTCATGCTGTTCTTTATTCCATGTGTACAGCGATGTGAAAAGCGCAGAAATAAATCTGACTCAGAATCAGAATTCGGTCGAACCCTACAAGAAGTTGAAATTGAAAGTTCAGGAAAATATATCAAAAATGAACAAGAAGGCCCAAAAGTGTCCTTATCTCTTTAATGTGGAAAGATCAACATTATTTTTAAACATTGTACTCTACAGTTGAACTGTCCTCTAACTGAATTTACTCACAGAAGATTTGTTGAAGAGATGTATTGAAAAATTCTAAATTCATCGTTCAGAGAGAGACACCACAAATAAATACATGAGCAACCAGAAAAAAGTTCTACGCAGGAAGTACCAGATAAATAGATAGTTTTAAGATGCGTAGATTAAAGACATCTAATATATATCTTAATATATATCCTATAGCCTAAGACTGAAGAATATTATCAAACTAGCTACAGTACATGTACTTTCTCTTTTGAATCTTTGTTCATGATGTACAAGTGACTTTAACATGGCTTAATTATTAATGTACAACTATATGTACATTGATTTTTAAAAATATATGAGGCCAAAGGAATTTAATTTCATGTTTTGCATCACCACACTCAATATATTTAGGGCAGTCCTATAATGCCCAAATTATAAGACAAATCTTTTAGATTTTAGGTATTGTCCTGAAAAATGTGACATGATTATGAATTACATAGAATTTTATGTATGTATTTATTATCTCCCTCTGTTATTATTTGCATTTGCCTATTGTCTTGAAACATTGAGTTAACTTACTTTGGCCTCATATAGGGAAATATTCTCATACTCATTTAAGTATGTTATGTAAAAACAATAATAACCCAAACCTGTTAAATCTGAACTGAAATGTAAGTTTGATTCACTGAGAATCTACATTGTTTTAAGTCATGTGCATCCATCAAATTCCCATGTGCATCTTAATGGACTGCTTACGCCACTCAGATTCATATGAGTAAATTCCATGTGGATTCCATATGATCTCCATATGGATCAGATTGGGGTGTGCAAAGTTGGATTAGGGTGTGCAAAGTTGTATTAAGGTGTGCATAGTTGGATTGGGGTGTGCATAGTTTACCGCTTTACGTACAAGAGAGACATCTCAAAATAATTTGTCTAAATGTTTTATAGTTTACAATATCTTCTTGCCAATATGTTTTTTTTTATTGTTGAATGTGTGTTCTTGATGTTATAAGGCCGATACAAATCAGTTACATGTTTAGAGGTCATTTACTCATCAGGTCATCCAAAAACCTCCCTGGTCTGACTGTTTTCTTACCTCTTTGAGGATTGTCTATTGTATTTTTCAAAATCTTAGAGTGAAATAAAATAAGACTGGTCATTGATTTTAAGAAAATTAAAAACTCCCACTAAACAGAAAATTAACTTGTAGAGGCCTAATGTGTATTTGTTTTGAATTTACACCACACTTTTTGTTAAATAGTTGATTTGTTTTAATTGATGTATACATATGTTGCATTGTATATGGTTTATGGGGGTTCATTAGTGATGTTGAATTTTGTTTTTATGTTTTAGTAAATTCATGTTTTATCGTTTATGCCTAATTCATTCGTAGACTGTAAATCAAGTATGCCCTGATTTTATGATTTAATAAAATTGGTAGAAATTGATGTTGAATTATTCCTGGTGCAATAACAACTGATGTTTGAAATGTTTGACTGACTTTTTATTATTTTTAATTATGTTTATTATGTTTTCGTATTGTAATTAGGTCAATTACAGGTAGTTGTTGTATTTTAATATTAATCAGACACATACAAAATAGAGTATAATAATTCTCTTAAAACTGAATAAAGAGCCTAGTGGTGAGTGGTAATTAAAACCCTCTGCTGAATACAGTTTTGATTCAGGTGAAATCTTGATGACCCCAAAAGTAACTGTCGTGGCATTAAATGTGAGTCTTGTAAATGTGAGTCTCGTAAATGTGAGTCTTGTAAATGTGAGTCTTGTAAATGCGAGTCTCCCAAATGTGAGTCTCGTAAATGTTAGTCTCCTAAATGCGAGTCTCGTAAATGCGAGTCTCGTAAATGGGAGTCTCGTAAATGCGAGTCTTGTATATAAATGCCATGACTGTACTTGAAGCATAAAATTCAGTTAACGCTGTTTGACTGGATAGCTGGATTTTGATCCTATTCTGATTGGGCAAGACGAGATCAAAGGATTACCACTTACTAAGTGGAGTTGAAGCTCTCTTTTGAGGAAATAAAATCAGAGCATTGAAAATGGTAAAATAAAGTGGTATCTGTATTTATATGTCTCTGGTTGAATTAAAACATTTGCAAATGTTACTTGATTTACAGTAAAATATAACATAATCTATTATATACAATAAATTGTAAATATATTGTAATTATACGCAATTTTAAGTACTGCACAAATGTTCCATACAAACAAATCATTATATTTTCTAATGCTTATATCTGATCATCGATGATCATATCCTGCAATCTGCTCATGTACTCCAGAAATTGCAGTTGTAAGTAAATTTTGAAATGGTCATGTTTTGAAATGTAAAATCGAGTGGAAAAGAGTGGAATAAACAAGGAATAAAATAAACAGGCATGTAGTCAACACTCTAAATTGTATAGAAATGCAAGAAAATCAGACACTTCATTCAAATTTTAGAGAAAAAATGTGGAATAGAATGACCATATGTTATGACCATTTTATCTCTTAGATTTTATTGTATGTAGGCTAAGTACGGTAATATTATACACATTTTTGTGTAAAACATTTAACTGTTTATTACCTGCAATCCAAATTGCAATAGTTTTTAATGATTGTAAAAAATTTTAATCAATATTTAGATGCTGGTTTTATTTTGAAGCGCAAAAACAGTACAAGTGCAAATAGTGTAATCTGGAAGGAATAAGGTAAATGTTAACATGAGTAGTCACATATTCAAATATAAATTGAGTGAAAAAGAGTGGAATCAGCAAGGAATAAAGTAAACAGGCATGTAGTCAACACTCTAAATTGTATAGAAATGTAAGAGAACCATGCCCTTCATTCAGATTTTAGTGAGAAATTATGTCAAATAGGCATGACTGTTTTCTTTTTGATAGTGGTTTGGATGTTAAATTAACATCTATATTTACTTCTGCTCCAAGAGCAGAAATATGGCGTTGTATGTCATATTGTATTTCAATGGTCTTTAGGGGTTTTCTTTACATATTTAAATGTTTTCTAGTGTTCATTTTAATGGCAATATTGTACATGTCATTATAAGCACAATTTATACAATTATTTTACTTGGTGGAATTGTACATTATGCTTATATAAATACCTCACCAAAATTTAACAGAATAATATGAATTCCGATATTTTTCAAATGAAATAATGAAAGCATTTAAGGAACTGACATATTGCATTGCCTTTAGATCAAAATGTCTAATCCTACTTAAGACCTTGAACCCCCTCCCTCTCCTTATCTAAATCACCAGGTGTGGTGTGTTGGTGAAGTACATAGGGGGAGGGGGTTAATAGTCTTGAAGCAAAACTAAATTTTGCCTCACCTATTTCAGTTTGCCTCAGCTATTTGAAATTTGCCTCACCCATTTGAATTTTGCCTCACCTATTTGAATTTTGCCTCACCCATTTGAATTTTGCCTCACCTATTTGAATTTTGACTCACATATTTGAATTTGCCTCACCTATTTGAATTTGCCTCACCTATATTTAGATGCTGGCAATGCCCCTGCATAAAGTACATGTGTCTTCTTCAATCCAATATGTTTACACCGGAATAGCCTGGCAACGGTAAAGTCAGATACTGTTGTCACAAATGGCAGACATAACCGTTGTCAGGCTATTCCGGGGTGAAGTTGGGAGATGAGAAGTAGAGAGTTTTTGTCAAATGTACCATAAACATAATACAAGTAGAATATGTAAAGCTGAAAATTACTAAGTCTGTTATTGCGATGTACAACAATTGAAGTTTAATACGTTGCTAAGTGTGTTCTGGTAATTTACCCAGCACATAAATTCATTTATCGGCCCTTTTAATGTAGGCTGTTTTTGTAGTTATTTCTGTTCATGTTGTAGACTACATTTAGTTAAAGTTGTCATTGTTGTAATTTTGTATACTGTTTAGTACTACATTGTATTTGAAATATGGGATAAACAGACAACTTTAAAAGATCCAAAATTCAAATGGTGCTTTAATGATCAAAATCCATAAATATAGATTAATAATTATAATAAAATTAGAATTTTAATTTTTTTTGAGATATACACCTCATTCAAAAGTTTGACAACCCTAAATGTAAGAGTTAAGGTTGGGAAACCTTTGGAGGGTAGTTTAGATTTCTAATTATTATATGATATTGCTTCCTATGTTTTTTGAAAATGTACAAAATTAGTTTCTTACTGGAATAGAAATAAATAAAAGTTTATCTACGTTAAAATGTCTGTGAATATGTATTTGTGTGTAGAATATTGGCAGTATTAAAGCCGCTTGTAACATGATTTAACGAATGAAACAAATACCGAACGCAACAGGTCTTGTGAAGGTGCCCCATGTTAAATTTCCATTGAAGCAAAAATAATTGTGGCGTCTCATGGGTGAAATTACAAAAATTACGAAAGTTGAAAACGAAAAATCCCCGATAATTTATCTGTTTCTCAGGTAGGTTCTGTACAAAGATCTTCGCCACCTTTGCGAATATTTAGATCAAGATCTTCGCCAGGTGCTAAAAATATTCGCAATTGCCGAATGACGACAGCTTATCTAGACCTCTGGAAACATGTGTTATGATACCATAACTCAGGTGCCAGGTAATTATCAATTACATGACTGGTATAGTATAAAGTTCCCCTAAACTTGACTATTTATCAGTTTAATGGAATCAATTTTCACTAAACTTTTTTGTGTTATATATTTAAATAATTAAAAACATGTCAAGTAAAAGAAAATATTAGCTGTCCAAAATATATTTTCATCTACCCTATTTTTAATGCATTGTACTGAGAATCTCATTGCAAGCACAAAATCACAAATGGGATTATCATGAATGGGATGTGGAAACTACTTAAAGCAAGAAAGAGTAGACCATGAATCAGTAGAAAGATCTGATGACCCAGTTTTCTATTCCATTGCCGTCAATAGATGGCAGAATTGGATTTTATTTCATTTGAATACATTGACAGTATAACTCCAATTAATGTCTCAAAACAGATATTGTGCTAGGTAAGATGGAGAAAGTCAAAATTTGTTGAAAATAGTCAATTTTCATATTGATTGATGCAATTTATAAAATTATGTATTATTTTACGTTAGTCAAAAATTATTTTATCACAATAGACTATTTCAAAAATTATGAAATGTAAGAAGAAATATCTGCTGAACGATTTTGAGGTTTGTTGACAGTAGTTCCCCGCACATGTGTTTATAATGTGCATAATGCAACCAATCAAATTGTCTGAATTTACAATCACTCGTCGTGAGCATGGGATAAGAACCAATAACATCAATTGTTTATTTATCGTATGATCTGTAAAATGAAGCCCTCTGATTGGTCAGTTCTTGTGCTGTACCAATCTGTATTGCTACTGAGGTTGTCCCCGTTGATCATCTCCGTTGCAATACAGAAAATATTGGTACGGAGGGGACAATCTCAGTAGCAATACAGAGGATCACACGATAAAAACATTATAAAATGATTTGAAGTCTCGTTCCAATACAAAATTTCTCGAACAGAATATATCTGTATTGCACTTCAAATCATTCAATAACTTATATTATCGTATGATCTGTAAAACGAAGCCTTCTGATTGGTCAGTTCTTGTGCTGTACCAATCTGTATTGCTACTGAGATCTTCCCCATTGATCATCTCCGTCGCAATACAGAAAATATTGGTACGGAGGGGACATTCTCAGTAGCAATACAGAGGATCACACGATAAAAACGTTATAGAATGATTTGAAGTGCAATACAGGATATATTCTGTCTCGATATTCTGTATTGGCACTCGACTTCGTCACTTCAAATCATTCAATAACTTATAGCATAGTCACCACGCTTACGCTGAAAGGTTTACCTGCCGCAGTTGTAGGTTGAAGACCATCACTTATCCCTATAAATTTTAATGCTGCATATTTCTCTCGACTTTGGGAAGTTACAGCCACCATATGGTTGCCATAGATCAAATGTGACTGAGGCATAAGTTTCGAAAAATAATCACACTTTAATAAAATTTATTGCTGAACATATCTGAGCCAAAATTGAAGATGGATGTTCTTTTTTTCTAATGAATATAGGCATTTCTGCATATTAAATCTTCAATAACTTCCTTTTTTGGTCCTTTGCAATTACCTTTGGCATTTGTGCTTAGATATTTATCCCATAGTTGAGGTAAACAGAGATAATTTATAGATTGCAAGGAAAGCATT